ACCTGATAAAGAATAGTTATAGGATTGTCTAGCACCGCAATCGCTAGTGGTACTGTACTAGGCAACTGACTTAAGTCATATATCATCAAACCACCTGAGCATGGATCATGGATGTCTGACTTTTTTGCTTGTTACGTACTTGTCTGCCAGCTCACCTTCTTCAACAAGCAAGTTTGATGGATCCCGAATCTCCTCATCCCCACCTCCCATTCCCTCCCGTTCACCCCGACCTCGCACAAAGACGCTGACCGGTCTCAATGATCCAAGCCGGATACGACCAGACCACCTTTGGAGGCTCTGCCGCCACTATTACTATATCCTTCTGTATTTCCGTAATTCTGGTGGTAGTGAAAATCATTCATTCCTTGAGACCTCGAGAATTTGAGTGATAGGGATGGCCCAAAATCATGGAAAGGATTTAGAAAACTACCCCATCACCTATCCTATCGTTTCTTGAAGTTTTTCTTTTGCAGGCGGGAGGGAGGATTTCTGTTTTTTTTTCTTTTTTGAATAATTTCTACCGCACCGCCCGCATATCATTACCACTCTACTACAAGCGAGTTCCGTCTCGCTGTGGTCAGGAAAAGAGATAGATGAATCATGTTTGTATCATGACTTTTGACGGATTGGTATACCCTATCGTGAGAGGCTTCCAGCCTGATACCTCCGACGCCGCACATAAGCGCCGGATTTGGGTTTTCTTTCTTTCTGTCTTGCCTTATGCCGCCACACAGTCCTTGACCATATTCTCGACCTGAGTGTTCTTCTCCTGAAAGACCGGGCCAAAGGCCTCGATGGTCTCGTCGGAGATGTCGCGCCGCGCGGCCGCCATGGAGGCGTATTCGTCGGCGGAGCGCTGGCCGACCAGCAGGAGGGTGCTCAGGATGGTCATGACGTCGTTGTTGGGGTCCTCGACGATCTCGTAGATGCTGTCGGCGACGATGGCGGCGTCGCCGACGACGGCCACGATCTCGGCGACGTCGGCCAGGGCGTCGCTGACGGCGTCGAGCTCGCCCAGGAAGGGGACGACCAGGAAGATGGCGCCGAGGATCTCCTCGATCATCTCGCGGTGCTCCCAGGCCTTCTCCTCCTTGCCGACGGTGACGACCTCCTGCATGGAGCTGACGGCCTGGAGGAGCAGCACGACGGCCAGCGAGACGCTCTGCACGATGTCGTCGCTGAAGCCGGGCCAGGCGCCGACCAGCGTCTGCAGCTGCGCCGCCAGGATGTTCTCGCGCAGGCCGTCCAGGTGGGGCAGCGCCTGCGCCACGACGGTGCGCGGGTCCGTGATGTTCACCTGCGCCGCCTTCCGCGGCAGCCCGTAGAAGTTGTCCGTCCACGCCACGCAGTCCGGGTTCAGGTGGCCCACGCAGATGTTGTAGTCGGCGTGGCTGCCGTCGTACCGCACCCAGCTCGGCTGGATGCCGTAGTCGGCCAGCAGCCACAGCTCGAACGCCGTGGTGTTGCGCGGCTCGAAGTAGACGTTGTACGACGCGTGCCCGTCCGTCGCGGCCAGGTTGGGGCACTGCGCCGCCGTCCCGTTCTTGCCCTCCACCTCGATGATGCAGTCGAAGTAGGCCAGGCCCGGCCCCGCCGGGTCCCAATCCATCGCGCTGGCCAGGGAGCTCGTGATGTTGTTCTCCACGTACCGCTTGTAGTACTTCAGCGTCTCGTTGTAGTCGTTGTGAGTCAGGATGTCGGTGTAGTTGGCGACCACCACGTCGATCATGTTGTCGAGTACATCGAGCATGTAGTACGGGATGCATTCGTCCGCCATATTGGCCGATTGGAGGTTGAGGTCGGCCATGGTCGAGATGGTGAGGTTGTAGTCGCACGGCGACTGGACCTCGCACCAGCTCCTCGGATCGTCGTCGATGCAGGAGAGCTGGTCCTCCTCTGACCAGGCGTCCCCCAGCTCGCACTCGTCATAGCATCTGTCTCGCTCACACGCAAAATCACACAGCCCGTAGTCGTCCACTCCGGAGGTCAGATGGGCGGTGATGCTGGCGTTGACCACCGCGAACAGATCCAGGGCGCCCGTGGCGGTGCAGTTGCAGGCGTGGATCGGGCAGAAGCCGTGGGCACAGCCAAAGCCGCAGAGATTGACAAAGTCGCCAGTGCCCTCGCCGGCGGTGCAGGCCGGGGGTGCGAAGTCCGAAACTGTGGGGACAGTGAGGGCCACCTCCACGGTCCCGCACGCCGTGCTCGGGCAGTAGCCGTGGTTGCAGTCGAAGGAACACAGCCCGCTGTAGCTGGCATCTTCGCCGGCAATCGGGTAGCCCTGAACGCCCGTGTCCTCGGGCACCGTAGGCGCCGGCCCAAGCTTCGAACACACACAGGCGGTGATCGGACAGTAACCCCAAGAACACGCCTGCTCACAGAGGCCCAGGAAGTTCCCATCGCCCCAGCCTTCTACACAGGTTTCATCACCCAACGAGTAGGCCGGAGTCACGCTGATGGTGTCGGCGGACATGGCGCTCCCGACCCAGGCGTTCCAATTCTCTACCCCGGAGCTGGCCGCACACCCAGCAGAGATTGACTGTCCCTGGAGTGTGGCAATCGTGGTGCCCCCACGGCTGATGGTGATGGTCACGGCGCCTGAGTGTCCGGTGAATGACACACTGCCATGGTAGATACCCACATTGCCACTGGGCGTCGAGGTCCACGAGGCCCCTAGATCGGCGCCGCCCACCGAGACCGAGACCTCCGCGTCCGAGCCCAGCAGGGCGGAATAGAAGATCTTATCCTGCACGATCTCATAGGGCCAATACTCGACCTGGAGCTGACTGGCCGTGTTCCCGGTCGTCCCGCCATCGGAGGCACAGGCTCCAGCCTCGTTCAGCCGGTACCAACCGGTGAGGCCTTCCTGGGTGATAGTCGATATATTACTCTTATACGTCTCAATCACATAGGGTAGGAATGCGCGCCAGCCGTCATGCGGCATGTCGAGGGCATAATTGTACGGGGCCAGTCCAACGTCGAAGGCAGTGTATGTCTGATTCGCCAAGGGGTCATCGGCTGATTTGATAGGACCGATATAGTGCGATTCTCCGAAATCGTTCCAGGAAATGATCTCGATGAACTCGGGGTTCACGAACAGGGCCTGGGACCAACGGTCAAACCACATGTCATCGCCCCGCCAGAGCCAATTCTTGTCGTATCCCGGCATATTGGTGAAGAACCACGGTGAAACCGGCATCATGTATGGCTTGCCCTCAAGGTAGTTGATGTAGGATGCATCCGTGTAGGTGTCCATGTCGGCCGGGCCATTGGGCCACGCAGCCCAGCTGAAAAGCGCATCCGCTACCCCATCCGCCTGTGCCATTGCCTCCATGGCTCCGAGGGAGGACCAGTCGGGAGCAAAGAAGCACCCAGTTTCCTCTTTGATTTCGACCCAGTCGGCCGCATTGGCTGGCCCTTCAAAGGTAGAAACAAAGATTTGCGAGTTGTAGTGGTAATAGGCAGTGGACAAGCCATAGCTATTGATCAAATCAAGCACGTCGTCCTTGGCCCAGGGCCCGTTGCCGGCGTAATCGAAAGAAAAGAAGAGGGAGAACCCCACATTCTCGGCCGCCAAAAAGGCGTTCGCCACTGAGTTGGTGTTGACAGACTGCGCCGCGGCGATGTTCAAGGCAAAGGCATCAATGCGAGCCTCGATGGCCAAGGTCATCTCGGACTCCCAGTCTGCCACACTGTAGCCTTCGGTATTGGAGACCTGCGTTGCAGTTAGAAGGCCCAGTCGGACGATCTTTCGAGCGGGTTTGGGGAATGGGCATGTATGCACGTTACCATAAAATGGGCAAACACGGCCTTTGCATGAACATAATGAAATATGGAGAAGGAGCAACATAAGAGAGCGAGTCTGCCGGGGGATGAAAAGATGGAGAAAAGTGTCATGGCAAAGACTGAAATGGGGTCAAAGACCACCAAATACGATGAAGATGAAAAGAGAGGGAGATGAATCAGAGATGGAGAAGTGAGTGAGGAAACGGATGAATGAATGAGTGAATGAATGAATGAATGAATGGATGAATGAATGAATGAATGGATGAATGGATGGATGGATGGACGGATAAATGAATGCCTTCCCTGTTGGGCACTGAATGCACACTGCACTCAGAGACTATTACTGACATCTTGGTCAAGGATCGGCTGTGGCTGCGCTGCCTTTATGTTTTTTTTTTTTTTTTTTAAAAAAGAACACCCCTCTCTCTCGGACCAATGTAAGCATTAGTTAAAGATCTCAATCATTCTTGTCGGCAAGTATCTCTGCTCGTCGGCGCTATTGAAACAAAAAGTAGATTCCAATGGTTTACGGTTCATCTGGTTCCGAGACCGGCTATATTGGGGGATCCGTATCGGAAATTGGATTAGAATTGCGAATTCACTGGTAAATATCATGTACTAAAAGCTCAGACTTCGATCCCATCGTTCAATATCCATAGTCATTGGTAGGTCATGGCTAGTCCCAATTACTACGAAGCTTCCTCCTGCGGAAGCATCCGACAAAAGAACAATTAGCCCTAGTTAGCGTCTTTAATTCCCCCTTCGCACTCCCCCCTCCCCCCTCCCCCACCAGGAATCGGAAGAACACTCCGACCCACAGATTTACTAGTGGTTACAATCCCTAATACGCATGGGGGAAATAGCATCGAGTATTAATCTCGTGCTCACCATCCACACTCCACAGAGGCATGTTAAGCTACAGTAGCATCGTATGTGCATTTACCTAACTCGGCCACACTCCGGCGCTAATACCATAGAGAAGATAGAGGGCGTGTAAGAGAGAGAGAGAGAGAGAGAGAGTCCTAGGGAATTAGAGAGGGAGGAGACAGTGGGGAGGCAAGACTCGATCGAATTAGCATGGAAACGTCGTTCTACAAGGAGCTGAGGGCTCAGAAGATAAGAATGGCAAGAGTCTGCTCACGATGCTCGTTTCTATCTTTATTGCTGTCTATACTTGTTAGTCTCTTGAGTCCTTGCCCGTCTAGTCTACAACCATGAGGCTATTTTCTATCTTTCTCTACTTTCTTTGCTGTGCAACCGGAGGGAAGGCTGCTAAGACAGCTGGCATATTTGAAACTGTGTTCTACTATTATGCCTACCGCATCGAGGTGAGCGCATTTCCGAACCAGGAGGATAGGATGATTGCCTGGAGATGCGTGCCCGCCGCCGGGACTGTCTGTACTTTCTTCGAATTCGTCAGAGCTATCATGCCTGCAACAGAGACAATCGTCGATATCGATGCCGCAAACACGATTCTTCCCCCTGTGGAAGACGCAGATACTACTTTCGCCGACATGAGATACGAGGGTAGATATGAGATAGCGAATCTCTACAGAGGTTCAACGAAAACGAACCATGTCGATATGGTGGCCGACATAACCAATCGCATCCAAGCGGCCCGTGAGGAGATCTCCGTCAACTCGGAACTTCTCTCCAATGCAAAGAAGGGATTGAAGATTGCGCAAGCCATGCGGTGGACAGAGAACCTGGTGAAAACCCAAAATGCTTTTGCCAAAAGGTATCCGGGTGTCACCCTCTACGAGACCGAAGAAGAAATGGACGGCGTCACCATCAAAGTCATCGACTGGGTCAAAACAGCCAAGGTCCAAGCCTCGCAAAGTAACTCGAAGTCTACAGTCCTCCAGAATAGATACAAGAAATGGGTGGACACCAACAAAGGCGACGCGTACAATCACCACCAGGATATTCTGCGCTCCCTTGCGACATGTCAGAATGTTCTTAATGCGGTTCCCAGCTGTCGCGCCCAGCTAGGGTAGCACTTCTTCAGAAATTTACCTAAGAAGCTAGGTGTAAGAGCTTCTCATCTGATAGAAGCACACAAGGTCGTCTTTTGTCATTTTCTTCTGTGGTCCTGGGATGGTTTATGGTTGATTCGTCATACCTGTGACTTCGGCGGCAGGAAACCAGAGCTCGACACACATAATCCAAACACGAGGCTTGTGACTCTTGCTTCCGGGTGTCAGTGAAAGGAGGATCAATTTGGAAATCTGTGTTATCCGAAGTACTTAGTGCAAATGAATACCTGTTCGCCCCTATCCAGTATTCACAGTTCTCAGACATGACACTAAAAAGTTTTAGCCGAGCAACGGCCCCCAGCCCCACCTTCTTATGCCTGTTTCCCCTTTGAACCGGGACTTTCTCCTAGACTAGGCCAGGAAATTCATTCCTTAAATTCGCAATACGCGTCTTTTTTTTACCACCTTGTTACCCAGCACCTAGCATCGAGAATTAAACCGCTTTGCGATCCGGCGATTCGCAAGTGAGTCCGTCCTTGGCCTATGACTATCTAGCCAAGTATTTGTGACATGATGCTCGCCTTACTCCCTGGAGAGATTGTTCTCCAGGTGGTATCTTTTCTCAACCCTCAAGATCTCTCGGAGTTAGTCCTCGTATCAAAGGACTACTACTCACTGTTCATCCCCGCTCTCTATGACCGAGTTGTCCTCCCTCTCAATGCTTACTGGGACGACGGATACAGACTCCTGGATGGGGAGGAGACAAACCCCGTGCGTCGATTCTCCCAGGCGATGATCGAGAACCCGCGCCTCGCACCCTTGGTCCGCTCTCTAATTCTGTACCCAAGCCATTGTGAAGAATGGGAGTCCCGTGCTCCACTCCCGGCCGTGCCGGAGGAGAGATTACGGGCTCTGATGCTGCCATACGGGGATGCAAAACGCAAGCACCGACGGAAGTACCGCGCTTGGCGAAGAGATCTCCGGTCCGATCGGGAACGGCAAGATGACTACCGAGAACCCAAGAACTACGAGGATGCCTGGCTGGCATTGCTGTTGGTCCAGGTTCGGAACCTCGAGAAGTTAGCCATCCGACTGCCGGAGGAACGCATGAGATTCAATTTCAAGCACATCCCACGGACGCAGGGATACACCACGCATTTTGACCGAGTGATCCACTGGGCGGGAAACACCGAGCTTGGGATCCTCACGCGCCTTTCCCAGGTCTCCCTCCGCGATGGGCCGGTCTGGGATAATGAGGGAGCCATCGAGGCCGTGCCCCTGAGGCGAATGCTTCCCTACCTACGCATCCCGTCTCTCCGCACACTCTACATCCGCAATCCATGCAACAGTCCACTGCCCCGTAAACTTCTCAGGGATCTGGTGCCAACCCCTTCCTCACTCACGCACATCGACCTGGAAGGGCCGTACGATGCCCTGTCCAACCTACCCCGATTCCTTGAATGGTGTCCAAACCTTGAGTCGTTCGCCGTGGAGATGAATCAGCCCTGGGACTGGCGTGGCTGGGTGGATGTCTCGCATCTCTATTGTCCGCTCCAAAAGTCTCGATCCTCCTTGCGTCATCTCCACGTGGCCTTTGCTGGCCCGGGACGCGAGATCACGCAGGACGCGGAGAGTCCCCAGCCCACCTTCTTCGGCGATCTTTCTGTTTTTCCGAATCTGCACACGGTGCATATGCGATGGAGCAACCTGCTTCCCTTCCACGGGAGCCGCGCGCTAGAACCCGCGCAACCTCTTCGAACACTATTGCCGCGCTCGTTGCAGAATCTGTACATCGAGGATTGCCTAATGCAGGGCGCATGGGCGCTTGGGGACGAGCTCGAAGGCTTACTCCAGTATCGCCGGGAGGAGCGCGGGTTGCCAGCCCTGCAACGCCTCTTTTGCCAATTTGTCCACCACGAGCTCCACAGCCGAGGAGTGGCGCCATCGAGGGATCAGAAGGCTCCTGAGCCGGACCTTGCTTGGGAAGGCCGACTGCGTGGGTTGCAGGAGGAACTCGGGGCGCTGGGGGTGTCTCTGCGCGTGATCGAACGCGGCGCAAGCGTGCCCTTCCCTCCGGACCGGGCCCTAAGGCACAAATGGCCCCTCTGCGAAAATGGCAAATACTACGACGATTTCAACTACTAGCTGCTCGATAGGACTACGGTCAAATACGGGAAATGAGAAGGGGTCAGTTTGTCGTGTTTTCCCGGAATTTAAAAACCCCGGAACTGCACTCAAGCTCCATAAAAGGGGTAGAGAGAGGAGGAATATCTTCTCAGGCACTTGGGGTGTGAAAATTCTGGCTCTTTCAAGCACTAAACACGCAAAGACTAACGCCGAAAGCAGTGGGGCAGGTGGGGGTGCTCACATTTCACAAGCCTTGCTGACAGGGTCTTGTCCGTTCTTGGCTACTGGGAACACTAGGTCTGTTACTATTTATCTTAGGACATTAACGGCTCCATTGCGAAATCCACTATGAGTACCCTTCCGATCTCGTATCTAGAATGTACTATCTTGTTGCCCTCGCAATCCGACCGGATCGACTGGTCCCTTAAAATCCCTTGTCCCATCAACCTCCGCTCTGGCCTGGAAAACATCCAAGACCCTGAGATCCGATTCGAAGGTTACGACTTCGTAGATTAATTCTCCTTATCTCGCTACCGGACCGACGCATAGGAACTATTGAAAAGCTAGTCCCTTTTCAACGGTGGTGGACCCCCACCCACAACTTAGCCCTAAGTAATGGAGTAAAGGCAACCACGAAACCGCTTCATGCTTCCAATATTTTTCACACCAGTATCCAATATATTGGTATTTTGTCTACACAGCCGGCTTAATCTTTTCCCAGAGAATTCTCTAGCGGAAGGGACTGCCGAATGATGGAGAGTCCGTGCTATGAACCTGTCGCCGTAGTCCGAAATAAGAATTTCAGCCCGGTGCTACAGTCGAGGGAAAAAAAAAAAAAAAAAAACAGCTTGTATCTATCTAGTCTACATGGTAATGTGCGCATATTCGAGATCTGATTGGATAATCAATTCAACCTTGCGCAAGGATGCAAAAGGGGTGAGATGAGGAACAGAAGTCAACCGTGACAGATACAGCAGACCCGATGCCCCGGTCTTGACTGCGAATTGCGAAAATCCTTCTACCACCCCGGACACTTCCTTACCTATCTTCCTCTCTTCGACTGCCATTCCTATATCTACCAATCTCGCTGCCAGAACACCCACCCACCCTGGGCAAAATTCATATTCGTTCTCTCTTTCCCCAAGTTCAGCCAGGTTTCGCTTCGCCGCCATAGCCTTTTCTCTTCCTATCACAAAAGGTCCCACGATGAGGCTTGCTTCATTCTTTTCCCTTGTCCTCCTCAGCGAGGCAGTCGGCCGTGTGTCAGGCAACAGCTGTCTGGACCGGGTCTCCGCGAACACGATGGCGGTGTTCAGCGGCGCGCCGTTCGCGCTGGCTCCCCGGTACGACAACGGATCGGCCTGCGCCGGCTACTGCGACGGCCTGGCGGAGTGCCACGCGTGGTTGTACAGCGCACGAGGCGGCGACTGCCAGCTCTACAAGAAGACCGCCCTTTCCACGTTCCCGTCCCAGCATTTCATGTATGGTGTCTGCGGTGGTAATGATAATAATAGCCGTCGCCTACCGTTGGCGACGGCTGCTTCTGTCACTGCCAGCTCAGCCGTTGTCGGGGTGGTTGGGTCGCCTACGAGCTCTGATACCGGTGTTCCCACGCCGGCGGCGTTTTCAGTGGCGAGTGGTATCAGCAATGGTAATGCTTTGAGTGTAAGTGTGATTTCTCCCTTCCTTTGCTTCTTTTGACTCTTTTCTGGTTTGATTGTTGTTCATACTCTCGAAAGAATTAGTTGAGTCTGAGATCTTGGATACTAAACGCTTTGCGCAGAGAAAGCACCTGGATAACCACCGTCATCACCACCATGGCCATCGCCATTGAGATCTAGTTCGCTACGGGAATCTGTTGGGCTTCTTGTATTCCTTTCTCATTGTTTCCCTTTTCCTATTTCTTTTTGTTTTCTTTCTTTTTATATTTTCTTTTTCCCCGGATCTCTTCTGTACAAGATTTGACCCGTTCGGATGTTCTATCCATCTCGTCAGCATGGTCTTACTGTGCAGGAACTTAGAAGAGGGGTTATTTAATTCCTCTTGTAGTCAGGAGATGATGATATCGGATTGACTTCTTCTCCTTGACGGTCAATGTATGCTGGCTGTTGGCAGTGTGATAGGGTTTCGTCCTATAGATATCATCAAAGAATGACCGTCTTCGGTTGTGTCCATATCTTTCCCTCGGGAAAGCCAACCAGAAGAAAGGAGAGAAGAGATAACTATGGTCCGTGTTCCGTTAAGACGATACCCTGGAGTCGAGTAGAGGAAAGGAACAGTCAAGATCCAGATGGACGCAAGCACAGAGGCTCTCCTAATGAGTCCTAGTTAATGTGCCCCACAGCCCCCCCCCACCCACCCCACATCAGGGCTCGGCAGGGTATCTGGTGGTCCGAACTGATGATCGATCCCTCGGCCGTAAATGAATACGTATCGATATCTACCCGTCGTCATCTGCACTCATCATCATCCGGCTCCCCCCACAATAAGTTAATACGATGCCAACTCTCCTTTCACCAGCGCACATGTGGCCCGGCGGTATTCCGTCAGCTGTCCGCCTACACCCAAATAACGAGCTGGAGGAGGCTGATGTTACAGAAGAGATCAAAGGCCGGTGCCTGTTTTTAAAAGGTACTGTACATTTGACCCTCTACAGGCTCTAGAGGGCAAAGACACGCCCGGAAGTCGAGTCTGATCCTATCTCACGCGACAGAAAGCCTGGGCGCCTTCATCCGACCCAGAGGCGAATAGGAATCAACGGCGGACTCTGGTGGAGAAATGGGCGGGTGCGGATCAAAGCTTCCGTGATGTACGTTCCACTTGGGTCCCCTGACATCGCTCTCGCTCCGCTATGCATTAGAGCCATTCATGGAGCGAGCTTATGGACGAGAGACCCGAGGCGCGTCTCTACATGTCAACAAGCCGTACGTGATTCCCTGTCTTGATTTCTAAATTACAAACCGACAACCTGTCACCTTAGCATCGACCTGGCATCCGCCGCCTCAGGAGATCATGGCGGCGCGCGCAGCCAGCGCGGAGACCTGCAATCATTCAGCGACTATACCCCAGCCAGCCGAGTGGGCCGAGGAAGTTGAGCGATTCGCCTCGCCCCGGGGTATTTGCAGCGTGAGCAACAGCAGGGTCAAGTCGGGTCAGGTCGACCAGTACAGCTGGGGTCATCTGGCCGATGTGTCCAAAGACCCATTCATTATTACCTACAATCATCTTCGCAATGCCCGACGACGGCTTGCGGCTGCATTCCAGCAGGGGCCGAGGTTCTGCTCTGCTGGATTTGAGCTTTGCCCCTTTTGTCTGTTGGAAGTGGAAGGCAAAACGACGCAGGCGAACCGAGCCACATGCCAAGTTTCGATTCTCCGCCCATCGAAGGAAGTATCGCTTCCTCTTCATACGTTCTACGTTCAAGATAGACTTCTCGGTTGGAGATCAAGCTCCAAGCATCGAACACAGCTTGAAAGATCAGCAAGATAGCCTGGAAGCTGTACAAAAACCCGACCCAGGCCTTGTGGGATTATATCTGTAGGCGATTCCCAGCTTCTTTGGAGAAGTCCCAGAGAGAGCTAATTAGGGAAAGAAGGCCGAACTGCAATCATGTGAAGCACCTCCGTCTTTGTCAAAAGGGTCTCGGTTCTCCTGGTTGGTACTATCTGCTGTACCTACTTAGCTGTTCTCTAACACGGCAAAGGCTTATACTATCAGGGGATTTTTCGGGTCCTTATGGGGTGTTTAGGGCCCCTAGGGTTCCGAGACCAAAAGGTTCTTGCTATAATAAGGTTCTTTATTCGGGAATACAACATCCGATGGAGACTCTGACAGCAGGGTTGGGTCATGTTGGGTGGTGAAGTGGTCTGTTTAGCAGAAGGGGGGGGAGGGGGGGCGAGAGCTATGAATTATACCTAGTAGAAATATTTATCCTTCTGTGGCAATATCTTACACCGTGATTCTTTTTGCTGCTAGCAAGATAATCGCATACCTGCACACACCGACATACACAGTACAGTACATAAGCCCGGGAACCCACCCCAAACACACCCTACAACCCAATCGGATACGATGCAATACAAAAGGATATGATTTATTATGGTATTATCCACATTCCCCAAATGATCTCCAAGAGAAAGACTCCATCCATCCCAAGCCTACACTTTCTTTCCCACCTAGTACAGAAGACACGAGGCCAAAGGATTGGTTTACTCCCAAGAATCGATCTTCATCGTGCCCTTCTCCTGCAGATTCTGGTGCATCTTGAACGCCTGGAAGAGCAGGTGGGGCTCGTGCGCCATGCCCTTCTTGAGGCACTCGAACTCGGCCCGGTCCAGGTAATCGGTGAGGATGGGCTTGTAGTCCGGGTGGGAGCACTTGTCGATGATGACGCGGGCGCGCTCGCGGGGGGAGAGGCCACGGACGTCGGCGAGACCCTTTATCCCTCTGTTAGTACTACTCAACAAAAACGTAAGAGGGGGAAGGACGTACCTGCTCAGTGACGACAACATCCAGATCATGCTCCGTCTGGTCGATGTGGGTACAGAAGGGGACGATGCAGCTGACACCGGTGGGGTCGACCTTGCTGGGCCGGGTACTGGGGGTGTGCATGATACTGTACTTGCTGGAGCGCAGGAAGTCGGCCGAGCCGCCGAGGCCGTTCAGCATGCGCGAGCCCATCACGCAGGTGCTGTTGGCGTGGGCGTAGATGTCCACCTCGACGGGGGTGTTCATGCCGATGCAGCCCAGCCGTCTGATGATCTCGGGCGAGTTGGAGACCTGCTGCGGGCGGAGGAGGAGCTTGCCCGCGTACCGCTCCCAGTTGTCGTAGAAGCGCTTGAAGCCGTCGGGCGAGAAGCGGATGGAGGTCGCGGTGGCGAAGTCGAGGTTGCCGCTGTCGAACAAGTCCAGGAACGAGTCCTGGAGCACCTCGGTCCACACCTTCAGGTTGGTGAAGTCCGCGCCGCCCTTGCTGAGGCCGCCGATGACCGCGTTGGCGATGTTGCCGATGCCCGACTGGATCGGGAGCAGGTTCTGGGGCAGGCGGCCGTGCTTGACCTCGTGCTTGAGGAACTCAATCAGGTTGCTGGCGATGGCCTGCGAGCCGGCGTCCTCCGGGGCGTTGGGCTGCGTCTGGTCCGGGTAGTCGGACTCGACGATGGCGACGACCTTCTCCGGGTCGACGGGGATGTGCGGGGTGCCGATGCGGTCCTCGGGCTGCATGATCAGGTAGGGCTTGCGGAGCGGGGGCTTGTCCGACATGACGATGTCGTGCAGACCCTCGAACGAGGGGCTGGCCGTGTTGACCTCGATGATGATCTTGTCGGCCATCTGGACGAACTCGGGGGAGGCGCCCACCGAGGCACCGGGGATGATGCCGCCGTCCTCGGTAATTGCCGAGGCCTCGATGACGGCCACGTCGAGCCGGTTCTTGGGCTTGTTGAGTGTGTACCAGCCCTACGCCTCGAGGATTAGTACGAGTTCAGCCGTAGACAACCACTTCCATCCCATGGTAACCCCCAGAGCCCACAGCCACCTCAACTTCAACCAAGACGAGAAAGGACAACCTACATAAACCAGATCCGAAGGAAACATGCTCAGATGCTTATCGAAGAACTTAATATCCCCGGTATTGATACCCCTTGCGATCTCCTTGCCGACCTGATGGGGACTCCGTCGCTCGATCATGTTCAACCGCGCCCACCGGTTCTCCGTCTCGGCGCCGGACGAGGCGCCCACGAACAGGCTGTATTTCAACTTGCCCTGGAGGTTGTTCTTCTCGACGTGGTCGGCCAGAGCCGTGGGAACCTTTCTGGGGGCCAATTAGCCTAGGACTCGGGTTTGAAGCAAGATCAAATTGCGCAGATCATCAAGGAGTCCAAGAAAAGGGACTGGGCAACGCACTTGGGATATCCAACACCCGTGAATCCGGACCAGCCGATGTACGATCCATGGGGAAAGAGGTCAATCAAGTCCTCGGCCTTGGCCAGCTTCTTGAGGTAAGAGGGTCGCCGGACACGGCTTTTTAGGAGGGCGGAGGCTGACATGGTGGGATTGCTTCAATAAGAGGAGGGGAGAGGAGGGAGGAGGAAGGAGAGGAGAGGAGGGAAAGAAGAAGGGAAGGGAGGAGATGGCAATTGAGGGTGGGTGAGATGGGAGGAAAGGAGGAAAGAGAAAGAGAGGAAAAAAGAAAAAGAGAGGGAAATTTGACAAGAGAAAGAGCAGGCCCCAAGAAAAAGAGGGGAGACGGTGGGATAGAAATACGGGTCGAGCTGTCGCTGTCGCTGGAAAATCCACCCCCGCCTCGTTCCACTGCCCCGGTTGATTCGGGGATACGGAGTCAGACACTGGCTCCATATTCTTAGACTACCTACTAACTGAACTGTACCATCCTGACTACTAACATACACATACGTACTATCTGTAACTAAAGTCCTTCTCACCCCGCAAATGATGAACATCCCCCAGTCCAGTCCAGTGCAGTCCACCGTGGGTGATCATTACTCCGCTTCAGCTGCTGTGGAACTTATCGCCGCGCGCGGCGGTTAACGTTATCAGCTCCAGCTCCAGCTCCAGTTCCAGCCCAGCGTCAGGAAGCTCCCCATTTGGCACAATTGGCGGGATTTTTTCTTTCTTTATTGCTATAAAGACAATTCTACTATGGATAGTCAGCTGCAGGGGTAAAAGGGCAAGCGAGATGAAAAAGCTGCAAGGTGGCCGGATGTAATTCGGGGCGTTGAGGTCTTGTCGCAGAAGTTACGAGGGACATAAGTTACTGATGACCGGCGGTTGACGTCATCCCGGCGATTTCTCGGCCCGCCGTCTTCCAGCCCTTCACTTTGGCTTGCATCTTGAGCCTGCTTTTCAAGGCTATAAAACTGGAACAATAGAGCATAGAAGACACTCCAATCGAGTAAATAGAATTAAGCACAGCACAGATCCTCAAAGAACTAGCAATGCCAATGTCAATGGAATGTTCCATGCCTGAAAATCCAACGCACCAGTAAATCCCGACGGATCTCCGACTGCCCCGAACTTGGTCCAGCGACCGGACCAGTCTCGGGCTGTATCGGTTATCGCAACCTTCCCAGTCTCGGCCACACGGAGCTTTTGGGTTCCCCTGCATGGCGATCGGCAGCTTGGCTATGCTACCTCAGTACCAGAAGTCAAATCATAGCCACCCGGTTAATAACATCTGTCAGCGCGGGTAACTTCTCTGCTGTACAGTGTACACTAACTATACTAGTGCACACTGAAACAACCAAATTAGCTACTTCGTTGAGGTGTTGCCTGCCGAATTACTTGCACAAACAACATTAGAGAGGTAAGGAGAAGTTAAATTAAAAAAAAATAAAAAAAAAAAAAATCCATGCCGCGTCTAAAATCCAAATCTACACCGAACTAGACAAAAAGGAAAACCAATTCCTGGGGTTGTGGGTGGCGCGGTGATTGATCCTAAGGTTCCGGCTTGGCTGTAGAAGCAGTAACTAACGACAGTTGCAACACGCCCGGTCAACCAAACTTTGCCTCAACCGCTCTACTCGTATATACCTGGATCCCCAGTTCATAAGGACTGATCAAAGAAATACTCCCATCTGTGCAACCATAGTTAACCGTATCCGCTCATCATGGGTTCGAAAGCGAAAGACCGATGGAAAGAAATAGCAGCTTCAAACATTCTGTTGGTTTTTCAAAGCCGCGTTTCCCACCCCCAATCACCCAAATATGAATAAGAAGGCTTTCCGCACAACCATACCGTCTCCTCGAAACAATAGACAAATTATCCAAATGGCCAATAGCGCTCGTACTCAGCCTTCTCCTCGTCAGTCTCAGCTAACTGCTCCAAGATCAAGCCTTTGACTTCGTCGAGGTCAGCTTTGCAATCATTGTATCGCTCGTGCTCGATGAAGCCCTTGTCCGGCCACAGATCGCCCATCTTCTCCTTGACTTCTGTCACAAGCTCGGTGCCTGCCACTGCACCATCGCTATCCAATTTAATCCGCTCGATCTCTGCTTCCGAAAAGTCGAACGGAAATGGGGTATCGCCGGTGACAGCAGGTAGGTCCGTCCACGTATCTTTCAGATCACCAGAAGCGACTGGAAGTGCGCCTCGCTGTATTCGAATATTCGGTGGGCCAGAAATATCAGCCCGTATGTTGCTGTCCTCCGGAATTCGACCACCCGGTATAAGTCGGGGTTTTTGGCATGCATGAGCTTCCGCCATGCGATGAACACGTTCTGGAGGGAATACTCCTGGACAGCAGCTGACCGTTCCTCGGGCGAAAGCCCGGAGAGTCCTGGCCGTGGTGCCAAATCCAGCGTTTCAGGCTCAAGGCCATCCCAGTCGAGGAAGGCTGGGTCGGGATTGTGGTTGAAGAGGGGCGAGATGTGACAAGACTGCCAGTCGATGATACCCGTAATCTCTCCGGGATTCTGCGGGTCTACGAAGACGTTGTCGTCATGCAAATCGTTATGCCAGAGGCAGGGTCGTGTGATGGCTGCATCTTTGGGAATTAGAGCATCAACGGTTTGTTGGTACCATGCTAAAGCAGTAAGTTTATTTTCCGTGTCTGGTCGGTATAGCTTTGGGCCGCAGAATAAAGCAACCGTTTTTGGAGGTTCTAGAGACTGGATTGCCTTCACCTCTCGTGTCCCGACTGCTTGCAGATACTGCGTTAGAGAAGCCCCTGTAAACTGATCAGCGACTATACAGCGAGTGACGTAAACCACAACGTACATGGCCCCTTGTCGACATCTAGATCTGAGCGGCCTGCGTCACACCAGTCCCGGCCTGTAGCCGGACCAATGGCAAAGCCCGAATTTCTCACAGCTTGCCATCCTTGACGAAGTGGTTGCCTGCTGGTGGCTGCAAGTCTTCCGTGTAATATAAGCTGCCGTAATGCGAGAATGAGACGTTCAGCCATTGCTTCTGGAGACGTGTCATGGCAAGAAGCACTTGGAGCTACTGTGGTAATTTTATAGTGCTCCAGACTTGGGAGAGCGGAACACCTTCTATTTTTTCCATAATGATAAACTCAGCGCCCACGGGGTGCGATTTGGCTTGCGAAGTTCCATGCGTAGACACGAGGCGCTGGGGTCTCAAGAAATTTTCTAGCCTCCCCGGATCAAACGAGTTAGCAAGATTTGGATGTTGTTGGTGTTCAGGATGAACTTACAAAGTCCATCGTGGCGACTTCACTAGCAGTAGTGGAGTGTGGAATGCCAGCATTCGGGTTGGGAATCTTGGCTATAGCTTCTTGACCATTGTCCATAGTTATGAGGAAGGCTTTGTTGAACATGCCGTCAGGGTACTTTTCGATGGCAATGCATCGCGCGGCTCCACCCGACTGTGCTGCGACTCTTGCGAGGCTATTCATGTCGAATCTGATCTCTCGCTTTCGAGCATTCTCTGCCTCTTCAACAATGAAGCGGCCACGAGTGAATTTGAAGAAATCATTGTGAGAATTCCAATCTGATACGAATGAGTAATATGCTGAGTCGCGCTCTAACGGGCGTGCATACCTATCTGAGAAGCTCCCGTGTCCATGCTCACGGGACAGTGATTGTAGGACAAAGGTGAAGCTTTGAAGATTGAGCGGCAGTGTTTTTTCGGGCTTGGTATCATACTCTGAACGTAGCCCCAGGGACGCGCGGATGGAGATCGGCGCATTGCTCACAGAATGTACGTAATGCCTTGATCTTGCCAGTCATCGGCGTCGAGAAGCCAAGGTGTACGAGTCGGATCAATTAAGGGAATGCTTTGTCGCTGCGCGAAATGAGGGATGACAATGCTGGTGTTGAGTACTGTAGATCCAGATGCTTGATGACCCGAGCGGTGGGACCCGTGGGGCGGTAGTGGCGGTAGTCAGGCACGGCTGCCTAGGCGATGAGAAACTGCCGGCTGCAGCCGCGGTAATCAAAGCAGGCGAAGCTTCGCTCCAGCCAGTACCTTAAGGTACCTTACCTAGTACCTACTACGGAGTAGTACTATTCTTTCTTTCGTTTTCCATCACGGCAGAGTACTCCATCAAGCATCATTCGCCTTCATCTTCCAGTCATCAACCAACATCAATAATGCCACCACTGATGGTGCCATCCTGATGGTGACACAGGCTTGTACGCCAAAGCCGCTCCTGGACTTTGTCCGCGGCCGGCGTGATCTCCTAGATCACCCTCTAATATGGATTTGGAAGCATCTCGAATCGCCGGGATGCCAATTCGACGATCTTGAGACGTCCGCTTACTCCGAGTCCGCGCCGAAGGATTCCCAGGGTACTGCCGATGCTGACGCGCTCGGAAACCTGAAGTGTGCCGTAATGCTCATAACGTGGCCTATGACCCATCGGAAGATGATTCCTTACAAGCCATATGACACCTTTGCCGGCCGCCTCAGGGACCAGCTAGTGGCATCCAGTCCATCGAAACTTTTCGACCATGTGAACGATGCCACCAGCTATGAAACGAAACGACGCCAAGGAATAGACGACGATGGGGAGGACGACTGTGTTCCACGGAAGATTCGGCGAATATCCGACAGATGAGCTGGTGAAAGGGCGCGAACGGGAGTGGAAGATTGTTCTGGAGCAAGGAGCGATCGAGTCTTCACAAATACAAGTAACCATGTCGAGGTTGAGGATGGCGGGCCTATCATCTACCGAGACTGGATACGTTCGAGTAGCTATGAGGGTAGCTAGTCTGTACTCATGGCGACTTATGCTCCTAACATGATGTAATATACTCAACACACTTGTCCTTCTTCCTGAAGTACTTGGCCTACAGATCAACTCGCAGTATCACCTCGCCAATGGGGAAAAGCCCCAAAACAGAAAGCTCAGCAGCTTGTGCGCATGATCGCGTTCTGCCAACGGTTCTCTCCCATCCACGAATGTCAGTTATCCATCTTGACTTTCCTCGACATGAAAGTACCTAACGGCTACTCAGCCACGGGAACTCCGAAAGCAAAAAAGCGTCTGGAACTCGCGAGACTGCGGAATAGCCGGGGTTCGGGTCATTGCGGATCTTGGAGACATGACTTTCAAGAGCATTTCCTTGAGCACCGGTCGGGACCTTTTCTCCTGTCGCAGAGGAGAAGACAGACGCAGGCAGAAGATGAAGGAAGACGGAGAAAAAAAGAGTAGACGGGAGCAAAGCTGAAGGATACGCGTCCGACATACAATTTTGGTGGCACTCATGCGCTGATTCCCACGATTTCCTTTTCCTGGTCGCTGGGAGTTGAAACGCCATTTCGCTCGACTACCAGAAAAGAAAATACCCCAATCCGCAAGAACTTACTGCCCGAACCCGATTGGGATATCGGAGTGACACCCGAACACAGGCTATCAGAACTGTATAGGTCGGTTTGCAGGTATCTTGTTATGGAAGAGAAACGGACACGCCACGACTGTTTCCACCTTTGGCTTGAAGTAGAGGGAGTAGACGGACGACTTGAACACCACTGAGGTGCGATGAAGAACCCCTATGAGCGGCTTGCCGTGGAAGGCCATGTTACGTGATATTATCACCGGGTACCACTCGAATCTCGTCACTCTTTTCAGTCAGCATCTTCTAGGTAGCAAAGATGTGAAGGAAATCTGACTCGGCTTACATTATTGTGCCCAAGGATGAAATTGTCAGAAGTCTGATTCCAAATGTGTACTGAACATAGATCTGTTATTATGATCCACTATTCTATAACTGTCAAAGCTTCAGGTTTTGTGGGGCTCGCACTGTAATGGAGTTTAAAATGAGTGGAGACTGTGTGGGGCTTGCCCGGTGTGAACCACTAATAACAGAGATCCCGCAATGAAGGAACTCGTAAAAACAACCTCCGTGACTACCTATAGTCTACTTTAAGACGGCAGCGGCGACCTTCTCACATACCACTTGATTGACATCATCATTCAAGCCAACAATGAACTTGTCAGCCAAGCGTACTGCTGCACCTGCGCGAAATCACTTCAATTCCGCCACTATTTACCCAAGAAGAAGTGCTCATTCCTATGCAACACGCTTAGCTTCAAGAATACCCACCCCCCCTTGCCCCCGTCCCTTTGCAACCCCTCACCGCGTTTCGCGTTTGATGAGCTCTACAAGCATGCCACCACAGCCTGACACGGCGGATCTCTTCCGATATACCAGTGGCCGCTGGCTCTGGGATGAGGAGCAGCAGCTGTAAGACCGATTTTTGCTGTTCAACGTGCTGGAATTGCAACGAGTCGCCGCGTAGAGTGTTGGGGCCGATATATGCACGGTAATCACGAAGTTGGCCGAAGGCTCGTTCAATAAGACCTTCAGGCTGGAGATGGGGAATGGCTCATCCGTGATTGCAAGAATCCCCCATTCGACTGCTGGGCCAAGATACTACACCATAGCATCTGAAGTCGCAACAATGGAGTTTGTACGTTATTGAACCATAAATCCTCTCAGTATAATAAACAGTAACTAATACACTTTCAGGCCCGCACAATCCTCGGAGTCCCAACACCTCACGTGTATGCTTGGAATGCAGACGTGGGTAATCCTGTCGGGTCTGAGTATATTATAGTGAAGGAAGCCTCCGGGACGAAGCTGGAAGACCTATGGAATGATTACTCTCTCGAAGAGAAGTTCGCAGTCATGAAGGATCTCGTGCAACTGGAGAGAAAAATGCTTCAAGTGCCACTGAACCGGTAATGCTTCCCCAATTTTCTAGTCAAGTCTAATCTATTATCATCTTGTTAATGATGACTTATAAGCTATGGGAGCTTGTACTATGCCGGTGCCAATATCAGAGGTGCCGTGCCAGCTGATACCTGTGCAGAAATACCTACTGAGCTCAAAGACACAATACGCCGTCGTTTTGTTATTGGCCCGCTCGCAGAAAGGTACTATTGGTCCAAAGAACGTGCAGAGATGACCTTGGACCGAGGACCATGTTTGTTACCTTGTTGTTGTTCTCCTTTCCCGTTCTAACTAATACTTTGTGGTTGAAAAAAGGGAAACAACCACATGACTATGTGCTTTCTCTAGCTTACCGAGAAAAGGCATGGATCCAACCATACGCAACCTCTAAGAGCCGAAGACGACCCGCTAGTAGCCTCAGCAACGCAGAACTCTCCTAGCAGTTACATATTTCTACTGTAGGAATATCGTCAGGTTGCCTCTTATCTGCTCCCGGATGATCCTGTTGTGGTTGCACCCTACATCTGGCATACCGGTCAGCACGCGGGCAATATCTTTATTTGTAATAGTAAGATCTTGAGTGTATAGACTGGCAAGGGCTCTGCGCAGCACTCTTGATCATTCAAGCACGTCATCCAGGGCTAGTCGATTATAGTAGTAAAGTTATTCTAAAAGCCCCCGAAAGCTTCAAGCAGCTGAATCTGGCGGAAAAGGCTCGGATTAGAGGCCTTATAAGTCGCTCAATCCTGCTTTATCTCTACGAGAAACAGATTGCCAGAGAGCTACTTCTACTTAATAAAGTCCTTCGATTTAATCACGGTTGGACAAGGTGCAATCCGGTTCTGTTCGTGGGCGATACGTGGGAGGACGACCTTCTCCCCTTGCGGGAATCGCTGGTTAGGCTTGAGAGGTAAGGAACGGCATGTTCTTCGCATAACTGTCCCCTGTTTTATTATGCGTTTCTTCTCTTCTTTCTTTTGTTTTTTTTTATTTTTTCTTTTTCCTTCCGCTAAAATTATCATGCTTCCAGATGCTGGAATGAATCAGGGTTTGACTTTCCATGTCCGATCCATTTCACCGAGGATGATCTTCGGGTCCATGCAGAAGAAAATACCGGGTGGAATAATATACAAAACTTCTGGAATTCCGTCGCAGACGTCGTATCGAGAGATGGCTGGACCCCGCACCATTTATATAGGGATACCGTTTCGCTGTTTACAGAGCTACGAGATATTGGCCTGAAAGCTATGGTGGGGAAGAAGAGGGATGCATTTGAGATCCAGACACAATGGGTCAAGAAGCATTAGCACTACTTTCAAAAACAAGTACTCATAGTGCTATAAGCAGGCCATGGACTATCCGGGCGTTCTTAAGTAGTCCGGCCATGCCAGGCTGCTTTATATGTGGATATCTTAGGAAGGTTAACTAATCAAGTACTAAGGTATCCAGATATTACCCATCCCGAAGCTTTATCTAATCCCTTGCGGATTATAAGACTAGAGACTCTTAGAGTTCTACGATAAGTCCTTTTATATATATATATTTTTTAACCATTAAGCTCATTCCTTTGTACAACTACCGATAGTTATTTAGTTACTTGAGATCACTAAGCTCCTATGTCTCCTAAAAGGTCCATGTATTAAGTGGTTAAAACTATACGTCTTCTTATTGAAAGGTTATCAAAGCAGACTTGTAAGAGACCGAATCCATGTGTCCTTTATACCAGATCTGTTCATCTATTGAGTAAGATGCTGCCCACCGACCGTTATTGTTACAAGGTATAAAAAGGCAACTTGCTATAACGAATTTGTGTAAGAACTGATGTGCTGCTATCTGACAGAAGAAGCCTTTGCATGAGATCAATCGCTGCCAAAAAGGAAAAAGCAGAGACTGCTGCTATTGGCAAGAGCCTTTTAGAACTACAGGGACTCTCTAAAGTCTTGTTACTAGTTTGATTATATCGGCATTCCTCAGCCATCCGGCCATGTGTTCCAGCGCGGTTACCAGGCTGCTTTACATATTAATACCTGAGATAGTTTGTCGATTACGAACGTAATACTGATGGAATCAATTGCTTAAAGAGGAAAGCTTGATGCCTTGGGAGGAAGGAAGGAAGGAAGGAATTCTCCACAAATTCATGCTGTTGACATATTTCCAGTTCTATTTGAAATCATGTGACCTCGCTGGACTGAGGCGTTGCAACCCACAACGCTGATATAGTTCAACCATCAGCCCAACCATCCAGAAATCAAAAAACTTATTATATAGTGAACCAGCCCACCCCTAAGACCTCAGATTACAGAGAGGTTATAAGCCCGGAGCCTCTTAGGCCCTGGGATACGCCCTTTTATACATGTATTCTTTCTCAGAGGTTAATTTAATACTTTCTATAACTACTAAGGTACTGAGATATCCGATATTACAAAGACAATGTGTCTCTCCTAGAAGATCTATACATTCCTTTGTTGGTAAGATGTAAACAACAATATAGCTTTCTATTGATATCGATCTATTTCTTTATTAATGTAAGTCTGAAAGGTGCCAAATCCATATATTCTTTACATCTTCCGTCCTTGACACTGAATCCGTTTATCGAGATGCCTGTCGAGGCTTATCGTTACAAAGTATCCAGAAAGAATCTGCCATATGAAGTTATATAAGAACTAGATTCCTGCAAGGCTGCGGAGCGAGCGCCGCCGTTCAAGCCGAGGTAAACCTTTGGTAAGAGGAAGGGTTTTCTTACACGTGAGAAACTCCTACTACGAGGATAAGAAGAGCTGCTACAAAAAGCGTAATTTACAAAGCCACGAGGCGATCATCAAAGCCTGTGTTTGAGATACAGAGGGCTTCTGCTTATTCTACAAGCCAGATGAGTTTCCGCGGCCTTGATATGACTATACATTTCCGTTTGTTTATATCTGCTTTAGGAGATCGCCGTGGCTCTATCGAAGGGAAAAGTTGTTGTTTCTATTCACCCGATGAAAGACGACGACAGGAAGGGGTCACCAGGCTGCTTGACGTGTGGATACCTGGGTGAGTCTGGCTCACCGATTGCCAAGAGATTAAGATATTTTTCCATGTTACCCATCCCCGCGCTTTGGTTGAATTGCTTACAGACTGGGGACTTGGCTTCATCATCAAAATTCAAAATTAACCCAATTTTATAAGCAGAGAAGCCCAGCCCTACACCACCCTCACACAAATCCACTGAGCCACATGAGAGTACAAGGGTTGTAAGCATGTAAAAACACTTTGCGAAATGCCAGATAGATCTAGGAGTTACCAAGATGAGTTGTATTGTACACTCTTATAGAAGGCTGAATGTAAAAGATCTTCGAATGAGAACAGAAAAAAGGTTGAACACAAATCAACCCGAAGGATTTCTTACCCTTGTTACAGGTTCAAAACACTAATCCGACTCCCTCTCCCTCACAGCTGTAGAGAAAACTAGCCTGTGCAGTGGCCAGCTAGTCAGTCCTAAGGTTCCGGCCCGGCAGCCCTAAAAGTAACTCAACACTGAGACAGGTTTCACGCCGGGTCAATACAACCAACTCTCTACCCCTCTACTCGTATACACCTGAAATCTCCAGCAGATAGAGGACTGATCAAAGAAAGATTCCATTCGTGCAACCATAGATAGTAAAACCGTATCCGCTCATCATGGACCTGAAAGCGAAAGACCGACAGCAAATAAGAAAAAAAAGTACAGACATCAATAATGACAAGGAACCTGGAACCTGGCGGGATTCAATCCGGTCCGAAGAAGAAGAAAAAAGGAAAAATAAAGTTTACATGCCACACATTTACGCCGCCCTGGGGATGGGAGAAGAAACGAATATCTCGCGTCAACAGAAAAAGTCAACATAAGCTCTTCCCCCGCTAGTTGGTTTATCAATCATCATCATAATCCCCTACCACCCGTAGTACACCCACCCATCGGAAGTCCTTCCCCGCCCCCGCCCCCGCCCCTCCCCGGTGCAGCCTCACTATTCCTTGGGCTCGGATGCAGGCGGCGCGACGTCCGTCATCTCTGCATCTGCCTGGTCGTCCTTAGCGTCGGACGCTGGCCCCGCGGACGCTGCAGCTGCACCACTCTGGTCGCCTTCCGGTCCATTGATCCACGAACGGAACCGCTGGTTGGACTCGTCCACCTGATCCTTGCTCAGCCCGTGCGCCCAGCTAGGGTTGTTCACCAGCTTCTCCATGAACCGGTCCCGCCGTCGTTCCTTGACGGCCGCGTCTTCCTTGGCTACCTCTTCGGCGGATTCGTCCGTCGAGGTGGTGGGTCGCCACCACCAGTCGGAACTGCCGGGCTCGTACAGAATGTGGTAGCTGTTGGCGCAGATACGGATGATCAGCCCGTCCTGGTGCACTAACGGCCGGTAGTACTGGTTGTACTCCTCCTCTTGCTCCAGCTTGGCCGGCAGGTTCCGCTTCAGGAACGGCATGCGCATCTGCGAGAACGCTACGCCTTCCGTCGGATCCCGCATGGTATACGCCGACACGTAGTACGACCAGCGCGCTTCGGGGCTAAGCTCCTCATTCTCCAGTGTGGCGTCCTCGGGAGTCAACAGCTGCACAGCAGCCTTCTTGCTGCCAGGGTGCTGCAAGGATTATTAGCACGAATACCTTCGAATAGAGAAAAAAAAAGAAGAAAAAGAAAAACACTTACGTATGTAATGCGGTACATGTCTCCATCCTTCACCAGCCGCTCGACTTGCTTGCGGTACTGGATCTCTTGGTTGTGAGTGGTCTCCTCCCGATCACGCTCCTTGAAGAAGAGGTTCATGATATCAGAGCTGCGGTCCTTCGAATCACCACTGAAGATGGCTCCCGCGAATTTCGAGATACCCGTGAACATCTTCTCCAGGTTGTACAACTGGTACCCACTCCGCAAGTAGTACCGGCGGAGCGTCTCCTCCAGATGCGTGGTTTCCATGTCACCCTTGATCACCTCCTCGCACATCCGAACGATCTGTTGGTAGAGGTTGGCCTTCGGGTCGCAGTCGTAGAAGAAGTCGGTGGGGAACTTGTCAATAAGGTTGAGCTCCTGCGCCGGCTTTCCGACCAGCGCACGCCGCACATCGTCATGGGCATCCTTCTCATGCAACTTGATGCGGAGCAGGCGCGAATACAAGATCTCGAACGTGCGGAAGAAACAGTAGATGTTCAGGTTGGCGTACAAGTGATGCACCTTCTTTTCGTAGGTCTCGTTGAGGTTGTACTCCCGTTGCTGGTTGAAGTTACCCTGTCCCGGATGCTCCATCCATTTCAACTCGGCCACATCGAAGGACTCGGCGGGGTCGGGAATCGGGGTCGAGGGAACCAGAACAGCATCAGGCGTGCCATCGCGACTGTTTGGGGCACTCCCTTCCTTCTCGGCCCGATGGACCTTTTCACCGGCACGTTCTAAGACATCGCGGAGAAGACCCATCTTCTTTCCGGCACCACCCTTACGACTGCGGGGAGTGGAAGCATCGTCCGCAGCCAGACTCTCATCATCGCCCTCGTCGATCGGCGGCGTACCGCTCGACAGTTCATTCATGTAGACATGGAAAGTATCCCGATCCATACCGAAGAATACTGGAATGAAGTCTTTGATGAAGGTCATCACCTTTTGAGGATCGGCTCCGAACCCAGCCGAGTTCCGGTCGATGAAGGTGAGCAGCAAGTGTGTCGCGTCGATCAAGACAGCCGGATCCGCAAACGTGTACTCAAACTGATGTCGAGGGACCTGGTACCCGCCCTTGCGCAGGTTTCGACCCTCTTCAAATTTGTTCTGGATTTCGGTCTGGATGTGTTTCGCCACAAAGAGCTTCTTGTCGGTACCCTTGCTGGCGATCGCTTGGTGATCCAAGCTCCGCCAGTAGGCCTTCTGCATCTGCTCGCGCCAGATTTTGTCCCATTCGCGCTGGCTGGCTTTCCACTCTTCACATTTCTGTTTCAGGCGGAACAGGATGATGGGTAGAACATGGCACGGCCTCTCGAACATCTCTTTGATGATCTTCTCACCCCGCTGGCGGTCATAGATCTTCTTGATCACACGCTGATAGATGGCTTCACTCTGACCGCCCAAACCAGGGGGCAGTTTGAAGGCAGCACGCTCCGCATCGCTCATGACAAGGAACTGCTGCACAATTGGCTCGATGAGCTGGATTGTGCGCGTGCAAGCCTCGATATGATGATCGTAGTCGTGTCGATCTTCTTCAATGCGATGCAGAGCATCCTCGAACTGATTCTTACGGTGAGCCACGAAACCAGAGTCCTCAGAGGCCCACGTGGGGTGAGAGGCCCATTCGTCGTTCAGAACACTGTAGCACAATTGATCGCGGCCACTGCAAGGCTTCTGCCGTTCGCGCTTTGGCAATAATCGGTAGCTCGGCCCGAGGGAGCGGCAGTGTGAGAGATTTACCACGCCCGGCTCTTGTTTCGCCTTGACGTCAACAATTTTGTCTTCAGGTTCATCAACATGCATAAAGCGCTTAAACCAAGCCATGAGCTCGGGATTGGCACCAATGTAGTTGGCAGCTCTCTTAACGAGAACGTGTCTGTCGATCAAGTCCGTAGAGTAGAGATTACATAGCTTGAGGAACTCACTGAATGTCTGCTTATTTCCAATATACTTCTTCACCCGATCGAAGAAAGCGAACTCCTCTTGAGTTGGCGTCAACGAGAAAGAAGGTTGTATGGGCTCAGGAAGCGCAGGAACAAGGGTTGGCGACACAGCTGGCGCCTCCGCCTGGGACGGTTTATGATGGACCTTGGCTCGCTTCGTTGGGTTAGCGTGATCGCGCAGCAAATATCAGAAAGCACGGCAATATCAAAGTGAATCCAGAGGCGTTCACAGAACGTGGATTCTTGGGACACATTAAGAGAGGAAGGTCAGGGTAGCGGTAAGCTCAAAGTGAAGCGTAACTGAAACAGAAGCCTTCTCACCTTGTTAGCAGCACCAGGCTGCATCGCTGGAGCTCGACCAGCCTGAGACTCGGCCATGCGAGCCGCCTCAGCAGAAGGTCCAGAAATCGACGAGCCCATGGTGGAGGGAGCTCCAGGCCCACCCCGCCGTTTCTTGCCGTCCTTTGCGGTGTCCTTGACGTTAAACTGGCCCAGAGGCGGCATCTTCACATCACGGTTGGGAGTTTGTGAGGGAAGGTTAGTTGCGCTTGGATAGCTGGCTTCCCCGCGAAGGTTGCTTGTAGGAGCAGCCTCCTCTGCCTGGCGCGCAGCAGCCTGCTGTTTCGCATGAGCAGCCGACTCAGGCAGAAACTGCTTGAAGTCCTCCAGCAAATCCGGTGCCGTGTTGAACAGCTGGGTCACCTGAGCGTACACGTCCTGGATTGGCTTCGATTCACGCTGGTAGGTTTGTAGGATTTCGAGGAACTGCTTGTAGATCTCAGGAGCGCTTGCGAATCGATTCTGTTGGGGAGGCCCCGATGTTAGACGATGTACTGATGACGAACGTCGAGTGCTGTCATGCTTCTCTCTTACCTTGATTTTATTGACATAGCTGATGGCATGGTTGAACTCTACCGGACCACGCTTGTTCAAGTCGGCCTGAGCGCCTTGAAGCATCCCTGTTCCGACCCCAGCTAAATTGTTCATGGACTGGTTCATATTAGGGCCCTGCGCAGAGGGTCCAGCTATGTGCAACAACGAAGGTCTTCCTAAGCCTGCGGCAGCGGCGGAGGGAGCCCCTTGGATGTGAATGCCACGCTGGTCTGACTGATGGGCCATGGCTGCTGCCCCCGCCGCAGCCTGCTGCTCTTGTTGAGTCGGGAAGTCGAAGTGATGATCCTGGGGCTGGTTCGGTCCCCCCTGCTGTCCGAAAATTCCGGGCATTATACGCGACCCAGGAGAGTACGACCCTGGCAGATTGCCCTGGGGTTGAGGCTGGGGCTGCTGGGGCTGCGGTTGAGGCTGCGGTTGTTGCCAGCCAGGACGTGATTGCTCATAGTACTCAGCCCGGCCGTGAGAGGTCATGCCTCCTGAGGGTCCGAGCTCTCCGCTAGACTCCAAGGAGTGCCTTGTACGGGGCATACTCAAGGTGTTTGTGCCTGACGGTGTTGTGACCCGAATGGCATCGGGATTGTCCTCAGTTCCACATTCGATTCGGTAGCCGGGTGGCAAGAAAGTGTTGAACCCGGAGATCAAAGTAGGGTGGCCGTTGAACAGGGTTGAGACACGCTGGATGACCCCAGGGGTATCGATTCTACATCTCGTTAGGAGAATGGAAAACATGCCAAGATCAAAGTCCGGGGAGCTTACGCCTGGCTCTTGAAGTCCTTCATGATATCAAGGAAGCGGTTGTAAACGTCAGGCTGATCAACAAATCGAACCTTGACCTGGTCCAGATAGCTGAGCGCATCCTGTTGCAGGATTGTCAGCAATTACCATCTATCATCTCGCGACGGGGCGCAAGAATGAACCACTCACATTCAAGATCGGCTGCTGGCCCTGCTGCTGAGCAGCAAGGGCAGCAACATTGCCAACATTTCCGGGGATTGGAGCGCCTGCCCCGTTGAATCCCAAGATCGGCTGGCCAGGAGGCCCTGCAGGATGCTGCAGGTAAGACCTTGGTGTCCCTTCGCCATGCTGCATCTGTTGACCATATAGTGCGCCTGGACCCCCGGATCCTGGCATGGAGCCCTGAGGTCCATTTGCAGGGTTCGAGCTCAGATTGGAGAGAAGCCCATTGGGGCCATGGATAGAGTTTGGCACTTTGGATGCAACCGGCTGATGCAGAGGGATCGAGGCAGCGCTATGCTGAACTCCGTGATGTTGCTGCTCACGTTGCCGTTCCAGCTGCTGCCGCTCGATCTGCTCGCGTTCGCGCTCGCGCACTTCACGCTCTCTGTGGGCTAGTTCCTCCTGGCGCTGTCTCTCGAGCAGCTCTCGCTCCCGAGAATCACGCTCACGGTCTCGGCTCAGGGACTGCGGCGAAGGGTGTTGCATTGCCTGGCCAATACCCGGTAGCGAGTGACCAGGATTGTGAGAAGGACCCTGAGGGTGTTGTCCGTAGGCAGGAGGTTGGTGTGGGCCGGCGTGACCCTGGCTCAGCTCAGCCAAGCCAGGAAGAGAATGGCCGCCGGGCTGATTCGCGGGGTGATAAGGACCTGATGACACCAAATATATCAGCAAGATGGGCGCTAGCAAAGAACATCAGAGAAAGCAGAAAGGAGTTCGAACCGCCTGGAGGTGGGAGAACTGGCCCCGTGGGTTGCGCGGATGGACCCTGTTGCGGCTGGGGGTTTTGACTGGAGAAAAAGTCAGGTCAGTGGGAAGCTCTTCACACAAGATATTACACCATCAGGGGATCGCCCCAGATACATACCTGAATGAGCCCATGGGACGAGGTTGTTGGTTCATCTGGTCCATCCCCGGATGCGCTGGCGGGCCACCGGGGTGCCAGTTATCGTTCCCAGAAGAGTTCATGGTCTATGCGCATGAAGAGAATTCCAGCAATATGCCTTGACGTGGCGAAGAATAGGTCTGTGGCAGACCAGGCAGAGAGAATGGTTTGCTTGTGAGGAATATGGTGTTGGGGACTCCAACACTGTTTTCCGTTCGGACGGGGGCTTGAGTTTCTGTTCCTCCCAACTCAATTTCACAGCGACATCACTGTGCCGATGCCTGCCAGCTGCAGATAGGGGAAATAGGGACAGGCCTATGCAGGGATAGGATTGCAAGAAGGCAGAATGAAAGAGGATAAATCGACAACGAGAAAAACTCCACAAAATGACAGTCCTAGCTCCTCAATAGTGAGCGAGATCCGTGGTGATGGTTTGCGCGCAACCGATCACGGCTGGTCTCCAGAGTGAAGGCGGAGAGGCATTTGACCGCGCTAAGCCATCTTTGGCGATAGCGTCACCCTTCGGATAGAAGGATGTTCCGGAAAAGGCGGTGGGAAAAGTGATTGGTCCAGGATGCATGACGCAGCAGTGCCTGGACCGGCTAGTCGGGCTTTGACTTTCCCGACGTCATTGACCTGATCAATCCGGCGTTGACACGCCCGACTTTTCCGCCTCCCCAATAGCACCAACCAGCAACAACTTGGAACACTGTTGACCTGCCGGCATATTCTACAACTACCTAGTAGCAATTATGACCCGATACTGCCAGCCAGTCTGATACATGGTGACACTAAGTAGATTCTGACTACTTCTGACTACTGGTTGAACTACTGCATTCCCGCTCTAGCCACAGTGGAAGAGGGTCGGTCGATTAAATCCCTGGCGCACATCGCGCATTCCGAGCACATCGCTGAGTAGAGAAACACGGTCACCCCCTCCACTTTCCGGGATATCTTGTCGTAGCGTGGTCCATTTTTCTAAAGAAGGCTGGTAGGGGACAGAAAAGGGAGAAGGAGAACATATAACAAACCCTCTGGAGGTACCACGTAGTCTTTCTCTATCAAACCATTGAACGCCTCCCAAAAGATTCATCAAGCATCACTGGGACCACTGTAATAGGAAATATGGAAGCAAGGTGGCATCCGAGTGCTCACAGACAGCAAGTGTGGAAAACAGACGGACAAAAGACTTGTAACATCATTGGGCGACCAAGCTCCAATAAAACGAACGGGGAAGGACTTGAACTTGAACTGGCAACTTAATTTTGGATCTTCAGATGCTGCTGCTAGGAGTATCATTTGTCTCATATCTGTCCCATGATTGCTTTGTTCCACATACTGACACGCCCTGTCCAATTATGATTATAGCCACCTGGTCGAAATACTTACAGTGCGGAGAAGACAAAGAGCTATCGCTTCAGTCAGCAAATGGACACCACAGAGTGCAGGGGCAAATGGACTCACGTTGTTGGTAGCAGCAATAGCAATACTGTCCTCATAAGGATGCCAGCTCATATGCAGGATCTTCTTGTTGAAGTCGATCTGGTCCGCATCGGTCTCCTTCTTCATCCGACTGCCAGGGCCGGCCGGGCTACCAGCTCGAGACCCATTCTTCTTTCCATTGGCACCCTTGTTCATCGGTGTCGGCACACCGACCTTCTTAGCCTTGAAAGCAGACTTGTCGGCCTGTAGCACGATCTCCGTCTCCTTGCTCTGGTCGGTGGGGTAGATCATGAAGTTGTTGTTGTAGCTTCCGGTCATGACGTTCTCCGCATCACCCGAGAATACAACCTCGAACTTGTCAAATATGCTATCGTTCTCGTAGGTGTCGCAGAGGCGGGGTCGCAGGTGCTCGTGGATAGGAATCGTCTTCACAGGTTGTCTCTCCATGTTGACATCCCAGATCTTGACGGTCAGGTAGTCTCTTGACACGATGTATCGGCCATCGTGCGAGAATCGTACGTCTGAAATCGAGGAGATGATCTCGGAGAAGAAAGAACGGGAGGAGGCGTCTTCCTCTTGTTCGAATACTAGAAGAGACGTATGTCAAGACGCGGTTTAGCAAGAAGAGGTGGCAGGTACTTACGCTTAGAGTGTTCGTCGCACAATGCTCGCTGCCGCATGTCGGCAAGCTTGATTGTGCCCTTAGAGCTGGCGTACATAAACCAGTTGCAGCTGACTGGGTGGAATTCAGCGGCTGTGATAACTTCCGTAAGTTCCTCCATGTTGGCCGGTTTGATGTCGACGATGTTAAAGCTCTGGTCTTGGATGTTCAGGTTCCACAAATTAATTCGGAGGTCATCGCTGCTAATGAAAGTCTCCCCATCGCTGTTGACGGAGATGCTATTGATGTGATACGCATGCGCGTTGGCATAAGTCCTCCGAGGAACAGCGGCCACAACCGTATCATGATGTGTCATCCGAGGAAGCTTCAACATGGAAGGGTCCTTGAAGTTCAGTCGGGGCGCACGGGGCGCGCCGCCACCACCCACACCCGCGGGAGTCAGCTCGCTCGAGAGGTTGTTCTCCGCCACGACTTTCAGAGACTTGTCGAACACCTTCCACAACTTTATCGTCTTATCGTTCGTCGAAAGGAGGAAATGAGATGCATTCTGCCGTCTGCACCATTTAATCTTGTTGATCTTTTCTTCGATCTCCAGGGATTTCAGGTAATCAAACTCCGGTTCGTGCGATTGAAACTCGGTGTGGAATTTGTATTCGCAAGTTTTTTTCTGCGCGTATCATTAGATCCGACCGTCGTCAAAGGAAATTGTGGAAGCCAGTACCGTTTCGTTTCTCTCAAACAACACCACCCGTCCGCCCTTGTCACCCGTCGCTAGATAGTTTCCAGTATGGTCGAACTCGACAGTCGAGATAATATCAGCTAGACACCAGGAAAAGATCAGCTATCCGGCGGAAGCCATCAGAGCGTAGTACGGAAGGTCTTCCGAGAGGCAAATGCATGGAAATGGGTCCTAAAGGCGTACCTTCCGTGATGTCCTCAACATCTCCTTTGTCACCGAAGCACCTAGTGTTGGGGTTAGTACCACGAACTAAGACGAACTAAACAAATCGAAGGAGGCGCCTTCACGCCGGCATATCCAAGTCCTTGCCAGACAGCAAGACTATGGGGAAAGAGGGTCGCAGCGGGCTCGAGGGAAGCCTCTCCATGGAAGAGGATACTTGGCAAATGGCACTTACTGCGTGAACTTCCAGGTAGGAGTACCCGGATCCCTGTCTACCATTTTCTTCCAATTCTACCCTTTGTCGGGGCAGTGTCCAGCAGAGCACGAAGGAAGATGTCAAGATCCACAGGTCGAGGATCTTGGGTTGAGAAAATTAAGGTGGGGTTTGCCGATATCGATATGGTGCGGAGAGACTCGAGCGGGAGAACTTTTCACGCGAAGATCTATGTGGTGGGCGACTAGAAAGAGGAATCGATTGATGCGAGTCACGTAGGAACGACGACAGGTTACGCTAAGAGGGTGAAGTTTGCGTGAGGATGAGGTAGGTTCCAATGCTCGGGTAGGAAATGCAACGGGCGGAGAGGAAAGGAATCGAGGCCGTGATATCCGCCGAGAAGGTGAATTGGCAGAGATCGGGTGAGTCACTTGTATGCTGGAGAAGACGAAAGATTGACAGCCAGAGCTGACAAGATCAGAAGCCAGAAGATGGAGGAAAGAAGAGGAGTTTTTTGGTGGTCTTTTTTTTCGTGGGGGGGTGGGATTTTAGTCGTGCCTCAAACTCCCTTCTCTCGGGTGCATCAAGATTGGAGTGGGCGGGATTATCTATGAGAAAGAGAAAGAAATCTCAAGGAAACGGCTGAAACCGGCCAGATAGAGTGGCCGATAAAATAGTGGCAAAGCAGAGAGAAGGTGGGAGTTGAAAATGCGGGATGGGGAGAGGGGGGAAGAGGAGGAGGAGGAGGGGAAGTGGGAAGGAAGAGGATGACGATACTGGGCAAGATGGAGGAGGAGAGGAGGAGGAGTGGTGAAGTGCGGTGGTGGTGGTGGTGGTGGTGGTAGTAGTAGTAGTAGTGCTGGTGCTGGTTGAGGTGAGGCGGTGGTTTGGAAACACCCGCCCGTCGGTCGGTGGTGGGTGGTGGACTGGTGGTAGTTGGTGGGGAGGGAGAGGGTAAGTGAGTGAGTGAGGAAGGAAAGGATAGGATGGATGGAGTGGCTGCCCGTAATTCTAAAAAACCCACACGCAACAACAAGACAAGTCAACCCAACTTACTCAGAGCAACTTAAGCTGGGCGCTGACATCAACCACTCGTTTTCATTTTCGACAGTTTGATAAGGCACGAAGTAGATCAATGAATCTTCCACCATCCTGGGGTTTGTGTTGAAATATGATTCAATTCTTCATGAAGAGTTATTCTGTCTTACCTTTGTTATTGCTCTTTGCCTCTACTCTCGTTGTTCAACCGTTTTTCCTTATTCTATTCAAGCACCCGTCCACTTCCTGGTTGTTCTTCTGCACCCGGCCGTGTTGTAGCTAGAGCTTCCAGACCACCACCACCAAGCTAACTAACTACCTACTACCCAGCAATCACTACGATGGCCATTACTAACAATGAACGATGCAAAATAACTGACCATTCAGCTGCAAAGTATCTTTCCTCATCCATCACAATGGACCGGAGGATCCGTTCGGGCTTGAGTAAAGTGACAAGTGACGGACTTGAGCGATGCTCAGCTCCCAGACTCCCACTACCAAATTCCCCATCGGGCGTTTTTAGCTGCCTTGAGAATCAGGGTTTCTTTCCATCACCAGCCCGGCGGCCTGAGGCTCTTCACATGCTTGTCTTCCTCGACTCTCTATGGATCCCGACCGACGGCGACACCGTTGAGCCGAACACTGACTACACTACGACGTACTATAACTATAGCTTTTGCGGGAGAAACTAATTCAATGACAGTTCAGTGACAGTTTTGATTTTCTTTATCGGCCGATCTCTTTGTTGTTCCCGCCACACTCATTGACAGAAATAGGTTGATCCCACCCATTCTCTCCCCGCTCGTCACGAACCATGCCCGACAACCAGAAGCGGGGCAACAGTGACGACAAACCCGCCGACCCTCACCGCAAGGAGCCCGAGCCCAAATCCTCCGCCGGGGCCAACGAAGGCGACCAGGATGGCCATTCGCTAGCCAGTCGCATCCAAGATTCCGCGTCTGGACTCGCCAGAAGTGTGTTTTCCACCTCGGGCCAGCCCTCTGCAGAGACCGCTCAATTGCTGGCCGGCAGTGGTAAAGCCTCGTCCGCCTCGTCCTCCTCACAGTCCGCCCTATCAGCAGCGCAACAATTTCACGAAACCACCGGATTGAATTCTTCGCGGACAGCAGATCAAGCACCAGTCACACAATTCGAAGCATTCCGATCATCGTCCACCACCCACGCCGGAGGGTTCGAGCTTCCCTCGCTCACAGAAGATGAATTCCAGCGCACGTATGGGGAAGAATCCCTCAACGGCAGCAATGGAATGTACCTTGCAGCATCTGCTCCAGCGGCAGCGGACTTAAGCACAGTCGACACGGGCAAAGGCAAGGGCAGATGGACACCGAGTCATCATGCTGCCGGCGAAGGGGATCTGTCTCAGGACAAACAAGGCGGACAAGCGTCCGCCCTTCCGTCTGACGGCGCCGCAGTCGTCTCGCTCCTCTCCGATTTGACCTTCGACCCCAACTTTCCCCCGTCCGCCAACGAGCCAGCGGAGGTAATCGAGACCGAACTCTCCGCGCCAGCCCAGCTCACCCCCGCGGAGATCCAGGCTCTCGAGTCTTTTCGTCGCGTGCTTCCCACTTCTACCATCAACACACACACTACCAACCACGTAAACCCGCATATTCTCGTTCCTGATATTAGCAGCTTCCTCGAGTCCGTCCCGTCCGCAGCCAATACAGACGCCGTGACCCTGCGCGACGCGGTCATGACGGGATTACCAGGCGCAGCGGACTGGCTCGGGGTGGAGGAGCGATACCACGACGAGGTATGGGGCTACCTGCAACCTACTCTGGAGGCCGCCGCCCAGGAGCTACAGTCCAAGGACAGGGGTGGCTCAGATGGCCAGGAGGCGGATGGCCCTGCTGTACGACGTCTGAGGATGATCTTGAAGCATATGCAGACTGGTCCTGGTGCGATGGGGAAGTAGCACTTAGGGGGGTAGATGCGGGTGCATGGTAGTGATATATCCAGATGGTATTTCCCTGGTCCAGCATTGTCTGGTAATACAGACTGTGCAGCTGGTAGATTTGTCCATCAAGTTGAATTTATAGCGCTGCGTCAAGCGACGAGCACCTTCTTGACTGTATCGCGTGTATATATATCTCTAATTCTAAATGTCCAAACTCACGCATACAACTTGTTAGGTATACACCTAACCTGAAAACCAATTCGAATGCACACAATCAAGCTATTCAACACCAACAATAGAAGAACCACAAAGCCACACGATCAACCAACCACAATTTCCTGAATCCAGTATAGTGCAGACAGTAGAGTACATCCATCGCCCACGCAACAAAAACAAAACCTCGTCCACACTTGTCTCTAAATCAGATACCATACCTTAGTACTACAATAAAATAGCACAGACCGACAAACCCTCTGCTCTTGACCCAGCACCTTAATAGACAGACAGACAATCCTCTGTCCGCTGCAGCGCCCACCACCAAAATCCCCGGATATGTACACCGTATCCAGCTCCCATACTCCACCACCTTGTTCAATCACACACCTACCCCAAACCCAGCTACCCCTCTAGTACTAAGGTAGCTACAACAATCACACCCACCCATCCACCTCACCTCCCTGTTCAGTATCCAGCAACCGCCAACAGTGTCTTAGCGTAGGATAGTATACGAAACTCCCCAAACCCACCCTACAGCCCCACCCTTTACCAAATCCCCACAGGAGAATGAATCCGCACGCAATACCTACGCAGCCGCCACAGGCCTTTTCTAACTAAATTCCCAACCAAGTCATTGGCAAGTAGTCCCTACCTCTCTTGGAATCCAACTAAAAAGAGAATAAATCTCTTAGAGCTTGGAGAAGGGCCGGGCCTTCATACACACCACACCACACAAACAAACAAACAAATAAATAAACACGCCCAGCTACTCAAGCACCGAGCCAGAAGGACATATAGATCCTCAACGGATACCGGAGGTAGTATCTAGATATGACTGCCCCCACAAGCAACAACAAAAAAAAAGCCATGGAATGGGGTTTACAATCTTCCTCCCTATCGGTTCAAACAGGTTGGTTTTAGTTTTCTATATTTCAGGTCTTCAGCCAGTCCGGATTATGATAAAATAGTTATAAATATATTATCATCAACTAAGCTTAGACTCCAAGGCACAGTTTACTGTCAGTTTGGGGGAAAGGGTGTAGTCCGAGTAGCAGGTCTACATGGAACCGGTCGACCAGGATATATAGATAGGTAGCACAGTTGCGCTTCGGGCTTGTTGGGATTTGTGTAAATGACTATCAGGGGTGACTGATCTGATCTGCGTATATGTATAAACTCCGAATCTCCTCGCCTCTATTTTCATTCTTTGATACATGCCCACTACTACAGTATTTACTGATGTCTAGGACAAACCTACCCCATCGTATCCTCCTAGAGGCGAGAATAACACCCACCACTACAGCCCAAGAACACTCATCGAAAACATCACCAGACAGTTCCATACCCAATCACTAAATATTATGTACAGTTAATAAGGAACCACCACCTTCGAGCCTCCAACCTGAGGGCTGGCTATGAGCCAACGACCTCCGCTCAACTCCTCTCCGACCAAATCTTCGTCTCCAGCGTCTGCAACGACTCCACTGTCAACGGCGCCACGAGCCCGATCATCGAATTGCGCCAGAGATTATTCGTCGGCGCCGGACGCAGGCTGCTGCTACTCGACGACGTGGAGGGCGGGGTGGTCGGATACGGATGCGAATCCAGGGTGGAGGAGCTCGCGCGAGCAGCCAGAATATCACCATGGCTGCTGCTATTCATCGCCGTCGTCGCCGTTGTCGCCGTCGTCATGCTCTTCGCGCTCAGAGACTCGCCCGCCGAGGAGGTCGGTCTCGACGACGATGACACCAACCCCGGGGTTAGGCAGCTCGGATGATGCCCAAAATACGGGCTGTCGAGAGGGGCCGAAAGCTGGGTCTCGGCGCTGCGGACACTGCTCGCTGTCTTGGAGGCGGTCGTGCCGGTGGTGGCCTGGGATTCGGCGCGGGGGCGGAAATGTGGCGAGGAGGCCATCGTGTCAAAACTGGGTCGTCGTCGGGGGTCATCCACCGTCGTTGTTGATGTCGTCGTCGTCGTCGTTGTCGTCATCGTAGGCGCCTCCTCCTCGGAATTCTCTTCATACTCCTGCCCGGCGGGGATATAGCATTTTGAGATCAGGTCGTTCTGGATGCACATGATCTTGTTCAGGGCGCGGATGAGGGCGAACTTGAAGCGGACGGTCATTTCCGGGTGGAGCGAGATCCATTCGATCAACGCATCTTCCACGTACCGGAGGCAGGCGTTCATGTGGATGTATTCGATGTTCAACGGGTGCAGCAGTTCTTTACCGGTATGCATCCTCCTTTTAGGAGCCATGTTAACGAACTGATGCGCGCAACATCTGAGCGAAAGAGCCGGAGGACTCACCCTACCTTCTCCAAATACTCCCAATACTCCATCTGGCTCGGGTCGTTGCACAGCCGGGTCAAATACCACTTCCAAAAAATCTTGCGGCGCTCCACGTGCGGACTGTCGATGGTGAAGAGATCTTCCACGTGCGCGTGGCAGGCGGTGTTGCGGGTCCGTAACGCGCGGGCTGTGATGTCGAACTCGAGCATTTTGGAATACAGGCGATGCGTGAGGTCTGGGATCGCCGTCTTTAGGTACTTGACGCCTTTGTTGAAAACGATTATATCATCTTGTAGGCAAATCCAGGTCAGAAACTTATTCGGAACAATCAGGGAGAAATCTGCACCTTCCACCAGATTCAAAAAGGCCTTCAAATACGCAATGCGCTTCTTGAAGTCCGTGTATAGCTCCCGACGATCCACATGTCGAATATCAAACTGATCCAACTTCGGCCGATTCGGCATGGTGGCAAGATGTGTAGCTGATAGTTTCCGATACCTTTGGTGTTGGATGGTGAGATATCTAATTCACGTGCACTGAGAATACAATAAAGCGAGTGAGGGTATCAAAGGAGTCAGTGGCCAGCCACTAAGCACTGCTTTTATCGTGGGTGGATTAGTAGGGGTCAAAAAGATCACGAATCGTTGGACGTAAAAGAAAAAGCAGCGCAGGGCCTCGCGTGTGTCAGGGACAGGAGGACCAGCATTTGTACTATCTCCGAGCAGCAACAGCAGCAGCAACAGCAATCTAACTACCCTCAGCATGCGACTTTTCAGCCCTTGAGTGCCTGCCTGCCTTCTTCGGGGAATCTGGGCCCTGTCGCACGCAACCCGAGGAGCTGACTTCCCTGCCATGCTCCACAGGACCACCGCTACAGCAGGTACACACATCCAACGTAACCCCCGAGCATGCGCTCATCTCCACGGACTTGTGCGAGGGGAGAGCGGACAGGACAGACAGGACAGGACAGGACCGCCCACCATTATTTTTCTCCAGTCGGCACTGCCCACTTTCCTATCCCACCCGCCATCATCCTGCCCCATCAAAGACCGGCGCTGAGCACGACTCATGTCGCGGCCCAATGGCCAAACGGCAAATAGATTAAGATGGAATTGAAGCGAAAGACAAGCGCCCCCCACTCTCACCGGGAAAAGGCGAAATCTTTCCCCTGTCATTAGACCCAGATTCGAGATTGCGAGTGGTCCAGCAGCTTTTCAGCTCGCGCCGGGTACCATTGCCCCGATCCCACCCCGCAATTGGGTGGACAATGTTGAATGGACATAGTCATGGGTGGGATTGGTGGTGGAGCATTCATGAACGGAGATGATCAGTAGGGTGAATCGTAATAAGGGGGGCGATCCCCGAACCACACGAGGAGGGGCTCGGCCGAGGGCAGGTTTGTCTAGGCCGGGATATCGCCGGAGGGGGTGATCAGAGATGGTCGTATTCAAGGATCATAGTTGACAGTGACAGGAATAGGATAGGACAGGACGGATGGGTGGATTAATGGCGAAGACCGCATGGTATTGTTTTGCTGTTGAATGTTGCGGCTGGCGTTGCCCGCGTGCGTTTTGCCTTCGTCGGAAGGGGCCGGAAATCCCGAGCATCGATCTCGGGGGAGTCAGCACAGGCACACCTGGAAAAGCAAGCGATCAGGCCACTTGAAACAGCCACCAATGACCATGTTTGGTCTAGATAGGTCGAATCATGTTGGAGATTGCAAGTGGAGTCAGGCACCGATCTAGATTGGCCTTACCAGGCCTCCCTTTGAAGCTCCAGGTATCAGTCAATTCGATCAGTTGTTAACTTGTTTCCAATGGCTGAGATGGATGGAAAGAAGCGACGGGTTCAACAACAACAAAAAAAGGAGCCAAACAATAAACAAATACGAACCAAGCTAAGATCCTTAGATAAGCGTAGCCAACAACAGCCATCTTCACCACCGCCACCATGCATGTATAAGACATCCATCCCTGTCCAACAACCAGATAAAGAAACAAATCCATCGCTTCATCTATCTGGTCTTGTCCGAACACGAGCCCAAAGGAACAAGCCCAACATGCATCGAGAATCATGGAATCAACTCCGCTCGTGACAGTAGAGCTAAACATGAGCAATTATCTGATCTATCCACCAGACAGTCGCTCTACGAACCCGGTTTCACGTTGTAATCCACACGAGGGGTCTAGAAGGGCCAAGGATCCCCAACTAGGGTATGTTTCAAATGTCACTGCACTCGGTCCCAGGAACCTAGACGCACCTGCATACAATGAGCGCGGGCTATAGTTGCCTGTGAAGGCGTGACCCCCACCCACTCATCTTAATACATCATCATCCTAGCGCTCGAGTGCATCACTACTACTTATGATGTACACATATACCCCCTATCACGAGGTAATGCACTGTAAAAATTCCTCGTGGATTTTGCCCGAGAAGGCAAGCTGGGCTAGTGGTGGGATATCCATTCGACTCAGCAATTGTGCCTCTCGACATGTCAACAGCATCGGATAGAAGAATAAGCACTTGCTCTAGTGGTCAGATTATACGGAACGGTCCAAGAATCCAAGAATAATCTTCAATTGATGTCCTATACTGCTTGTATTTTACAACCACCGCAGAAAGAACCAAACGTCTAAGCCCCATCAAAGGCATGCATGCATGCATCACAGCAAAGCAAAGCGAAAAAATAATAAGACTGACTAGGGTATGTATCAACATGGCTGCAAGATCATTTTCATCCAAAAAAAAAACAAAACAGACTCTGACGCGCAAATCACAGCTCTAGGCTGGGAGTCTGTCCCTTGACGCGACCAATCACAATGTGGGCAGCGTACTTGGGGATGACCTCGTCGTCGTGGAGCATCGCGAATTCTAAAGTGGCTATGGTCAGTCTCATTCTTCTTGACATCATTCACGAGGGAAAACACACCTTCAGTGGCATCGCGACCCATGAAGTTGAACAAAGCATTGGCGCCACCGGGGTGCTCGTCTAACCAGTTGGTCACGTCTAATACAACACCCTTAACCACGATCCACAGGTCCTCCTTCTTGTTGTGCTTGGCCACCTCCTCCATGGAGTACTCCGTCTCGGGAATACTGAACTTGGCCGGGCTGGTGGGCTTGGCAGACTCCGGGGCACCCGCGGGGGTGGCGCTAGACTTCGCGGCCTGGACGGAGTCAGCAGGAGTTCCGGCAGCCGCGGAGACTTGACCACTACCACTACCGGCTCCAGTCCATTCGACGGCGATCTTGCCCGGGGTTGACGGGTCGATGTGCAGGGAGATTTGGCCCAGACGCTGCTGTGCGGTGGACGCGCCACCGGAGAGGAGACGCTTGAAGAGGAACTGGCTGGCGCTGTCACCGGCAACACGGCCGTAGACGACGCAGCCCAAGAGCGAAGAGCCACCCAGGCGGTTAGCGCCGTGGACACCGCCGGCAAGCTCACCGCAGGCGTAGAGACCCTCGAAGGGCTTCTGCTCGCTGTTCAGGACCTCGGCGTGCTCGTTAATCTCAATACCACCCATGGTGAAGTGAAGAACGGGCTCCATAAGGGCCACGTGGAAGTCATCATCGATGCTGAAAGGCAGGTTGTGGAAGAAACGCTTGCCCCAGGGGTCCTTCTTCTTGCCATCGGCGATGGCATTGTAGTCGTCGAAGGTCTTCTTGAGGGCAGCCTCGCCGCAGCCAATCTCCTTGGCGAGTTCCTTGCCGGTCATCTTCTTCATCAAGCCACGGCCGGAGTAGTGACGAGTGTGGAAGTCGAGCACATTGGAGGCCTTGCTGTTGAGCACAAGGCGGATGGGCCATTTGTTCTTCTCCTTCTCCTTCCACATCTGTCCAGAGACGTAGTCACGGTGACCCAGCTCATCCGAGAACCGCTCACCGTCCGAGTTGAGGAGAAGACCACCCTCACCACGGAGCGCCTCAGCAGCCAGGAACTTGAACTTGGCGGTGGGGTCCTTGGGGTCGACAAGACCCGTGGGGTGCACTTGGACCTTGTCCATGTCGATTCCGTTGGCGCCGATCTCCATCAACATCTTCTGGCCATCACCCGTGGCGTGGGTGCCGTTGGTGCTGGACAGCCCGAAGGTGTCCGGACGGTGCTGCTTGAGCAGTGATCCATCGCCAAAGTCGGCAGCGTAGCCACCGGTGGCCAGGACGACCACACCATCAGCAGTGTGCGTCTCGCCGTTGTACTCGTAGGTGACACCTGTCACAGTATTCCCGGACTTGTTGATGGAGGTAACGCGGGCCTTCTTGATGATCTGGACACGGTCGGGCTCCGACTCGGTGAGCTCTTCTAACCGTTGCATGAGGGCGTAGGTGATGGCCATTCCGGGGAACTTGGCATCGTGACCACGGTGTGTGCGGGGCTGGGAGTGACCACTGCGCAGAATTAGCATGATGGCTCGAAGTCACCAAGAGTGTCCGGTTACAAAGCAAAACTCACCCCAGGCGGGAAACTAGCGTCAAATCGAGGTTGAAGACATCCTGCAGCCACTCGACCGCGGAAGCAGAATTGTAGGTCAGGACCTTGATGAGGTCCGGACGAGCTTTATCTCTGGCCGATTTGAGGGTATCTTCGTAGAAGGTCTTGACACTGTCGGGGATTCCCAGGTCGACCTGGGTGCGGGTCAGGGCGCCATTGATACCGGAAGTAGCCTTGGTGGAGTTGCCACCGAAGAAGGCTGTCTGGAGTTAGCCTCGAGGACAGAGATGGAATATGGCGGTATCGAACTGCGATCCCAATCTTATCACTCGCCACTTCAAGGGGAAAGAAAACGCACCCTGCTTGTCTAGAACGAGGACATTTCCACCGTTGAGGTAGACGGTGTGGGCGGCACTAAGACCGGACACTGAGCGACGAGGCAATGGTCAGCAATGCGGGGAAAGCTGGAAACGGTTAAGTCGGAGTCACTCACATCCACCGCCAACTACAATAATCCTGGGGGCAGTCGTCATGATGTGGGTGAGTGTGTGAAGGGGATGGAGGATAAGATGAGTAGGGGTGAGAAAAAAAAACAGAAGATCGATTGGGAGAAGGAAAGGTAAAAGTATTTGAAGAGAGACAACAATGAATGATGGGCAGATCTTAAGAGAAACCCCCAGTGATCCGGGGGAGCGAGAGAGAGTCGAGAGGGAATTCCAATGTTCAGAAGCCGATCGGGGGAGAGCTGCTTTATCGGCCGAGGCTCATCCCATACCCTGTCCATACCATACGTATCGATACCGTCTGCCTGCCCCAGCTCTAATCCTCAGGTACTGTACGGAGTACGGGAACAGCTAATACTGGCAGACTAAATACATCTTCACTCAGTCTGTGCTATAGTACTCTACACCGTAGCACATATCAATCAACAGGGTGACCTCATCCAGACTGCTCATCCAGAACTAGAAATCCAACGAACTTGAGGAGGATGATAACTACAACCTGCCCACTGGAATGTATGTTCCATGTAAGTATATTGACACACGAACCTCGCCCCTTCAAGCTACATATCTTCCCATCCATACCATCACATGCCGAAACGCGAGTTGGTTTTTTCCCCAGAAAAGTCAGCAGATGCTTTCTTTTCCCCAGCCCATGATGATGACACAATGGAGCTCGAGTCCCTTTCACATGCCGCTGCTGGGAAGAGCAAATGAGCGTGTAGGCTTAAGTCAGCCCGTCATTCCCTCCCCCGCGCGGACGATCACTTGGTTTTCTCCATCTTGGAAGTTCCAGTTTCCAGTGCCACTGTTTAAGGTATCTTTCCCCGCCTGGGGAAATCCTAGCTGTGTGTGTCTCCCTAAAGCACTTGAGCACTTCAGCACTTACGAGACTCCTACAACTAACTTACCGTTACCATTGAGTCTTCCTATCTTATAGTCATCGAGACGAAACCAGTTGCAATACACCCAAAACATAAACCAGTAGATACCTTTGTAAGCTGGAGCTGTGAATCAACCAACCAACCCAAGAAATGAACACACCTCCCTTTCTTCAGCGGGCTAACACCCCTGTCCAAGTCGAATGTACCTCGGACCGAAGAATAAGATGGTGGCTTGATTGATCTACTTCAGTACAGTACTTCCCCTCCCGAGTCTATAGGTGAGCCATACCGACCCTTACCTCCTCACCTTGAAGGACAAGACTACCATCTCGAGCGACATCAACCACACAAACAACCACTACTCCCAGAACATCCAGACCGTACAAGACGCAGTACTGTACCATAATACCCCACAGTCCACCCTCACGGTACATGTAACTAACGCCAGATTACCCTCCAAATCGGCAATTGATCACCTGACCCAGACAGGTCGGCTACTGCCCACCCCTGCCCTGCTGACACCACCACTTAATCCCACCAATCAGCTCGCCCCCCCCGAATTCCGAACTGCACCCATGACGTAGAAGCTGTCGTCTATTGAAATTCCCGGATTGAGAAGATTCAAGTTGCCGCCCTGGGCATGCACGCATCCGTCATGCTCATAACCCCTATCTGCATGCGGTGGGTTTAAGGTTATCAACAGAACGATGGGATAGAGAGAAGGGATCTTGAAGGGTTGGCTTGGTATGGAATTCTGTCTGCTGTATTGTTGCATGGTTTGCGAAGCTTGTTTCTGTAATTTACCTTCTTCGATGGGGCTTCACCCTCGGAGCGAGATAGCCCGACCGTAGGGGGACGAGACGTCGGGGATTCGGGGTAATTGCTGCTGGTCGGTTCGTGATTCCCTGCTGTTTGTGCGAGCTGGCATGTCATATATGGGTGATTCTCGGGGTAATATCTACCTCTCGCGAGGGAGGGATACGTTGGGAGGGGGCATGTTGATGCGTCCACGGGGGGGAAGTATGTCAGGTTCATCGCTCACGGCAGTCGGGATACCATGCACACCGCGCTAAAAAAAGGTTTCTATATACAGTACATCAGATCGTTTGGATCTTGCCTGCTTGCTTGCTTGCTTTTACGTCGGGTCTAGTCCATCCAAGTCACGCTCTTGGTGACAAGGAATTCCTCCAGTCCTTGGGATGAGTTGAACCGGCCCCATCCGCTGTTCTTCACTCCGCCGTGGGGAAGGACGGGCTCGTCATGGACAGTCATGCTGTTGATATGGACGGCACTGCAAGCGTGGCGGTTAGCAAACTGGATTCGGGGGTCAGGCACAGAAGGATACGTACCCTGATTGGATTTTCCGCGCCATCGCCAGACCTTTGCGCAGGTCCTCCGTGAACACCGCCGCAGACAGGCCATACCCACTGTTATTCGCCAGGCGGATGGCTTCTTCGTCGCTGTCCACCACCATACAGGCCGCCAACGAAGCGAAGGCCTCTTCTTGCCATACGGCCATGTTCTCCGTCACATCGCCGAGAAGAATTGGGGGCATGCGCACGCCACCTCCAGCCTGGGCTGTCTTCTCATCCACCGAGCCAGAAAGCAGCTGGGCGCCATTCTCAAGGGCATTCCACACCAGCCGTTCGACCCGCTTCTTGGATGCTATGTTGACCAGCGTCGGAGGAGGCGACGAGGAGTCAAGGTTGGAGTTAAGCGCCGCCTTGAGCGCGTCGATGAAAGCCGGGGCGATGGAGGAGTGAACAAGGATGCGGTCCGTGGACATGCAGATTTGCCCCGACTACAGTGGCGTCAGAATGTCCCTCCCCCTCAGGAAATCGGATAGCAAAAAGAGAACTTACATTGAGGTAAGCACCCGCTAGGACGCCCTTCACGGCGGTCTCGATGTTGGCATCCGCGCGCACGATGGCACTGTTCTTGCCGCCCAACTCCATCAAGCAGGGCTTGAGGTTCTGCCCACAGACCGCGGCAAGCTTTCGGCCCACGGCCGTGCTGCCGGTGAAGTTGATTTTGCGCACCGCCGGGTGCTCAACCATGGCATTGACTACCGCAGGGGCATCCTGCGGCCGGCAGGAAATCAGGTTAAAGCAACCGGCTGGCACGCCTGCATCCACGAACGCACGGGCCAGCGCCCAGTAGCTGCAGGGAGTGGCTTCGGAGGATTTAAGGATGGTTGTGTTACCGGCGGCGAGCGCGCAGGCGGCCGCACGAACACCAAAGACGTACGGGGCGTTCCTTTTTTGGACAAAGTAAGTCAGTCAATCTAATCGCACATCCCCGAGTTGTGGAGAGAACGTTGCCTGCCTTGCTCAACGACTGGGAGAACACGAAACATACCAAGGGACAATGCCCAGAATGACCCCCATGGGCTCCCTGTAGATCATCGCACTTTGACCCTCTTCCTCAACGACGGGCACACTGCCACAAATGGAAGTGATGCGCCCCGCAATGTCCCTGAGCATGCGAATCCCGAGTGGAACGATGAAGAACTGCGACGCACCCACATCTGCGCCCATCTCCGTCCGCATGTACTCCGCGTTCTGCTCGAGGCGACTTTCCAGAATGTCAGCCGCCTTCAGGAGAATATCCCGCCGCACGGTGGGTTTGGTCTGCGACCACGCTGGAAAGGCCGCCTCTGCTGCCTCCACGGCGCGGATGGCATCTTGCGGGGAGGCAGAGGCAGCTGCCCAGCAAGGCTCGTTGGTGTAGGGGCTGATGACGTCGAATGTAGACTCTGCTAACTCCTCCTTTCCATTGATGATCAAGGGGATTACCGGGGGACGAGTGGGAGGTGCAGTCACCGCTGGTTTCGTAGCGAGGTGAGTATTCGTCATGGTGGGAAGGTAGGTGGTCTGTAGTATACTAGACTCAAAATCAAGCAAGTAGATCAAAGCATGCACTGGAATTGATATACACCCTGGCAAAAACCTGCAGGGTTCTGGCTTGGACCCCGCCACAGAGAGGGAGTACGATCTCCATTTTAAGTATGGCTGCTGGGTTGGCGAGGGAAGAATAAACCAGGTCAACAAGAACGGGTCGGACGGTTAATCCCCACTTCCGACTCAGCCTAGAGACTGTAGCAACATCGCTATGATTAGTGCAATCAACCATCACTTATTCTTGGTACTTATGGTCTCAGTGCAATTTATTCCATGTCATGCGGATTGTGGCCCTGAATTGGACCTTCTCAAGGCTATACTACTGAATATGCTCATGCTGCAAGTGATTCATTGTCTACATGCTTTGCACATGGCATGCCGTCATGCCAGTCGATCCCAACGATGATTTTTACCTATTCCAGCTGACAGCGGATTAACCTTACTGAGACTATTGAAGATGCTAACTGCCCTAGACTCAACCTTGTCCCCCAAACGACGTACCAAGTGATTCTTCATCGATTTAAGAACTGTGTGTGGGCATCGTTCCGGTGCATTTGAACAGGAGGTCATCCCTTGACTTGCCGGCCTTTTTAACCGATGGGCACTGCACCGTTGATTTTAGGTAACGCACGACCTTTCTGGGCGTCACGGACAATTGATCGGCGGTGCCGACCATGGTCCAGCACCGCGAAAGGTGTAGACTATTGCTCCTAGTCAACAAGAAGAGCAGGACAAACCCCATTGGCAAAGATCGAGGGAGCACTTTTGTCAGCGCAATCAATTGGGCGAAGCGATGAATCGGTTCTGGACTCTTTACGGCCGAAAGCACAGGATTCAATTTCGACTCCAGTTGTCTGTGGTGGTGGAGTCTCCACTCAGCGTGGTGGAGCAGCCTGGCCGGAGGGGAGACTCGGTGGGTTCTGGCTTCCTGGCATCTTGGTCAATCAAAGGGCGATCTGACTCCGATGATCATCTGTATCGGGGAAGAGAAGAGCTGAAATGCTCCATCCCAGTTCCCTCTTTGGCTGCTAGGCTGCCATTCATATGCGCATATTTGTCTGCCCATACCGGATTTGACCGGCCAGTAGTCGAATCGTTCGTGCAGGTGCAGAGCGATGGTGGTGAGTGCGCGACTTGTGGAAGATTCCATCTCTTGATACTCATAATTGTCAGATTCTCTCCAAGTTTGTGTCACGAGAAAAGGAGGCTGATGCCTCGGTTGCATTATTACTTTGTACTACTCCGTAAGTATAAAGGCAATCAATCGAAAGCCGATGGTCGTCAAGCTTGACTAAATCGGTACCGTCATAACTAATTAACTAATCTCCATGGTCCGAACCCGCGGAACCCCGCCCTGAGCCGATTGAGGCAAGCGTGGCGGGATGGCGCCGAATTCCCGTCGGAGTTTGAACTGACTCGTTCCAATCTCTCTCTCTCTCTCTCTCTCACGCACACTCTCTCCCGCTCCTACCCGTCCAGAACCCTTGGTTCTTGGGTTCTTTCTTTGGACGGTGGAGCTCAATTTTAAATGGCACGAGCCATCCCATCTGCAAACCGCTAGTCGTGCGTGGTTTCACCTCCTACTCTGTTTGCATAATCAGCATAATCAATTAGCTGCTTCTGCTCCTGCCTTTTCTAGAATAACCGATGCATCAGGACGATAATCCCTGTATAAGCTCATTTGGCCGAGTCTACGAACCACCCGCAGAAAATTTCGGTCACCGCTCTGCAGAGAACCCCTCATGAGGAGTTAATTACGTGCATACGAACTCCAACGTTGCCTTGCCACGCGCTGACGCAAATCCTCTGATCTCGGCTCGTGCTTTCTCAAGATCGGCGGGTGAAGGCCTCTTTTGCCATGTTGAAGCAATCACCTACTCCACCGTGGCAGTAAAGTGGTCCTAGTCATCGGTGTCGAGCTGGGAACGAGATTGCCCAGTGCTTCACACAATGTCTCAAGCTTCCAATAAATGACAAATGCGCCAGTTCGCAAGCACTAGTAGGCGAGGATCCTTCGCTCCGGAGTTCCTCTGCTGGGACCCATCGGGCAGGTTCTCATATGATCTGGCTATGCAATGTGTAGTCTACATATTGAGCGAGTTTCCACTTCTTTCTCCGTATTCCGTGAGCCTCTGTCTTCATTTATGCTAATTGCTGTTCGACCTGGGGGTGGCCCTCATATCGATCGTCAATATCTGGGATCGCTACAACACTTTTCTGAGGCGTTGATACCACTGCTGGGGCCTAGGATCCACCCCCGTGTACATACTCAATCAATGATGTTGTGATTGTCACATTTCACTTAAACATATACCCAGTCATTCATTTTACCCAAATCCAATCTCTTCATCCAACTATAAACCTTTTGCCAATACATCCACCATGGTCCTCACTGCGAGAGGGAAGGAGATGATATGCATCGTGTCGGTGCTGGTCGGTCTCTCCTTTATTGCAGTCATACTGCGTGCGTTCGCCAGACTGAAGCGACGAGTACGCTTTGGCGTTGACGACTATCTTTCCTTTGCGTCAATTATACTCCTCCTCGGCATGCTGATCGAACTGGGGCTCTGTAAGTCGAGCGACGCTGCCATCACCTCGAAAGCCCGCTAACCTCACACCCAGGGGTGACCATCGGAGGCAACGGAGCCCACCAAAACAGCCTGAATGTTGACACCATGATGAACTTCTACAAGGTAAACCCATCTGTCCTATCTACAGACACCCGATCAAGCAACTGACCGCCCGAACACATAGATCTTCCTGGCCAACCAATTCACCTACTTCCTCCTCTGCCCGGCCATCAAAATCTCGATCATCTGTTTCTACCGCCGGGTCTTCACAACCAAGCCCTTCCAATGGATCACCCTGGGGATCAACATCCTGATCACCCTGTGGGGGATCGCCATCTTCCTGGCCTGCGCGCTGCAGTGCCGGCCGCTGCGCGCCTACTGGGACCACAGCGTAGCCGGGCAATGCCTGGACGGGATGACGCTGATCATCACGAACCAGGCGTTCAACGTGCTGATGGACTTTGTGATCTTGGTGCTTCCGATCCCGATGATCTGGGGGCTACACCGCGCCTGGCAGGACAAGCTGGCGCTGAACGGGGTGTTCGCGCTGGGCGCCTTCGTCTGCTTCGCCAGCATCTACCGGATCGTCGTCCTCTTCTGGATCGACAACGCCGACACCACCTACACCGTCTACCAAGCCACGCTGTGGACCCACGTCGAGCCCTCCATCGGGCTCATCTGCTCGTGTCTGCCCATCATCCGCGGCCTGTTCCCGCGCTTCAAGGTCCCCAGCCACCGCCGCTACCGCTCCGCCCCTTACTACATCCCCACCGACGTCAGCACCTCGCAGTTCGTCGTCTCCACCGGCGCCAAGTCATCCCCTAGCGGTGCTGCTGCGGCGGCGGCGGCGGCAGCCTCCGACTTCTACAAAATGGAAGAAGGCCTCGGCTCGCGCTCCACCTCGACCGACGAGCGCGACGGCTCAACCTCGTCCATCTTCGCGCCGAACCACTACAACCACCACCACCACCCCATGGACATTACCGTGCGCACGGATATCAAGATCAGCGAGGATAGCTCGAACGGTCGTGCATAAGAGACCTTGCAGACTTCGCTAGAACCTCAACCCAGCAACCTCGGCTAAAACTTTCAACGAACCAGTCAGCACCCAGGCGCAACACCCGAGACAGAAACGGCATCACTGATCACGCATGGGTTACCGCGCCATCTGCCCTCATGGCGTCAGTGTCGAGATGTCAATCCCATCACGAAAATCCACATATAAGGCTGAACCGTGTTACCCGGTTCGCGTCGCCAGGGGTCTGAAACACCTTGCATCCAATCAGCTCCCGCGCTGCGTCGAGATGTCAACCGATCACGAAAATCCACCCCTAGGGCTGAAGCTCCTGGCTGTGTCACTTGGGACGTGTGGACGCGTCGGGGGGCCCAATCAGGTGTGCTGGTGCTGGCGAGATATGAATGTATCACGAAAATCCACTTTTAGGGCTGGAGACGTGTCTTTTGTTGGGACGTGAGGGGGTTGCCATGTGGGAGGGGATTTTGGTGGTGATGGTGATGGTGATCTGATAAGATTTGGTGGGGTGTTTGGGTGGTGAATGGTGAGTGGGTGGAGTGAATGGAGCAGTGGGTGGTGATGCCTTCCGTTCCTGCCTCTGTACGAGCTCACTGAGGTGAGATGGTCCGGCGAGGATAAGCGATGCTTGAGGCTGGATCGTGGTATACCCTATGGCGAGGACGGAGGAGTATGCTTCCTTTGGACAGAACCCCTCGGACCAGAGGGCGGATTTCCTCGGCTGTGTTCACATTCAAGGCGGAGGGAAAAGACACAGTACCCCCAAATGAGGTAGCAGGGATCTACTACGCTCCTCTTCTACCTTGACACACTCTTTGCTTTCAACTTGTCGATTTCATAGAACAGAAAACTTAGAATAGACGAACGCTAATGACTGCAACGAAGATTATGACTTATTGTATTTTTTTCCCTTTCCCACCATCCAGCTCTTTTCCATCTGATAGAACTCCATGTTTCTGACCCTACCTCTCAGCCGGAAGAGATTCTCATGTGACCACCTGAAAAGAGTCCCTTTGAAGACCGTACTGCGCCCATAATTAACCGAGCACCCTCAATGCACCGCCGCCTGCTCAGCGGCAAACTCCTAGACTCAAAGTTAGCACTCCTGCCCCATGCTCTTCCAACAAGAAACAGGCCCACCTACCGGAAACGCCTCCGTAATACTCGTAGCCACGCGCTCGACATCCTCCGCCAGACTCTGCACGCCCGCATCCCACTGCCGAATGTGCCTCCCGAAGGCGACCGACGACGACCCGGCCGCGGCCTCGAAGTGAATGACCCCGTCGATCTGATCGATAGTCCCCTTCAAGCGACCCTGCTCGACCATGCGCGCCGCATACGCCTCGGCCTTCTCGCCCGCCGTGAACTCGCCGCTCCCCTGCAGCCCCAGGATCACGGCCAACGCATCCGTGGTGATGTTCTCGTAGAGCTTACTCGCCGCAACAAGGTTGTGCTCGACGACGGCCTTATCCAGCACGGTGGAGCCATCGGCGGTGACGGCCAGCTGGTGGGGGGCCAAGCGCAGGGCGAAGGCGGCGACCTCGGCGGGCACGAGCAAGCGATCGAGGAACATCTTCTCGAGGATGGCGAACTCGTCGACCGAGGTGGCGCGCTCGTCCTTGTACAGGGTGCCCAGCAGGCGGGCGCGCTGGGGCCCCGCGGGCGCCAGCACCGCGCAGCGGATGGCGGCCGCCAGCGCGTGCAGCCGGTCCGACTCGTCCACGAGGCCGGCCGCCAGACTCACGCCGAAGTACTCCTGGCTGGCGTCGAGGAACCGCCGGCGGGCGTCGAAGATGCGCGCCTGCGCCAGCTTGAAGTGCAGTTTCAGCTCCGGGTCCGCGATCTTGGTCGGCAGGTTCTTGATCCGGTTGAGGACGGCCTCCGCGCTCGTCGTGTCGTCCTCCTCCAGGTACAGCCGCACGATCCGGATCCACAGCCGCACCTTCGACAGGTCCGTCACCTGCCGCTGCGAGCTATCGATGTGGATCCCCTGCAGCGCCCGCGCCGCCGCGATGTAGTCTTCTTCCGCCTCGTACGCGTCCGCCAGGATCTCCCGGATCGAGGCGTCTTGCTCCTCGACGGAGGTCGAGCGCGACTGCAGCAGCGTCACGGCGTGTTGGCCGACGGTGATTTTGGTCTCCGACGGGAGCGGCCGGAGGAGGGTGACGAAGAGGTCGAGGAGGGGCCGGGCGGCTACGATGCTGAGGCTTTCGCTGAGGATCGAGTCCAGGTAGGCGATGAGGTCTTGGGGCAGTTGGGCGGGTGGGGTTGTGTTGACGAGCTCGGTGAGTAGGTTGGTGTATTGTTGGAGCTTGGTGGGCGTGTTGGTCGAGGCTTCGATCTCCGATAATGCGGAGGTGAGTTTTTGGGAGGCCATGGTGGGGGATGTCGAGAGGGGTTTGTCAGGGGTGGGATGGGATAGTATTTGTCACAGTTTAGGAGTGCTGTTAAAAAGACTGTTGGAGTGTTGGCATAAATGTCGTGGCAGATTGGATATGTTGCTCTGTCGATGGCAGACGTCGGTGATGGAAGCTGGAGGTGGAGGATCGCTTATCGATAAGCGGCTCGGCCCTGTGAGGTTGGTTTGCTCAGCTCTGATTAAGGCATAACACACCACGGTCTTCACCCTTCAGATTGACAGTTCAATTAGCCCATTCCTCATCGAATTGCACCTGGAGGGGCATGTGCGAGAGGTCAAGAGCTTGCTAAGGTGCTGTCATAGCTGGGATGGTCACCTTACCGGAATCTAATGCAGGATTGTGTTACTTCTATCAATCAGTCTTACCTTCAATCACTTCCAGGCATCTACCCAGATGTCTCATGCAGCTAGTAATCATGAAACAGGAAATGCTATTCCTCACTAAGTTTGTTCTACCGCATCTGTGAACCGAAACAAAGAATAAGTTAAGAACACTGAACTTAAGTCTAAACAAAGAACTCAATAAAGCTTCTAAACACAGGCTGGAGTGTTTCTACCATTCACCCCCCAGGGTTTGCCACACCGCCTTGAAACCCGCCCGCCCGTTGAACTGCAAAGCGGAGAGAAAGAAAGAGACCGAAGCATGCAACCTCCCCCCATCAATTAACTCTCACTCTTCCCCCTCGTCCACCTTTCTCACCACTTTCCCGGATACTGCATTGAATGTCGCTCAATCTCGAAATTAAGACGCCCTCGCCTTCGTGAACTGCCGCCTGAGTGATCCTCCCCGACATCTCGCGCCACCGCAACAACCCACTTGTCTGGCGTCATGGTTCCCCAAATCAAGCAGGATCCAGACGCTCAGACGGCGCCATACATCAAACCCGACCCCGAGAGCAAAGACACCGTCCTCGCCGACATCGACGACGAGGACCTGTACGAAGATGCCGGCGATCTCGATTTCTCGCAGGCGCAGCGGAGCGTATGGCTCTCGCGCCTGCCCCGGTCGCTATGGGAGCATTGGTCGAACATAACCAACAACCTGGACGACGACGAGGAGGTTCAGATCGGAACGATGAGAGTGGAAGGGACGCCGAACGATATCAAACGAGTAAGCGACCATCCCGTAGAAGATCCGGATTGAGCTTGATTTCCCCTCTCGGGATAGCTTGGTGTCGGGAATGAATCGCGCATGAGCTAACCACCGGGCTTCTCTCGCCTTGTAGGTCAGTTTGCGCATCCCCGAGCGAGACGATAACCGCGAAATCCCCAAAGATTATATCCTGCAGCGACAGACGATAAACACGGAAATCACGTCGCACTCGACGCAAAACACCTACCTCTTTACGGAACGAGATATCCCCGGCCAGGAAAATCGCATGGTGGTCTTCGGCGAGGCCCGCTCCGCGCTGTACGAGTCGATGAAGCGCGAGATGAAGAAGAAGGAGCGCAAGAAGAAGTGGGAGCCCTACGTGCGCAAGACTGTGCCTAGTATGTATTCTCCGGGGGGAGGTGCCGGGCTTGATGTTGTGGTCGCTTACACGGACACTAGAACAAACGGCGCTGGTTGGTAGTATTGGGGAAGAGTTTAACTGCCTGCCGGTTGAGAACGAGGAATTCCGAATGTTGTCGGAAAAGAAGGCAATGGAGGCGCTGAAACCCAAGCGTGAGACCGTCTTCATCGATAAGATTCCGGGCAAACTACTCCAGTCGCGGAATGCGCTGCCGAGCGACAAGGGTGCATTTGTGGTAAGTTGTGGATATACTGAATTTCTTGTATGCAGATCTTATGCTAAATCACCGATCAGCAAGCTACCAAGCCCGCCAAGCTCAAGGCCCAGGAGAACAAAACCACGCGTATGCCGCAGAACGAGCTGCTGGATCTCATCTACCAGGCCTTCCGCGAGTACAAGTACTGGCCTTTTAAGACGCTCAAGGCCCGGCTACGACAGCCTGAGGCATATCTCAAGCAAACTTTGGAGTTGGTGGCTCATTTGGTCAAGTCGGGAGACTTTGCGATGACCTGGGAGCTCAAGCCGGAATTCAAGGAGAGCAACTATGCGACCGCGATGGCCTATGGCAATGCCAAGGAGGAGCTTCCTCCTGGTCTCGACTATAACTTTGATGAAGCCTCGGAGGATGATCCGATGGCGTCGGGAATGGTGACTGATAATGACGATGCACAGTTTGAGAATGTTGTCTAAAGAGCACGGGATGTATCTTGCATAGGCCATGGCGTTTTCTCTCTTCTTTCACTCTCTTTTGGGTTACTGGAGTGATGCTTTTCATACAGATTTGTTTTAGATACATCTAGTGAGGGTTTAGACCACTGGCTCACCCATCACATACCAGTTATCGATTCTCATTGTATCACAATACTTAAGTAGACTTCAAGTAAGGCCAGCCACCTTGGCCCAGCGAGGATCAACATTCTTGCCATGTACATGCTGCTTCTACACGGTTGAATGACGCAATCACGTGACTCATTTGCCGCTGACGGCTTTCGTCACTCACTCTCCCATATCAACAACACGCTCAGTAGCTTGACTCCCTTTCACGACTCAACCAACCTTTCAAAAACAGACAACACCCTAATCTCACAGAGACTTTCTAACGCGACCGGTGATTTGACTTCATCACCATGACAGAAGATCAAGATCTCATGGCTAAGATCAGCCAGCTTGCTGGTAAGCCGGAGCTTCATTCATCCTTGCGCGCGAGCGCCCTCATCCAGCTGCAACCCGCTAAACCCCTCGACACCAGGCCAGATCAACCGACATAAAAACCAACACACCGAGTCCCCTTACACCAGCGAAATCCCCGCCGGCCAATATGCATCACGGCATGTGCCATCGCGGGGACGAGGCTGGGCACCGTATCGCGGCCGACAGTACCACCCCCGCGGCGGCCGCCCTGTCGCTGCCCCCCACCGCCACCGAACGCTCATCCTCAACAACACCACCACGGCTTCGGGAACCCCCGGCTCAACGCCTTCTGCGGGAGTCGGGGCGGATACTGAAGGGGAAGCCAGCAGCAGCACCACCACCAACAACAACAAATGGGTGGCGAAGCGCGACCGGCACATGCAGTTGATCAACTCGGCCATTTACGACAAGGAGGCTCAGTCGCGCGCCAAGGCGATGGAGGCGAGCCGCAAGGCAAAGTCGCAGAAGAAGGCTCAGATCGAGCAGGCCAGAGTGCTACGGTATGCGCAGGGCCATGGTCGGATGTATCAACCGTCGGGGTTCGGCGCCCCGCCGCAGGTTGCTACCACTGCTACCGCCGTTGCCGCGGGTGAGCCGGGTGCGGAATACCAGGTTCTGGTCAACGAGGTGCCCTTCCGAGTTGCGCGCGGCGGAAGTAAATTAATCAGAGTGTCTGGTGCGTGTTTCTATTTCCGGATTTTTGGTTTCTTTCTCTCTGTCTGAGGATGCTCCCCCCTGTGTACGAGAGCTGGCTTACCGATGGTAGATGATCCGAACACAGCCAACAACACGCCCAAGAGAGTCACGATCGCTGGAGTGGTCTTTGTGCGCAGCAAAAATGGTAACCTGCACCGGCTGGGTGCCGTTACGTCGAAAAGGTGACTGTCTTGTGCTGAACATTATGTGCTTGCACTCACATGTATTACAGAAAGCCGATGGCGATTAAGAAGAAGGACGCTCTGTGCCAGCGATTTACTACTACGGGTACCGACACTTTCCCCACGATAGGCTTTCGGCCGCCTATTATCCCTTTGCCCCCCTTCCCTTTCCCGTCTGCTTGCCTTGGATGAGTGCTAACCAGACTGCGTATCGGATGATTTTAGGCAGTTGCTACAAAGGACCCTTGTGTCCCTACACGCACGACCCTCACAAAGTCGCCATTTGCAAGGACTTTCTTCAGACTGGTAAATGCAACTCAGGTATGAGTTGCGATCTCTCCCATGAGCCTTCGCCCCACCGATCCCCTGCATGTGTGCATTTTCTTCGCGGGCGCTGCGCAAACCCCGAGTGTCGCTACGCCCATGTTAGGGTGACACCTGGCGCTCCTGTGTGCAGAGACTTTGCCATCCTAGGATACTGCGAGAAAGGCGCCGAGTGCGACCAACGACACGTGCACGAGTGTCCCGACTACGCCAACACGGGCGTGTGCCATAAGAAAAACTGCCGATTGCCCCATGTCGACCGCGCAGGGCAGATTAGGAAGAATGCCGCCACCAAGACTGAGGGCGACGATGATGACGAGGAGTCGGACGCCTCCAGCGATGACGAAGAATACGACGCAATCGACTCGGATGACGTCGACTCGGACGATCTCGACGACGATGAGCCGGAGCTCGTCGCTGCTGCCGGGGATGACATTGGTGACCTCGCGCGGCAGCAGGACTTTGTCCCCCTCTAATTGTTCACCCTTTTGCCCACTGACACCCGTAGCAGTTCTGTAATTGACACTTGGCTGTGATAGTATGGAATTGAATAGGATCGCTGGCAGAATCTGAAACAAGACGAAGTGAAGAAAAAAAAAAGAAAGTGAAACTGGGATGCAAGAAGAAACAAAAACAAGGAATGGAGACAGTGAAATCAGACTTGCTTTGGAATAAGTTTTTTGATACCTCATGGACCGTCTGTCGTGTACCAGTTGCAGGCAATGATACCCCTCCTCAGGATGTTTCGTATGTCAATTGATTGAAGATAGAAATGAGACTGTGCTTTGGACTTGAATTGGGCGAGCATTGAATATTGTACTCCCTATGATCGTGTCTCCAGGTGAGTACAGTGTAGCACTTGACTATGGTGAGGAACGAATGAAGGAAGGGAGAAATCCCCGCGGTGCAGGACCATCCACACTGCTCTGCTTCGATCTTCATGTCTGATTTAGTCCGTACTGCACCTCCCCAGTACATACAGCATCATGAGCCAGGGGGGCGGAGGGAGGGGAGATCAGGCAGTACCCATCAGTGAGTCACTCGACCGAGTGAATAGTCGGTGATCATCAGGTAATTTGGGTTAGCTACCTTATCTTCCCTGACTTAACTTCCAGCTAGCTACTGGGTCAATTTCCATTAACCCAGCTAATTAACCCCTAATAAAGCATTCGAATAAGTATCTATGCAGTGTCAAACCCCATTCCCATAACCCCCTCCACATCCACATCCACATCCACATTCAAACCCACACCCCGTGGATCCGCAACCGAGGAACATGCAATGCAATGCAGGCTCCCTTCCCTATCTTTTCCTCCTTCCTATCTCTCCAAACGAACCAGGGGCCCATTCTCTCCTCCCAGGTCGGTGAAGAGATGCTGCAACCAACGGTGATGGACTCTTCCTGGCAATCTCGCCGCATCACTGGTTGCTTCATCTGATGCTCATTTGAATCCGGGGGTAAGGCCTTTCGTCTGGGTAGATTTTGCTATTCCTACCTAACGCGCGCTGCTCCAGTCCGTCAGACGGTGACCGCGTGTTCTTGGGGTAAGAAGAGGGACTGTTTCATGTTTGCAAGGCGTTGATCTGCTGGTGGGCTGGTGGCCATCCGATGTTCCACGGAAGCTGGATGCAGTATCCGTGGGGAATCGTCTCACACCGCACCTGCATAGGGAGTCAGTCAGTCTGTCGGTCACTCAATAACGATCCTACAGACCGTGAGTGAGGAGCAAGAGGCGGTCCGAACGCCCACCGCAACAAGCGCATAGCGCACACACTAAATCACACATGTTGTGCTGCATGACAAGGCGATCCGATCCCCCTGGTCCATGCAGCAATGCAGCAATGCAGCCAAATCCGTGCCTGATTCTTTCTGTCTGCTGCTGCTGCTGCTGCTACTTCTGTTCTGGCTTCTCTCCTTTTTTCCTTCAGCTCTTTCTCATCACCGCTCATTGGGGACAAAGCTGCTACCCCGCCAATCGTCATTCTTCCGGTCAATACCGAATAGCTTCCTTCTTTCCTTGGTTCCCGGGAAATAGAACCTGAAACTGCAGGACCTCGTTCACTAACTTCCTGGGGGGAAATATCGACTCTCTTCCGATAGGGGGAAGTGGGACCTGAGGGATGTGCTGACTCGGTCCACATCGTGCTGCTCCTCTTTTCTCCATCCTCGCTGCGCTTGCCTCCGTCATCCTCTACTGTTCCTGGTACCTACCGATTCATCCGTCGGGCTGACTGAACCTCTATCTCGCGTGGTTCTGATACCTTTGACCTCACTGTCGGACCCGCTCAGACGAACCGTGATTCGTGGTTACACGTAGATCAGGTCAGTTTGAAACACTCCGCAAGCTCTCTACCTTGCTTCGTTCAAGGCTGATGCTACACAGTAGTCATGAATTATTGGCCTATGAGAAAGGAGAAGGTCAGGTCAAAACACACCTCCGTGGATGAACGGACACTTCCTGTCATTAGTGTTCGTCCCTGGTGTCATCCATTGCAACCATGCCCGGAGTGCAGATGTTTCAAGGACCTCACCACCAATGCTTCGCATTTTCCTAGAACTTGGGGCTTACGATGTACATAGTAATGCCGGTCAATGGCTGCTCTGCCCTACGCCGTGACTAGTAGGTAGGTATCGGTAGCTACCGCGTTGGGCAACAATCACATCATGCAATCACATTCTTGATTTACGGCCAATCATTTCCAAAGCAACCGAGCAACAACCGGGCTACTGACCTCTTTCCCGACTTGAATCCTAGCATAGCTAATAACCGGACGGCTCTGCTGATCGGGATAAGCGTTGCAGGCGGGTTTGATCGCCCATTCGCACTAATTGACTTATGAGGGTTTTCTCCCGTGCGTGGTTGTTGATCTGCCACGGGGATGTGTGGTTACTTACATCGTGACAATCGGACTTGACGCAAAGTGCCCACGGAGCTTTAGAATATCCACTATGATACTGATACCCATTTGCTTCGAGAAAGGCGGTTTACTTGGGATATCCCGTCTGCCTTGACATCAAGCGCTCCAGCTCCACCGTTAAACATTCCCAATTGGGGCTCCCGCCGGCCCTTTGTACTGTACACCGCCAGAATGACATCTCTAGGAATTTCATTCCGCCGAGCAATTACCCGGAACAGTGGCTGTCACCGAGATTATGTCCTGAATATAATGCCGGGGACGGTGATCTCCTTTCCGCGATGGCGACTTTTTTGACGGCGGAAACTTTGTTCGACCGCTTCTCTTTACGTACGCCACACACGCACGGCCTATTTCATCCAGGAACCAGGTCCCCACACTTTATTCCGTTGTATACCCACCACGCACGCACACCGTACCTGTTCACCTCCCTCCCTCCTTTGGTTTCGATGCTTCCCCATCTGCACCTCCAAAAATCTCCTGCCTACCGCTCGGAGAACACTCGCCTTGGTCGTGTTTCATGTTCACCGACTACCACATCCGATTGGGAGCTTTGGGGGGGTTTTTCTTGTGCGTTGTCGGATTGTGATTTGTCTTTGGTGGGGAGGGGAGTGGCACACGAGGTGGGGAGAGAGGGCGAATCTGGCATCAGTCCTTTTTACTGTGTGGTATGGTTGTGGTGTTGCAGAAGATGATCTCGGGGACTTTTTTTCGGTGGTAAGTGCGTGCATGTATGTATGCATTGCAGCAACGGCAACCGGGTGAGCAGGAGATTAGTTTGTGCATGGCGATAGAAGGGAGAGGAGCTGTTGATTGCCCCCTCCCCGCCTCCTTCTTCTCTTCTAGGCACTGTGCATAGCTAGCCCTTCACGCGATTATCGCGAGAAGCGACGGGATACATACCGTAGGTACGGGTGGGATCAGGGTTAGGTAAGCATTCTAGAAGATCCCTCATTCGAGCTTTGTGCAGGGCTTGCAGCGAATCGGTCAAGCTCTGTGTCAGTTTAGAGCAGCAAATCATGTACTGTACCGTAGTCTTCGATGCAGACAAGAGCCTTGCTTCGATCTTGACCTTCGTACGAAGGTTCGCGATATTGATATCTGATAGCCGACGGTTTGATAAACCCGAAGAACAAGGCATCGAATCAAACTGACCCCTCGAATTCGAATTCCCTATCCTTTCGATTCTCGAGGCACCTTAGCAATCCTTAGTTGGTTTGGGGAACTTGCAAGCTCCAGTAGCCGGTTGTAGCTGTCCACCACCACGATGTACCCTACACAACGCTTGTCAGACCCATAACAACCAACAACCTTTCACATATCTGTCTACTAGATACCTATCACGAGCCTCTCATTCTCCCCGCGGGGCTACTGGATGGACTTGACCTGAAACACTAACTCATCATCCCCCATACCCGCAGCCGTTGGAAACGGATGGGAACCTTGTGCCTTGCTTTTCGTTAGTGAGTGCATACTGCGTTAGTCGGGTGGTAGTTACACTATCTGATCGGTACGTACAGTATGTGGACTAGACGATTTCATCCTATTAGAGGGTGGTAGGAGGTATGTCGCGCGTTGTTTGCTGGCTTCTAGTTGCTGGCACGGGTATGTTTGGCGCTTGGTTTTTGGGGTTTGTGGTCTGTATGTGTGTATGTACCCCATCTTTGACAGGATGTGGGATGGGACTTGTTACTTGGGTTTGCAGGGGATGTTTTATCATGGGAGGGGGAAGGTTATGGGCCTTACTGACAGCATAGTACTATGACTCACCTCGTGGTGAAGATACAGTATAGAGGGTATGCTAGGGTAAACTAGAGCTATGATAAGAGGTGGTGTAGGAGGATGGAAGCTGGCTAGCTACCGGCTGATATTCGCAAGTCGGATCTGTTATCTCTTGCCTTGGATCTGAGCTGCGATGCATGTGGGTGTACGTCTGGATGTATGTTTGGATGTAGTGTAAGTGTAGTGTGTATGCATGTACTGCATGTGTGTTGTGCTGCACTATATGAGTAAGATGGGCCGGGTATCGCGGTACAATATCTCGTGAATTGATAGTAGTGCCTGGGAACATGACGTTCTCTCTCCTCGGGTTGTTGTTGGTTGGCGATAGATAATGTTGTGAGGATTGATGCTGTGCGGGGGTGGACTATAAGGCTGTATGACTATTGGTAGTCAGTGAGTTGATAGTTAGTGATTTAGTGCTTGGAAGTAGCTACTAGTTCTATTACTATTGATAAAAGAGTAGATAAGAGATTCTATGCTGTTGCTCCTGACAATGTTGTTCCTGCTCCCTTCCAAGGTATCAATCCTATCGCCACAAAATGCAGCATTCGCACCCACGCAACAACAGTACAGTACTAACAACCCAAACACCCACAAAATCAGCCTTTACCACATTTCCCCAGTGCCAAACACCATCAACATAGCCTCCTCGTGTTTCAGATCCTGTCCCCTCGAGAGCCTACAGCATAAGATCAGGGCCACGAGAAAGAAACAACAAAGCACAGCATAACCCCACCATATCAAAAAGAACTACAGCGCAACCCCATCCCTCTGTCCAAGCACAAACCAAACCACACCACACACAAGCTGCACCTTTACTCCTACCCCCTCACTGCCCACGAACCAAGGATGAACAGGGATAGCATGCCAAATGCACGACATAAGTCCTACAGTCTTGCAACCGAGCCCGCATGTAGGTTTAGCCTTTCCTGCCATCCTCGTGCAGCATCCATTTCGACCCAAAAGCTACCTAGGCTTGCTCCCAGACAGCAGCAATCTCGCCTCACTCGTGGCTCTTTCCCGGTGCCAGACCAAGGTCCAGATTGGTGGTCGGTGCCACTGCACTGCTTTTTTTTTTTCTCGGAAGGGAGAGTTGGGATTCCGGTTGGCGATCCGAGCGGAGTGACGGCTTGATTATGGTATGGGTACGGGTATTCTGTAGGGTAAGAGTGGATGTAGGCTGTTTGGGGAGGGAAAGGGGGAAGGGTACGGAGTACTAGGTAAGTGATGTGATGAGGTGAGTGGTGTTCCCCGCATGGGATGGGGTTGGAGGAAAGCACTGATGCCTTACTTGTGCTTTTTTTCGGTATGTACAAGGACTGCAGTGTGGTTAATGGTGGTAGATGGTGAGGTACATACAATACTAGGTAGCGAGGTTAATTTGCTGGGTTTGGGGCGCAGGGTCACGGTCCGACACCGTAGGTTTGGGTCGGTGGTTTGGGGCTTGGGGCTGAGGGGTTGAGGTCTTGGGTTGTTTGGGTGGTTTGGTTTATTCTTAGCAGTTACGGAGTTGTTAGGCATGGTGTTGACAACTTCGGGTGGAGGTTGTTGGGGTTCTGGGGCTTGGGTAGAGAGTGATGCTTCTGGAGTTCCTCGTACGTTAGGAGACTTGATGCACTGGAAGGTACGGTTCCAAGGAACGAATGCTAATGACATAATCACTCTCTACTAAACTTCCTCTGTACTGTATGTAGGTGGGTAGATGAGGTAACTCCCGATTACCTAGTACGAGTACCTCGCGATAGACAATGCAGATGACGAGTGCGATTAAGCTCACTCAACCCCCATCGTCTCGTGGTATCCCCTTCCTCCTTGTGCGTATACCTAAAGAGGATACCCCAAGCATACAGGCTCAGTAGCTTCCACCGCTCAGCTCGGTTATCGCTCGCTGCGGTTGACCCGGATTTCGTATCCTCGATCCTGACTCGGCGTCATTCTTCCTCTGAGATTCTGGTTCTGTGATGTATACTGTACTCTAGACCTGACTCCGCATCAGGTCTGCATTTTGCAGTCGCATTCTGGTGTGATGCACCGGGCGTGTCGGTAACCGGAGCGGGCAGTTGCAATAACCCACGCTAAACCGTACCGAGACCAAGATGGGATGGTCTGGGCTGGATCACTGGATCTCAATAAACGGGCCGGCCCTAACGGTACCAGAGATGGATCGTTGTTTACATACTCTACTTTAGTCCACAGTAAAAACAGCAAACCACTATGTACTGGGAAGAACGGCTAACTACAAAACCACAGGAAGAATATCGTCATCGGGGAATCTAGCCTACGACTAGGCCGCTTCTCATTCTCAATGTCACACCGGCCCCGAATCCATTGGCTTCGACTCAACCGAGCAACGGACTCAACTCGTCCTGATTTACCCGTATTGTATGACAACACCCCGTCCCGTCCCTCTGTCCATCTGATCCTCTCCCCCTCCCCCTCTCTCTGCTGCTCCTCGCACCAGACTTGAGTGGGTATCCCTTCGCACTGTCTGATTAAGTACGATGCCTGTTCCCGGAAAATAAAGCAGAACTCATCATATCCCTCCCCAGGAAGCGATCATGAGACGGTTAGGAGGGGCTGAGGAAATGGGATGCACCTTGACTGAGAAACGGGCACAGACGTTCACTCGTTCGGGCAGCATCGAGGCTACCAGTACCGAGTAACGACCGGTGGGCTACGACCAACCCACGGGCCACGGGCCACGGCCCCTCTATCCACAGTCCACAGTCCACAGTCCACAATGCGCACCGTTGCTCTGCTAACGTAACCCACCATCCCCCCCTCCCATCCCTCGGTTCAGGTACAGTGCCTACTGGGAAACTGGAACCAGTGATAGAGTCGCCTCCCGAGTCATTTGCTCAGCCAGGTACCAATCGTTCTGCCGCAGATGTGATGAGAAACCGTTTGAAGAAAGACATCACGAACACCCAGAAGTTTAGCCCTGCCACGCGGGTTTTGTCGGGCTGCGACGTTTACCGTATAGTGTCGGTAGGTACTAGGGTACTAGGTCAGTTAGAGGGGTCAGTTTGAGCCGTTAATCGATAGGCTACCGATAACCGATGGGAACTGGCCGCCCCACCTTTCCCTCCTCCATCCATGGGATCTATCGCTATCATCCATCAGAAATCCTATCGCTTCTTGCCTTCAGATACCGACCACCACTGCTTTTTGTCTCTCCCGTTCGGCAACGGGAACGTGATACTCCGGACTTCAGCGAAGGATGGTGTATTTTGCTTACGACTTATGTGATTGACTGACTGATTGATGAAATACGAAAAAGGCAGCGAGGGCTACTAGGTTATGTCTTCCATCGCAGTTGGAATTAGACGGAGGGAGGGGTGGAATGACCGACACCGACGGCAGTCAGTCCTACCGCCCTTCCACTTTCAACCAACCTTGGATTAGGTTAGCTTTGCGGCTTAGGGTTGACCTTCCTTTTGAGATCCAGGTAATCTGACCTCTCTAGCTTCGCTCGTTCTGCCTGCGAAAAGCCAAACCTGCACGATACTGATGTGATGTGCATCGCATTTGAAGAGCTTATTACGCTCTCTCCTATGTTATGTATTGTACCGTGCTGGAGTATGTGCAGTCCCTACCCAAGCGAAGCCATAGTAGATCTCGTGTATGCCCTGTGTGCACAGTGCACTGTGCAGTGCACTGTGCACCCGGAGTCGACCGACCGAGTAAGTAGTCTACTCCGTCCGCATGGACCAAGAAGAAACCAAAAGTACGAATCCCAGCCAGAAAGGCTAGAGGGCGATCGGGGCCGAAACGAACGAAAGGACCGTGTGAGCGAAGGAAGGGCCTGTGAGGAAGATCACGGGCCAACTTCTTTTTCCTTTCCGTCGGTTGATCAGAGGGAAGCAGTAGCAGCAGCAGCACGATGAATAATTTAAATTAGATACTAACTAACTACGGAGTAGAGTATATATCAACGTATGTACATAGGCTTCTATGTATACATGTATATATGTGGTATGTCAGTAAGTTTTTTCGCAGGCAAGCGCCGCGCCGCGCCCATGAGATAGGTAGATAGATACCTAGTCATGGAGCACGAGAAGCGTCATGATTGTTATTCGTTCGTAAAAAGAGACATTGATTATTCATGTTTTAACATTTTCGTCTCTCTCTCTTGTCTTGAGTCGTTCTTTTATTTTTTTCCCCTGCCAGTTCCGCTGCACGTCTGCCCAACGAAGCATCCAATGATCGCGGCTCGTTAATCTCGGGAACAGTCAGAAATCCTCGCCTCGTCTTTTGACTTTTCCGCTGACCGCCGGATGGGCTTCTTCGTTTTGGCTTGGGCTTGAGGGAGAAGAATGAAGTAGGAACTAACTAAGGAGTTCATGGTTTGACGTGCCGATGGGTCTGGCTAAGTCCATTGAAGCTAAAGGTGGGATTGATAGAGTCCCCTTAGAAGAAGAGTGGAAGCTGTGGGTTTGGTTTGAGATCCATATTCCATAGGATTGTTGGTACAAGTTGGTAGTATACTATCAGGTATAGAGTGTAGCAGTATAGTGGGCTTCCTGTTTGGGAAATGTCATTATTTCATTCTTCCTGTTGTTGGTTGGTTGGATTATTTCTCTCTCTATCTCGATCTTTATTTTTATTTTTTTTTTCTTTTACTATGTAGATTCTACTCGATCTCACAGTAGGTTCAGTAGGCATCCTGTGGGGATTTGGGTCAGCATCGATTCTCCTGGGAATTAAAAAAAACCTCGCAATTAACCAGAATTATGTTTTTTGGAATTTAATCGCCTTTGTTTTGGATTTGGGAGTCCAATTCTAATTTAGTACGATTTGGATGCTTTCCCATTCTCTTGGTAGACAGACAGACAGACATTGTTCAGGGACCAACTTCAGGTTCCTATCTATCAAAGAGATCCTGACTGACTACAAGATCGAATCGATACTTGCAAGTTAGGTATATGTATGGACTCGTTCCCCTCCCGCTTGTCACTTGCTCTCTTCCCCTTTCATCAACATCATCATTAGCAACACCCACAACAACCACTACACGATTCCAACAGAGATTGATATACTTCCTCCTTCCTCGCCCTCTTCCCTGCCTCCACTTTTGCCTCCTTCGCGCCTGCAACCACCAATCCTCTTCCTCCGTTACTCGCGCATTCTAAATACTCCCCCTTCCTCCTCCCCTCGTCGAGATCATTTGAGACATATTTTCTTCTCATCGTGTCGCTCTTGTCTTACTTCCTACCTCTTACTTCTTACTTCTATCCTCATTATCTCTCTTGAACGATCATCGTTGCCTTTTGATTGCCCACCAGCCTCCATCGCCAACCCCGCACCTCATTTTCGACCTGTTTATTTTTTACACACCGCCTCTTGCCCAGTCGGTTCTATTACCACGACTGCTTCTCTTTGGGCCACGACCAACGCCTTCTTCTTCCTCTTCTTCCCCCATTTCTTCTCCCTCCATCACACTCACATTATCTACCATCATGGCGAGATATTCCCAACCGTCATCATTTGACTTCTATCAACAATCCCCTACTACCTTGGATGCCAAACCTGCATTTCCCGAAGAGGATGAGATGAGTGTATTAGACGACAAGATCCTGGACTCTACTTCCCCCGATATGGCTTCCTCAGCTGCCGACCACCGCAGACCCTCATATGATCATGCACCCGATGCATACACGCATCGAGATTCCGTCTGGTCCGACTTCTCCCATTCTGTCTCTAGCAATCAGTCCCGCCACAACTCTCAAGTCGGCCACCCGTTCTTTGAATCCGCCCCCAATCCTTTCATGCGCGTCGACGGCGCTCACCCGTCCGCAGCATACGCTCAGCAGGCCTCGTGGTCCCTGTCCAAGGACTCGGGCGCATGCACTCCCACCGCCATGTACGAGCACTTCCCTTCCGAGCTCGACCACAGCGCCTCCGCTCCGTTCGCAGGCGGCGCCGTCGGTCCCGTCAGCACCATCAACATCCCCTCCATGTCTTACCGGCCCGGCATGGCCTTCGCCCACCCAGCCGCCGTGGCTATGTCGCCGCAATCGAGTCAGGGTTGGATGCCTGCCGCCACTGACATGGCCGATGCTGTGGCCCGTCCAACCAAGAGTCCCACCTACCGCAACAGCTCCCCGTTGAGCATGCGCCGGGACGGCATCCGCAAGAAGAATGCCCGCTTCGAGATCCCTGCAGAGCGGACGCTGAGCAACATCGACCAGCTCATCAGTCAATCGACCAATGAGGAGGAGATCAAGGAATTGAAGCAGCAGAAGCGGCTGCTGCGAAACCGCCAGGCAGCGTAAGTGCCCCTCCTCCCACGCGCAATGACATCACTAACCACACTTTAGGCTGGACTCCCGCCAGCGCAAGAAGCTGCACACGGAAAAGCTGGAAGAGGAGAAGAAGCAGTTCACGCAGATCATCAGCGATCTCGAAGAGGAGCTGCAGAACATGCGCCTCCGAGAGGCGGAGCTCCTTCGCGAGAAGAGCGAATGGATGGCCGCCCAGCAGGAGATCACCCAGTACATCAACACGATGCACATGGAGAAGGACGAGCTGATCCGCGTGCACACCCTCGAGACCGCTGAGCTTCGTAAGAAGAACAACATTCTCAAGGAGACCGTGGAGAAACTCGAGCGTCACGCCAGACCATCGGCCCCCTCAAATCTGCCCTCGGAGTTCTCTGACTTTGAGAACTTGACGATGGATAGCAGCCCTTGGGAGGACTTCACGATGGTCAACAGTCTCTCTCTGGATGCCGAGGCAGTTGCCGCCCCGTCTGCCCAATCGACTTCGATGGTTGTCGCATCGAACGAGAAGGATAAGGCGAACAGCGACTACCCATTCAGCTGGAATGCGTTCTACATGTGCCTGCTGTTCGGCGCGTTCGTGGCATCGAACGGCTCCTCGCTTTCTGCTCGCTCCATGCCGCAGCTCTCGGAGGAGTACCGCGCGGAATCAGCCAACGTGCTGAAGGCCGTACTGTCGTCGTCTCCTCCCGAGCTCGCCCAGCCGATGGGTCAGGCCGCTGTCGCTCCCTCGGCTGCTGGCGTTATGCCTAGCACCATCACTGGCGCCCAGATGGCCCAGATGACTGGCACTGCGGCGCCGTCCCACCTTGATGAGCTCCACAGCACCCTGGTCATGCCCTCCAAGCAGCAGGAGCACGAGCAGGTCTTTGCTCTCAATGCGGACCAGTACAACTCTTTGACTACTTACGACGATGCTGGTGTTGAGTACAAGCAACAGCAGCCATCGAACCTTCAACAAGCTCTGGCTGCCATGAGAGGCAGTGTCCAGAGCAAGATGTCGACGAAGGCCACCTCCGACGTCTACTCACGATCTCTAATGTGGGACCGGGTCCCTGAAAAGGTGATCCGGGACTTCCGCCGCATGGTCCAAGACTGTGGTGTCTCTCCGGTCAAGGAAGAAGACGCCAATTTTGGTCACTAGTAGAATTTTTGATCCTGGGTTGGTGGCTCGCCATCGAACCCACCCCACCCACCTCCGCTTCTCCTCCATTTGCCTGCGTTTCTTCTCTGCGTCCACCACAGACATCTTAAGCGGCCTGATTGAGTTCTGTTGCCTTCATCCTTTCGCCTTCTGCAACCTTGAGTCTTCTGGGAAGACCAACTTTCTCTCCAGCACAGTGACAGTGCCTTTTTTAACGACCCCACGACTGCATGGCCCAGATAAGCCAGAATGATTAGCCCATATATACATAGACAGCTTTACTCAACTTACCAACTTACCAAACCATTCACTTCACCTCGGCTGGATATATCTGACGGCTAAGCAATTACATTGATGAATCACGTCTGTCAAATTAGCGATGCTGTTCTTCTTTTTTATTGCCGGCGCGCTTACGCTTTTTCTCTCCTTCGGCTTTGCTGGCTTCACCTGCGTATACTTATGATCAGACTTCCTGCCCCCTCACGATGGGGTGGCAAAGACGGGCTTACCTTGCATTCGTGTACATGCTTACACAACTTACGCGAGACTGACTCAGTTTACTTCTTGCACATTCACTTTGATCCAGAACATATTCTCCAAGGTCGGTGGTGGCAGCCTACCTTGGAATTCGTGCACACACACTTTTTACCGGAATACGCAGAGGACCTCTACTGTGTTTATCTCCGACGAACCAATTGACAGGCGGGAACAACAGAACAAACGGGACGGCAACTTGACTTTGACTTTGACATGCTCTAGCGCAGCGCTTCGGATCTGGCTTTTCGATGCGGCGTGTTTCTTATTCGGGTTTATTTGATTTTGGGTTTGCATTGCGAGGATACTGGGCTGGGAGCCGAGGGCGGCAGCTTTTATGATTATGTGTTACGATACGATGCTATGTTATGTTTTTGAGAGGGGTGGTTTAATGTTTACGATGATGATGTTGATGATGGATTGTTTGGTTTGGTTATGGTTCTTGGTTCTGGATTTGGATTTTGTGGAGTCTTCTTTGGGAGGTACTCCGACCTTCTTTCTCATTCTCCTTTGTCAGACAGATTTTCTTGGAGCTTCTGCAGTTGTTGATGCAGTGCAGATTGCTGGAGGGAGCTTCCACTTGACCTAACTACTCACACCTGATTATAGGTTAATGACCAACTGACTGCAGCAGTTGGTTGATGCTGGTGGTTATGGTTGTGATAGTGGGTTGGTGGACGTCAAGTCCCCATATTCATTCTTTTGGTACAGAATTGCATACACTCGTCTCTTTTGTCTGCATCTGTGCATTTACCGGTGTTGGTGGTGTATATAAAATCTGCTCTGACAATGCATTTGGGGATGAGTTTGGGGATTTTGGTGGTTGGTAAGAAAGTCTGTAGGTTTCTGTATCTGGTTCCATTGATCTGGAGCAGTAGAAGCAGAATTAAAGCACTGCCTCACTGCCCCGAGGAACTAAGAATGATGCTTGCTGTATGAGTGAGACGGGACACTGCCTCGTCGCTTCGAGATTTACGATGAGGATGAGTACGAGAACGTAAATGAAGGATCCGAGCGAGCATCCTCTCTTGGCTCTCTGTGTGGATCGAGCACTGTACCGTATGTATACTTCAAGGTTAGTGCATTTCCTAGGCATAGACATAGTTCGGAGACGGGTTGTCTGGCTGGGGGAGCTTAGCAAGTCGCAGTAGCTAAGCAGGAGCTGTAGCTAAGCAGGAGCTGTAGCAGCAGCAGTAGCAGGACCAGGACCAGGAGCAGCAACAGAACCAGGACCAGGACCAGGACCAGGACCAGGACCAGTAGTCACAGCAATAGTGATAGCAGTAGCAGGAGCAGTAGCGAGGCGGAAGTTAAGCCATTACTTGCCATTGCCATTGCTATTGCCATTGCTATCGCTATTACCATTACCATGAGAGCGATAGGGTGTATGCACACTACATCGAGGTCCACTTTGGGCTTCGAAAGGGGAATATAGATACCCACGCTCTGAGAAGAGGTAGTAGGTTCGTAAGAAGTGATGGGGGTGAGGGGGGGGGGACTCAATGTATGTCGATGCAGCGGAATGCATGCATGCATGCTGTAAGTGTGTTTGCCTTTGCGTTTGATGCCACGCTAGATGGGATGCGTTCATGTACAGTGGTTACCGTACCGTACAGGATGTTTTGTCATCGTGGGGATGGATATGTCTGGGTCATATGGTTGGGTTGGGTTGGTAGGTACGCTACTTGCTTTACTTTCTTTTGCTTGATCTTATTCTAGTGTAGGTGTAGGGGTGTTGTTCACATCTCTGGCTATTGTTTATTGGTAAGTTTTATTGTGAAGTCTGTTTCCAGGACGGATGAGATGGAATATGATGGGGTGGGTTGGGTATACGTATACCCTTCTCTAAGGATATACTGGTCCCTGGGTCATTGCCTATGCGCAGAATTTGTGGGGATACGGCTACACCTACACTTACACGATCATAGGACGAGGATTGGGGGATTTCTCGAAACTCGAGATTAGTGGCCAGAATGAGCCTTGGACTAGGGTTGTTATTGAATGGGTTAGGTTCTTTGTGTTGGAGGATGACTGGATTCATTATCTACTGCTCTAAACTGGCTATTGTTGTGTTCATACAGCGGAGTAAAGGTAGGATAGTGTAGTGAAGTCCAAAGCGAAGATGACGTGAAGGGGTCATGTCGTAACTGAGTCTAGGTCCACTCTCTATGTGCAAAGTCTGTGTCCCCTGATGTCGACATGTGAGGCGGGATGGACGGCACGTTGTTGCCGCCTGCTACCGAGAGAGACGGTCTCAGTCGCAGCCTTGTTGCTAGGGTATCAATTGTTCATTCATGTTCAGCTCAGCTCGCTCAGCTCCACACCCCCAAAAGACCACGGCCTGATCGTGGGCTTGGACCAGACCGTCGTCATCGGACCAAATTTACCAACAATCCATAGAAACACGCTCAATGCGGGTTGTACTTGTCCTTCCAGATCCTGTCATCATCCATCAAAACGTCATGTCAGCCTGAGTATTTCACTCGGTAGTGTAGTTCAAAAAGAGGGGAACGGGCAGTTGGTTGGCTGGAAGCGTCCCGGCCAAAACTCCACGAGCGCCTATCAATGGGCCCCCCTGCCCCCATCCGCTGCAGGTGATGAGAAGACTACTAGGTAAGAACCTACCAAGAATTTCCCAAGGTTTTGCTCCCTTTCTCCTCCGCCAATCGATAGTATTTGGCGGCCGCGAACTATGTCCCCAAATTAGTTCCTATCTTTTCTCCATTGAGACCACCCCAAAAGTCCAGAGTGATGCGAACGAGCCTCAAAATATTGATGCCCGAGCTGAACGGCTCCCAGGGGTAAGGAACTTACTTTGTCCTTCTTCCCTCCAAACCCTTCTAAGTAGCACCAAGCAACCTCGTTCATCGCGTCCGTATCGCCGAGGTTGGCGGCGGTCTCATAGTACTGTCGTGCCGCGACGGGGTCCTTCTTGACGCCCCAGCCATTCCTAAAGCAGTTGGCCAGCTCGAAGATCGCCAGCGTCAGCTCGCCCTTGGCCGCTCCCCCTTTCTTGATGCCGGCCTGGAGTGCCTCGGACTCGACCGAGGCCGAATTGGCCGCCGCGGCCGATAGATACGTAATCGCCTTGTCCTGGTCTGGCGCGCATCCCCAGCCATGTCTAAGAACGGGGGTCAGTCAGTGTCAGACTGATGGACCTCACTGAGCCAACGAAAACCGTAGTCAGGTCTTACCGAAGTGCAAGCCCATAGAGCACTTGACTGAGAGCATTGTTGGCCCCTTCAGGATCGGCTAAGCGACCAAACATCTCGGTGGATCGTTCCAGATCTACCATCATGCACACAGTGTTAGCGATGACCGCACAGTTCTAAAGAAACTCCGCAAAGGACGAACACATACCTCCAGCCTCATGCAGTCGAATAGCCTCCTGGATATTAACCTATTCGCACCCCGCGTCCCGCATCAGCCACACAACCCCTTATTATCCTCCCACCCAGACCGGCAAAAAACTTACATCGCCATCCGGATCATTAATCCGACTGCAACTCGAACTCCGTGACCGCGACGCCACCGCCCCGTCCATCCCAAACCCCGTGGGCGTGGTGGAACCGGTCGGCGACAAACACGCCGCGAACTGCGGGTTCCGTTGCACCAGCACCGTCGCCCGCCGCTCCCACTCGGCCTCCACATCCTCGCCCGCCGCCGCCGCAGCATCGCCATCCCCCTTCCCACCACTAGTGATTATCCGCGGGAGATCCGGCGGGACGTTCACGGACGAGGAGCTCGAACTCCGCGACCACCCGCCACCGCCACCGCCGCCGCTACCACCGCCGCGGTCGAGATGCAGCAGATGCGACAGCCGGCCTTCGCCCCGGGCTCGCGGCGGGGACGTCACGCCTGAGGATTGTGAGGGAGCTCGCGACCGACGGAAGGGGTTGAGGGATTTGCGATGGTGGGAGGACGGCGGGGAAGCAGCCGCAAGTTGTTGTTCTGTTGTGGTGGTTGTGGTTGGTGCAGAGGGGTCCGGGGCATCACCCTCGAAGACGGGCGGGCGGATCACTTCTTGGGTGGTGGTGTCGGTGCGGATGAAGGTGAATTGCGGGACGGTGGGATTGCTGCTGTTCACGGGCGTGGTGGGTGCCATCATCCCTCCTCCAGCTGTGGTGGACCCATACTGGTTGGTAGAGGTGGATGTGTTGGTGTTCGTGTTGGCGCTGAGGGATTCCTTATGACGTTGGAGCTTGTCGCGAAGTGGCATTGTTGCGCAACCCGGGGGAGAAGAGCCACGGAAGTATACGGCTTATCGCGGAGGGAATGGGAAAAAGTGGAGACGGGGGGGGGGTTTTTTCTTGCCGGGTTGGGATTTCCCCTTGGGGAGAGGGGAGGAAAAGGGAGAGGGATTTTGGAGGAAGAATTAGGGAAGTAGCAGGCACGATGAGATTGAAGATTATACGTAGCAGTAGTTGTAGTAGTCGGAAAAGCAGGAGTAGGAGTGGTCGAAGTTAAACCAGTGAGATTCACTGCCAGCCTTCTCTTCTTTGACCTCTTACCTCTCGGGGTGTGCGGCGGCGGGCTGCAGCAGGCATAACAAGAATAAAAATAATAAGCGCTGGAAAGGGGGGGGGTTCGAAGAGGCTGGGGGTGCAGAAAGAAAGTCTGTTCCAACCACAATCATCAATCAATCAATCAATCTCTCCATCGAATCGATCATAATAATAACACCCGGTGGTTATAAGGGGAATTTCATCCACGGCCCAAAGCCAACCCATGGTTGGACCAGTTCACCCCCGGCTGTCGGCTTGGCGGCAATTTCTTTCAAGGCGTTTTAATTGCTTTTTGTCACATATTGAATACTCAAAGTAATGAGGTGAGACGTTGATGGGAGTGCTTGTACTGGACGTACGTGGCGCCCTGCTGATTCATTGTGTCCATTCAGTTGGTATTCGTCATTGAGGTTAGGTGTATTTCGATCGTTCCATATATTATATTGTTGCATGGCTAGCCTGGAAGTCTATCTCTGCAAGTCATAGGTACATGTAGAGAATTGCAATAGCAGGCAGAGCTCAGACTCAGACTACTCGGTGTCCTGGCGGTCAAGTTACAGTTACGACTAATAATCTTGGATGAATGCTGAAGTCGAAGCTTTATTCGTAAGCTCTTACTGGCATACCATGATTGTCGACCAATGGTACTTGGTATTTCTAACTGGTAACAGAAATGATCTTTAATTTGTACATGAGTCTTATAGCAAAGCTATCCATGTCGAGTGCATTTACTGAGCCTTGGAGGACATGATGCCTGGATCGAATATTAGTATCCGATGAGAGCACGGACAAATCATCAACTTACGCTCAACATCAGCAACGCTCTGCTGGAGGATCTGCTGGAGAACCTTGGGGTTCTCGAGCTCCTTGTGGATCTTAGCGATGACGCTGTCAGCAAGCTCGCGCTGCTGGCGCTGCTTGACCTGACCCTCGTAGCGGACCCAAGAGTCAAGGACCTGCTTGGCCTCGGTGGCCAGAGCAGTGCGCTGCTCGAGCTCGTAGGCCTTGGCCTCAAGCTGGGCGGTTTCCTACGTCATCGTCAGCAACGGCCCACACACTCGACGCCACAGATGGGTGCTCGGAGATGAGCAGCAAGGGAGAGGGTACCTTGGAAACAGCAAAGAGCTGCTTGGTGACCTCAACGACACCGGACAGCTCCTTGACGTTCTCCATACGCTGCTTGACAGCGTTGGTGTGGTCGGCACGGGCAGCATTGAGGATGTCCTTGTGCTTCTGGACCTGACCCTCAGCCCACTCACGGTAAGCGGGACCACCGTACTTGAAGACGGCAGTGAAGACGCTGAGCAGACAGAAAGCAGCCACGGTTTCCTCGTTCATCACGTAGAGCTCGTTGCTGATGGCGGCGATGGACAGACCGGCGGCGGCGGAGAGGGTGGCAGTCTTGGAGACCAGGGAGTTGCCGGGGAGAGCATCGAGGATGGACTGAGCCTTCTTCTTGGGGTCCTCAGTAGGGACGCTGGAGGCCGAACGGGACGCGGTCAAAGTGGCAGTGATGGGAGCGACATTGCGCGTGGGAAGGGTCGGCCGCAACCGGGCGGCACCTAGCGGAGGGGTTAATGGTTAATGGTCAATGTCAAGTGGGTAGACCAGGCTTCAAGTAAGAGCGGGCATACCGAGGGTGCTCTTAGCCAAACGCGAAGCCATTGTAGCGATGGACAGGAACCTTGACAGGGTGTGGATGGGTTTGGAACGGAAATGAGGAGACTGAGTGAGGTTCGGGATGGCGGTTTGGGCGGTGCGGAAGACACTAAACCCCTTTGGGGCTGGTGTCGTGGGCCGGAGAAACCGCCTAACCGAGGAGCAGGAGATTCTCTCTTTCTTCTTATCCCCAAAAAATTATGGTTGATCTCGGAAAAGAAAAGTGGCCCTGCGGTGGACTAGCGCTCCTCCATTCAACGCCCGTTTTGCGATTTGTCGATTCTGTCCACGATGCCTGCCCCGATCGCCACGGCTACGGCCTCCAAGAAAAGAAAGAATGTCAAGGAAAGCGGCGTGCCTTCGTCGAAACGCCGTGCCGTCGCCGACACTGAGTCCGCCGATGCGACGGCCGACATCCAGCGGCTGGAAGACCAAATCTCCGAATCGCGGAAGCACTACAACAACATCGCAACCCTGATTTCCATGCTCACCACTCAAGGATCTGCCAAGAAACCGAATGTCCCCGCTGCGTTGGCTCTGTGTCGTGTATTCAGTCGATTAATCGCGGGAGGAAACTTGACCGAGTCAAGCCGGGCCGCCGAGAACGAAAAGATTATTGTTGCGTGGTTGAAGGAGCGGCTCAAGGAATATCAGAAAGCCCTGCTCTCTATCATTCGCGAGAGCGATCCTTCGTCTCAGGTTCGTTCCTGCGATGCCATCTTCAACGTGCCCAGAAATATACTAAATGTCGGTCGAATAGATCACCGCCTTAACCTTGTGTCTCTGCATCGTCAACGAGCGCGCCACACATCTTCCCGGAGAAGAAGGTATCTGGTTGACGGGTCTATTCAAGAATGTCGTGGAAGCGGTTGTGGAGGCCAACAATGGCCAAGCGGTGCTGTCCGAGTTCATCGAGAAGGTCAGGGAGTTCGAGGACGTGCGCTACTACACCTTCATACAGATCTCGTATGGCAACCCCGTTCATACCGCTCGCACGGTCTCATCAAGCTAACGTCTGGTCTCAAGTGAATACGCAAGCACTCCACGCAGCTCCGAAACCATTGACACATTGATCACCATCCTGTCGGCATGCGACTCGATACCCACGCCCGAGCACGAGTTCGAGAGCTTCTACACGAAAACCAGCCAGAGCAACAAGCGGGTGGTGTCGGCGAAGTCGCACAAGAAGCATGCGCAGGACGCCTGGCTGGCGATCCTGCGCAACACCCTGTCGGAGACGCAACGCAAGCATCTGCTGCGGATCATGGTGCACAACATCGAGCCGTGGTTCCTGCGGCCGGAGCTGCTGATGGACTTCCTGACGGACTCGTACAACGTGGGCGGGGCGACCTCGCTGCTGGCGCTGTCGGGGCTGTTCTACCTGATCCAGGAGAAGAACCTGGACTACCCGCAGTTCTACCCGAAGCTGTACTCGCTGCTGGACGCGGACCTGCTGCACTCGAAGCACCGGTCGCGCTTCTTCCGCCTGATGAACACCTTCCTCGCCTCGACCCATCTCCCCGCCGCCCTCATCGCCAGCTTCATCAAGCGCCTCGCCCGCCTCGCCCTCAACGCCCCGCCGCCCGCCATCGTCGCCATCGCCCCCTTCATCTACAACCTCCTCAAGGAGCACCCCACCTGCGCCTTCATGCTGCACCGCCCCATCCGCGACGCCGACCGCCAGGCCCTCCTCGCCGCCCGCGGCATGGACGACCCCTACGACCCGCGCGAGCCCGACCCCGTCCGCTCCCGCGCCCTCGACAGCAGTCTGTGGGAGCTCGAGACCCTGCAGTCGCACTACCACCCCAACGTCGCGGCGATTGTCCGCATCCTCGCCGAGCAGTTCACCAAGCAGTTCTACCACCTCGAGGACTTCCTCGACTACACCTACCAGGGCATGCTGCAGGCCGAGCTGGGCTCTGAGGACAAGCCGTTCAAGCGCATCCCCGTCGTCGAGTACCAGATCCCCCGCCGCATATTCACAGACCGTCTACTAGAGGAGGACGGCGGCGAGGATACCGCGCCGGGCAGTTTGCTTCGAGGGCTGTGGGAGTTTGCATAGGCGGGGTTAGGAAGCGGCGCAGGGTTTACGACTTAAAAGCAAGATATCAACTAACTTACTGTACATAATTAGAAATATATCTCTATCCATATCTTCCAACTCTTGTTTAAGGATTGTAGTTCCCTCCGGACTTCAGAAGGGGGGAAAGGTAGTAAGCAATTGCTAATTCCAATCTATTCTATCTAAGCAACAACATCCGCATTCTAACTAGCATGATTGCACGAAGGAGTGTGGTGGTAGTGGTAATATCGCTGCCCTCCTAACCGGGGAAGGAAGCACAAGGGTAAAAAAAAAAAATCAAAAAGTCTATCAGTTCATCGCAAAAGAACGGGCGAGCCATTTTCAGTCAGACGAATGACGCAGCCGACGATCATAATGTTCGGGAAAGATGCACCGGCATCGACAACGACATCCACGCGCCATTCGCCGCGGACCCGGACGACGCGGACGAGGACGACCAAGCCTGCGTCCCCGACACGGCCAACGTACTCACCGGCCTCCGCGTGATATACCGGGTATCCGTCCACGCAGCATCAGCAGCAGCAGCACCCGCCGTGACACCCGCCGTGGCCCCCGCCGACCCCTCGTCCTCGCCCCCCGGATAATAGTCACAGTAGACATCCAACGCAAACACCCCGCGCTTGAGATCGTCCAGCAACTCATCACTAACCTTGACGGGGATGGCCTCGAGCCGCGCGCGCATCTGGGCCAGAATCGCCTGGGCCTTTTTCCTCCGGCGCCGGCGCCGCACCCCGACCTCGTCCTCCATGCGCTCGAGCAATCCCAGAATCTCGCGCTCGGTGTGCAGCGCCGTCGCGACGGCGTGGTGCACCCGCTGCGTCAGCTGGTGCAGGTCGTTGGCCACGGCGCGGAACAGCGCGTCGATGCGGCCCAGCGCCTGCGTGACGTGCGCGGCCAGCGCGCGCCCGAACCGCCGCCCGTAATACCGGTTCCAGAACTCGATCCAGTGGAGCAGGCCGATGCGGGATTTGCGGAGGCGGGTTAGCTCGAGGATCGTGATTACGTTGCGGCAGAGGGTCAGGGTGTAGAGGGCTGTGCGGCGGGTGGTTTCGATGAGGTGGTGGTGCGTGGGGGTTGGCGTTGGGGTTGGGATTGTGCTGCTGGTGGTCGTTGTGGTGCTGTCATGGTTTTTGAGGCGGTAGAATCTTTGGGTTTGCGAGGTGGAGGTTGTTGGGGTCGTGGGGGCTGTTTCCAATGGAAGGCTCTGGGCTGTTGGTGCTGAGGGGGTGTGGGTTAGGGTTGCTGGTGTGGTAGTGGAGGTTGATGGCGAGGATGAGGATACACCGGGCACAGGTATCACGGATATGCCTGCTTGTAACATTCCAGATGCTGGTTTTTGAAGTAGTCCTGGCTCAGATCATAGAAGAGAAGTGGCGAATCGAAAGCTGAGTCTGGGTGGTAGCGACAGACGAGGTTATGAAGGTGTGGAAACGAGCGTGGCAGATGTTAACGAGTGACTCGACTTTTTTTTTACGCCATTGGTATACAGAGTATTAAGAATGGTAGTTGGTTTCGAAGCGAGAAGGAGACAGAGAGAGAGAGTAAGAAGAGAACATGGTGACAGGATCCTCAATCAGGGTTGAGGTCGTCCTTTTCTTTCTCTTTCACCTTCCCCATCCCCCATCGTGGAAGGAACAGACGAGCGTGCAGTGGGAACTCGGAAAGCAACAGTAACCTTCGTGAGAAAGACCCAGTGATGCATCCGGTCACTGGACCCATCACTGAAGCTTGATGAACTTGCATCGAGCTGAAGAGCCGATTAACTTTGGCAATCGACCCCGTGCAATGCGTGCTGGAGGTGAAGTCCGCTGCATCTCCGCTTTCGGTAATCGGCAGCCGGCATCGGGAGATTCGGGGGCAGATGTCACCGTTACGATTCTTAAACCGTCCCGATTGTGAGCGAGCGATTCCGCCAAGAGGTCTGTCTGGCTTGGTTGAGGAGTGAGTCGGCAAAGCGAGACCTTGGGTCTGCCGTGTGTCTATTCAGCAGAGGTGATGCCGTAAACGTCCTGTGTCTGAACGGCAACCCGTCTTGGGGCCCTGTCGATGCGCCAAGACTTGGTATAGAAGATTGAGCCTGCATGAACCACATGCTAGCTAACCGGGTGACTTCATCAGCGGTGATGATCGGCCAGGGGTAAGATGAGCGAAGGTTGCCTCGATCGTGGCTGATATGGGGTTGATCTGCTGCTCTCTCCACTCATTTGCTGTGTTGCCCCTTGCAGGTAAACACCCTCCACCCGCATTGACATTTTTCCCCAAGGTGGAAAATCAAAACAATGAGTCTACTTTGTGTAGGAAGTGGTTTTTGGCAGCTTGAAGGCCTTTCTACCTTCTATCAAGGTGTCTGAAGTGAGGGAGTGATTATGCTCAGAACCCTATTCCCATGACATGCCACAAGGACATAGTATAGTGCTCATGCCATCGACGGCTCTTCAATTCTCGTTCATGGCGAAGTAGGACTCTTGACCTCTCTCATTGCTGTGCTTTCTTCCTCTGGATCATCACGAGCCACGCAGCAGTGCTTGCATTCCTGGACGATCCAAGGGACCATTCTGAGAGAACGAACCACACGGCAGTAGACAGTATTCAGTCAGCACCTGGATGGACACAAACAGCTACTCCCAGCACTGCTGCTCGGATGGTATTGTCGGCAGTACAGCATGAGTCGAGCTTTTCATGATGAACTCACTCTCTTGTGGGCTATTATCCTGAGCGCCACCCGTAAAGCCACGAGCGAGCAGTAGTAGACCTTGTAGTTGCGCTGCTCAGTCATTCCCCAGCTTGTTGTTGTACTCATGCCGGGTACGAGCCCTCCTTCAGGAATGCTACAAACCAAGCCCGGCATGTGCGCCCTTTCGCCTCCATTGGCATTCAGGCAGATCTATTGTTTGGCAACGCGTTGTTTTGGTCGTCAATAAAGATCTATCTTCTGGCTGAAGCCTTCCAACAGCCTTTCTTCTTCTACCTTGCTCTCGCCCTCCTACTCGACCACAGATACTTCGCGCCAGTCCTGGGTCCGACGAGTCAACGAGGTACGTATTGTTGTTTTCGATACTAACCACAGCGAAGAAGGCATAGTCTGTGTCCTTCGATATCTAGCAGGTCCACAAGAGTCAGCCAGGTTCCTTTGACATCGCTCTGCATCCCAGAAATCTCTCTGCAGCGGGAATATTGTCATCCAAGGCACTCAACACGTGAAGTCATCTTTCTCATCTCAGTCTATCACGACTCAATATCAAGATGCGCGCGTCAAACTCTCTTGTTGCGGCCTTCGCATGCCTGGCTCAGATCGGGATTGCCGAAGCAGCTTTGTCTTTCACCCAATGGCCCTCGGTCATTCATGCTGGCCAGCCTACAACTCTGAAGTGGCAGACGGACTCGGATGCTGTACGGCTGCTACCACTCCTTGACGTTGATTTCCATTCGCTAACGCTTAATTTAGCCCGTGACCGTCACACTGCGGAAGGGCAATTCTCAGAACTTGGACACCGTCCAGACCCTGGCAAGCAATGCCCAGGGAGGCTCCTTCACCTGGACTCCGGACTCGACGATAGAGAACGGCGACGACTATGCCTTCCAGATCCAGCAGAACGGCTATGTGAACTACTCGGGGCTTTTACAGGTCACCGATGGGTCCCCAGCTACCCCAGCTACCAAGGCTGCGTCCACCCCAGTCCTCAAACCCAGCCCAACAACGCTGGTAGCCTCGGTTGTCCCTCCAGCTCCTAGCCCTGCAGCCCCGACCGCAACTGCATACCCCACCGACACAGCCCCTCACGATGAGATGCAGACAATCCAGAAGGGCAATGATGGCCAGACTTTCACCGTCAATGCCGCCAACGACCCCAGTGCGAACGCAGCCGGAGCCGCCAACAGCAAGACTGCTATGGCTGCCTATATGCAGAGTGGTGCTGCCTCTGTTCGCGCGACGGGAATGGGATTCGTGTTGGGTGCTCTCGCCATGGTGGTTTACCTCGTCTAGTAGACTTGGACGAACTTCCCGGTGGAGCTTGGCAGACATTGAACTCTGTCTTACTTGGTTGTCAGGACTTGGTTCGTGTGCCTAGGTTAATTGTTCTTCTTCAGATCAACTCGCATGAGACCGAGCGGTGCTGGGATTGCTCTGGGCGACAGGCGTTGGTTGAGGTTTTCATTTTTGCTTCTCTTTCCCTTCTGTTGTGTATATATATCTCTTTGCAGACACTACGGGGGTCGGGCCGAGAGCGAGCCACAATCCTTTTCTCCGGACTGGGCTTGCAGATCAGCTCAAGACGCCATCAAAGTGCTCGATTTTTGTGCGATCAGATTGAATAATCCACAGTGCTGCCGCTGCTGCTATTAATAAATGATCTGACAGGACTGAATCGTACTTTGTTTGTAGATGACAGTTCCGAACGGTATTCAGGCAGACCAAACCTTGAAGGGAAGAAGACAAAGGATTGGGTGTCTTGAACATGACCGGTCATTAGTTGACCAGTTGAGTTGGTTAGTTACATAGTGGCGGCAAGAGAGTTTAGGCTTGACAGCCGATCGATCATATTATTCATTTAGTGGGAGGATTCTTGATTGTTACCAGTCATTCATTATCTATCATCTTCTAAGTTACTGGCTACTTACTCCATACTGTCTTTTGAATAAGACTACACTTCCTCTCACTCACTCTTTTCCTTTCTGTTCTTCCTCCTCCTCCTCCTTCTCCTCTTCTTCTCTTCTTTCTGTCTTCCTTTCTTTTATTCTAAACTACTAGTTTTACCAGCTTTGGGATCATTCCTTCTTCAGTGTCTATCTATTCTTACTGGATCTGCTAGGATCTTCAGATTAATCAGCCCAGTTTGTGCTGGCGCCACCCCACGTTGTGCTTGGATAGTGACGGTATGTTTTGGGAAGCAATTTACATCCGTACCTACAGACCAACTTCCTCATCGATCGATTTTTCTGCTGCATTTCTTCACCCTCTTCCAGCACGTCCCTCTCCCTCGTCCACCACCCGCAACTTCCCCCTCGGAGAATATTTGTGATGTCTCGGCGATGAATAAGCATCAGACTGACCATCATTTAACTGTTCCTGCTGCAGATCTCCTGCAATCAAGCCTTGGTCCACTTCGTGGTATGTGCTTTTCTGCTCTCCCCCTTCTTTCGACCTGTGTCGTCGCCATTCAATCGTCGTCGTCCGCACCATTCGTCCCCTTTCCCTGCCACCTCCACCCCTTCCAACAATTTCTTTGTTGACTTCCCCCCGGGTGGGTGTGCGCTGTCAGCTGCGTTTGGTTTGGCCTGGTTGTGTTTACAGGATCGGGGCCGGGCTGGTTGTCAAAATCCAAATTACCTTCCTTCCCTTCTTCCCCTTACTGCGGCCCAACAAAACGCCTGCTCTCCGGCCTGGATTCACTCCCCTCTTCCTTCTCTGGAGCAGGTTCCTGCTTCGGATTCCTGCTCCGCTCTTCTTCTCCTGCACCTTTGCCAATTGCGGCGCTATCACCTTCTTCCCAAAACCCAAACCCGACATTCCACCCCATTTCCCGTTATGGTCGGAATGGCCCGATTCGGTCGGGGCAAGAAGTCACCCAAGCCAGGAACCACCCATGCTGACCCGGACATGCTTTTGCTGCCTACGTCAGATCCCCGTCGAGCGCCTCGTGTCAGCCTTCCCCATGTGGAAACGCAGCTGAATATGCATCAATACAATGGACTCTTCAATGAAATCTCCTCTACCCCAAACCAGCTGAATGGTGCTCCGCCCGCCGATTCCTCCCCAGGTACGTTTACCTCCGTCTGGATTTGCGACCCAGCGCCGGCTGGATAGACCCTCCAACGGCGCATCGTTCCCCCATTATCTACCGAGGGGCTAACCCCAGTTATGCGTATTGCGAAACAGAACCCGTGAGACCCACGTCCCCCAGCGGCACCAACGGCTTCGCGAACCACGAGACCAACCAAGATCCCCCGGCAACTGAATGGTCGTCGGCTGTCGGTCATGCGGCCACGGGCAAGTCCGGGCGCGTTATCCATAACCTTCAAGAAGAAGTCGCGCGCTTGACTCGGGAGTGTAGTCTCTATCGCTCCCGCGCCGAAGAGACGCAGCGCATGAACGACGCCTTCAAGGTTCAGGTACAGAACATGACCGAACGTCTCCGGAACCTCGAGCAAGCGAACGAGACGAACCTCCATGCGATCGGGCGGAAAGACAGGAAGATTGACGAGCTACGCGCGGAGGTGCAGACCGAGAAGGACCGGAGGGTTCAGGCGGAGGGCGAGGCCAAGAAAGTCAATCAACTGATGGGGGTCGCCCGGGACGATTTCCACCGCAAATGCGCCGAATTGCAGGAGATCTCCAACCATTCGCGGACCCAGTACGATGTTCTGGCCAAATCGGCACATCGGGAACGAGCGGAACAGCAGAGACGGCTCAAGTCGATCAGGGATGATATCACGACCATGAAGAAGCAGTTCGACGACAAGAACACCAAGCTGGAGCGCTTGGATGCGATCATGGCCGAGAAGGACCGGGAGATTGAGCTCAACCGAGAGCGATTCGACCTGCTGTACGCCAATTTCCAGGTTTACAAGCGGACGCAAGACGAAGACCTCCGAACGCTGATTGAGACGGGCCGGCAAGACGATGCCAAGATCGATGCCGCCCTGACTTCGCTGAAAGAGACCGAAGGAAAGATGAAGTGGGTCATTCAACTCAAGCAGCAAGTCAAAGACGCCCAATGAATATCCCCAAGTCTATGACGGTCTAAGCAATATTTTTTTGCCCGGGGCCCCTTGGATTGACAGGCTCAAGTCAACGGCGGGCACGTTGACCACCATGATTGTGGAAGATCTCGAGCCTGCAATCAAGCAGCATCCCAATGGAAACCATCGAATCCGCTGCGTCGACATGGCAGTCGTGATGGGGGACCATGAAACATGCATCTTCTGCATTCCCTTCTTGTATTCTCTATTCTTCCCATTTCCTCTCCAACCTTCATTTCATCTGTTTCTTACCCACCGTTATTTTATTCATATTTGCTCCCTGGCATATCTCTGGGAGATATAAGGAGTTTGGGAGTGCTTGATACCCTGGGAAACATAGACCGTCATGTCCCTACTTGTCACTATCTTGTTCAAAGTACAGTGCTGTCCAGTTACAATATACTTCAGTATACTTTGATAGATGCCCGTCTAATCATATGAAATATTATGCTAATATGTTCTGTCTTGCACTTCTGAGAACACCAAACCATCTGGGTGCTTGACGGCAAGGAGGTAAAGGATTAACCGTTGGCTGCATTTATCCGCTTCCTGTTTGATTGCAGTGTCTTCGCGCACTGCAATCACGCACCGTCATCGCGCGGTGTCGTCGTACATACTTGACCGGTTGTTGACCGGTTGTCGCCTGGTTGTCGCCTGGAGTTCACAGTTCAGTGAGACCAACACTGTTTATTGCTCCTACCCTTCCCTTTCCCCCCTCCTTCCTCCATCTTCCCACTTGCCTCCACCTTCTCTCTTCCCATTTTCCTCATCCTACGCTCTTCTTACCATCACTTCGATTTCATTACACGATACCATTCTTCTGATTTTGGCTGCCACAACCTTTATACATTGATTTTGTAAAACTGTCATTTAGGGCCGAGGGTTGCCTCGGGTACGTGTCTGCTGTCGCCCGCGGGCCTCGCTTCTGGCCTTCGTTGGAGTCGATTTGCCGAGATGGAACAGCGCCTGGCGCTCGCCTCTATATGGGGCTTTGAGCCTATCGGCGTAAGGATCCGCTGTATTCACAAGAAAGACTATGCTGATCTGACAATTTGATTCAGGTTCGAGAAGTTAGTGAAGAAGTCAAGTATGACGTGCTGTTAATCAGTCTTCTGGCTCAGTTTTGTTAACTTAATTCTGTCAGGACTGCGACATCTCAACCGGATTGCCATTGTGAATATCTCAAACTTTACGATGCAAGCTTCACTTGTGGCATCCTTCTATCTGAGCTTCGCTGACCTATTCACCCTTTAAGATCATCGCCATTGAAGGTTCCGTGGATCATTACACAAAACAAATCGCTGGCATTGTTTCCAATACTATTTCCGGCAATGAATACAAAGACCTGCTTGATGTTAGACTGTGACCCCTTCTGTCTCCTGTCATCTTGGCCATTTGCAATTTGACCGACTCATCTACTAACTTCATGCCTTCGATGCAGGAACCACGCATCTACCAGCTAGATATGACATCTAGTCTCCAGAGCCACGGCAATGAGGACGAAATGAACCTATCCCTGGAGGATGGCTGCGAACTGATCCCAACCTCATCTATCCATATAACCAAACTCTGGCTATCACAGAATGGCGGAGTGGGGTGCTTCTCCTTCGATTCCAGGAAACTACTTGCTAGCATTGCCGACCTCACTTCAACCGAGATAACTATGCTCGACGATACAAAGGGAATTCAAGTCACGGGTACCAGTGAAGTCGATGTAGATGACGCCCTGGCTAAGCTTACTAGGGTTGAGAAGCCATTGGTAAGTCCTTTTCTTGACATTTCGAAGCCACACCCGCTCACTGGTGTGCTAGGCATGTGTCCAGCGTCCTATCACGACCAACATTCTTGTGGCGCCGGAAGACGAGGCGTTACGCTATCGTCTCGTGAAGTACAATACCTTGAACCCGATTGCCGAGCGTCGAGTTCTACCAGATCCGACTATCGACCCACACCTCGATCCTGATGAGATGTATGTTTCGGTACAATACTCAATCGACGGAGAAACTCACGCGTTGAAACTACCTACCAATCTGGCAAACCCACCCCATCTTGTTTACGACCCCGGAAAATCTCGCATCTGGAATGATTTCACCTTCCAGCCGCTTGGAAGTGATGAGGGATACAATACAGTGTATGAATTGGCTGAAAGCGCTATCCCGAGAACCAATGCGATGACCATAGCTGTCCCACCCTCGCTGCACCCTTACTTGACTGTTGAGAAAGCGAAGCAGGTGAACCAGTGGGTCGTTGAAGGAGCGCGAGTAGAGAAGGATATCCCTGAGCAGGAATCCGTGGCTCCTGGTATCAACCAGACTCTCAGTACTCAAGGTCCAGCTCCAACTCTCCAGGCTCCTGTTCCCAGAACTCCTGCCCGTGCACAACGCAATGGGTCCGAAGCAACCGGGCCTCAGAGACCTGCCGGTGTGAAAGTGCGCAGGGTTGCTCCAGCCAGTACCAAGCAGAAGGCACAGGCCGCTCCCTCGCTCCCGGAAACAAGACCAACTTCTACGGATCTGGAGGGAAACGATCTGTCACCCCGTAAACGCTGGGTCATGCAGTATGATGTTAAGAATGGGGACCAGGACTTGCAGAGCGTCAAGGTGGAGGCTAAGGCGCCTAACTCCCAGTCTCAAGCTCGGGCCCAAGCGCGTTCCTCGGAGGACAATCGGAGCATTATATTGTCAAAGTTTGATTCGACCAAGTACGGTCTTGCCAAATTATCTCCACAACGGGCCTTCGGTAGACAGGGTAATCCCAGCACTGGTCCAGCCGCACTACGGAAGGCCGCCCGTCAGAATCAATTGATCGAAATCGACATACCAGTAAGCAACACTACCAGCACCCAAGTTGTTTCTTTCGACCAGCCCGCACTGCTTCCCGTAGCATCTTCATCATGCGGCAGTGGCTCCGCTACTACAATCTTGCTGGACAAGAACACGTCCGACCTTGCCGGGTTGACTACTGGGGTTGGCAATCTTTTGGATTCTAGTGACTCCGGGTCTGGCCTGGAAACCACCTCCTGGCGCAGCAGCAATCTGATAAGCCAAGATAAGAGACTCAATGCTTTGCGTCAGAGCTACAATGCAGCGGCCGTTCAAGTGCTTCCCACTGCAGACGAAAAGCCGAATACCGCAGCCTCACGCAGTCAAGCGAACGAGGCATGGGTAAAAGCCATGGTTACAGATCTGGAGAGAGCTCAGCGCTCGGAAAAGGAGTCTTCCAGCGAGGTCACTTCCAGAGAGTTCCATAACACCCGGCACAGGAGTCCGAAGAGTGCTAGCACTGCTAAAAGCAAAGCCGAGGCCAAGGCAAGAAGACAAGCGACACTTGAAGATTCCTGGGGCATCAACAAGCCGAAGAAACAGCCCGTCCAATCCCCTGAAGGTCAGAAGCCAGCTTCAAGCGTCACTGTGCAGGCCTTGGTCGTGCCGAAACCAGCTCCAGTGAAAGACGAGGGTATTCAACGGCAGGTGAAAAGTCTCTACGACGCTATTATCCCCATCCTCAACTCGGCAGCGTGCTTTCCCGGGGCGATGAACATCGAGATGCAATTCGGTCTGATTCTGGTACCCCTTCTTCCGAAGTCCTACAGACAAGAAAACTTGACTGCAGACGCTTGGACGAGATTTTTTCGTCCACAGTCCGGTCTCTTGGCTCCAACCACCAAGTTCATAAAGCGACTCACGACCTCTGGTGCCGATATTGACCATATTGTGGACATCCGTACTTCCAAAGCCGATGGCAAACTTCGTCTATTTGAGCAGGATTACACGGATTACTGCGTGTCCTATGAATTCCATTTCCGCACCCGATCTAATCAACTTTACATGGTAGTCATCGACGAAAATGGAAGATACAGCGTTCGGGAGCCGGGAAAAAAACTGGGAGGGGTCACCTTTCACTTTCCAGCTTACACATGGGATGCCAATATGTCGGTCAATCAAGTGACGGGATTTGTTGGCGATAGCAATCCGGATATTGAACAGATCGCCCAGCATCTCGCCAAGAGCATATGGGTCGAACCGGATCGCAACCTCATTTGCATCTACACACGTCTGCCCACTGAGATGGAGAATAAAGTGACACTGGAGAAGGTGTACATGCGGCGCTGGACTCGCCACCGTCATCTGCAACGCAACGAGGCTGCTGCCCGTATTGCTCGGGAGCAGGCTTCAGCTACTGTGACTACAAGTCCTGACAAGGCCCTTAATGAGAATGACATCAATAAAACTTCCCATATCTTCCTCCAGATTACTGAAGTGCAAGACCTGCTCTTCGGGAAACACTATACTGAGCCAGAAGTCAAGCGAGCCCGTGCCACAGCACCGGCGGAGATGGTGAACAACGGCCGACTGTGGTATGAGGTCTCCTTGGTCAGTCCTGCGATCGACTCTCTTCTTAACTCCAACGGCGACCTCGAAGTTGGCGAGCCCACAACTGACTGGCGCGGAATTGACCTGTTCGGCCGCGACGCTGCTGCTTTGATCCGTGACACAGCGACGAACGAGGGTAAGACCGAAGACGAGACTCCCAGTGCCGTCGCCAAAGACATCGGTCACGCCGGTCTCGGAGATATGCTCCGTCTAGCCAGGACGGTGATCCAGCGCATCGACGCGGTAGGGTATTGGAATACTCGACCCGGGATGGACGTCCCGCTTGAACCTCTCACCACCACCACTGCCTCGTTGCGAAGCAGTGCTCGGGCGTGTGGCGTGGTCGGCATGTCATATGGAGGTGATGATGATGACTCGCAGAGCAGTGAGGAAACTCTAGGTGCCCGGGTGGATTCCAAGGGGATCGTTCGGTACCCGGCGCAGGTTGATATCTTTTCGCCGCAGGAGTATTGGTAGTCTAGCTTTTGAGCTTTTCTTTTGAGTCACGTGGTAGGGGTTGCTTCTTCGAAAGGGTCCTCGTACATGGCAAGGACAGTGGACTGATTTGACGACGAGGGCACCTCGGTGACACGGGCTGCCTGTTCTGTTGTTCTCCCCGTCTTGCTATCCGATACTGCGCATGCTGGCTTTTCTGCTTTGCTTTATGTGAAGTGGTGGGGCCGGGTCTTTTACGGTGTCAGCGGCCAAGAGGAGGAAGTTTTCTCCCATCAGCAAGGAGGCTGAGACTTCTAGTGGTTTAACACGGGGCGTTGAGAGCAGGATCTTGGGGTCTGTTTCTGGGGGTCCGCAACGCCAGCGGAGATGGGGAGTTAAAGAAGCCAGGCTGTATTTACAAGATTCATGGGTGCCGTGGTTGGGGTTCAATGCTGTCCCTGCAGTAGGTGTTGGTTGGCTTGGGGAGATGGGTTTAAGGGAGAGGGGCGGGTTGATAATAGTTCCAAGTTCACAATTTGCAATTCCACCTGGCTTTCCTCATACTTCTATTGAACAAATTGGCACATTAATTTTTAGCATCTGAATAACGGATCCGGAGGACGTCAGGTTAGGTGATCAAATTGAGGATCATGCCATAATCCTGACTATTGCACAGTCGAAGGGAGCCTGCTATCATCTAGTTGATAGTACCATATACCCGATTTCACCTGAAGTACTCATAAAACAACCATGCTCCTCTAAATTCCTGACTGTAAGTATATCTATCCTTCATGCGCCATGAGCCCTGGGCCCTAGACGACAGGACCCCGAATTCCAGGCACTTTTATAAACACCTATGTATTTGTATTTGTATTTGTATCAGTATTCTATCCATGTACAGTTATTATACTGTACACCTTCCCCCATCCCACCTGACATCAAACCACACCACAGGTAGACGATACCCTCGAATCTTTCTTAAATCTATAATCCAGCCGGGGCCCACATATACAAATAACAAACCTGCACTCTAGCACAACAAACCTCCCCCCCCCCGGCTTGAACAGACCTTTTAGGGAATAAAAAAGAGAGGGAAATCAATCCTCCTCCTCCGGCGCATCATCCACGCCCCTCAACCAGGCGGCGCGCGCATCGACGGCCGCCTTCCGCACGTCCCGTCGGGGATCATCCAGCACCGCCCGCAGCGCCCGGACCACCTGGCTCTTGACGGCCAGGAGCGGCGAAAGACGGCCGGCGCGCGCCAGAGCGGGCGCGTCCGTGGGCGCCTGCGCCAGCAGGTACAGGCAGGTCAGGGCGTCGACCCGCAGCTTCGGGTGGTGGTTGGCCGGGGTGAAGGCAGTTGTTGCGAGGAGGCGGGTGACGAGGCTCTGGACGTGGCCGCATTTGTCGATGACGGGGACGCCGTTGTCGCGGATGATGACGGCGAGGGTGGAGAGGGTGGCGAGTCGGACGGAGGTGGAGTGCGGGGTGGATAGGTCGAGGGATTGGAGGAGCAGGGGCAGTAAGGTGGGGAGTTCGGGGAGGACGAGGTCCGGGGTGATGGTCGAGAGGATGCCGCTTAGGGCTGTTAGGTGGGCGGGTTTGATGTGGTGGGTTTCTTGGGTTTCTTGGGGGGTGGTGGAGGAGGAAGTGGAGATGTTGACTTCGCGGATGCGGGAGGAGATGAGCGGGGTCAGGGTGATAAAGACGCGTTGTTTGCTTAGGAGACGGATGTTGGCGCCGTTGGTGGCCGAGAGGATCTCATCGTCCCGTAGGAGGATCGAGAAGCTGCGTGCGGCGGTGAGGCTGGTTTCTTCGTCCGGAGACGAGACGAGGGTTAGGAGGGAGGTGAGGAGTTGGGTGGTCGTCGGGGCCAGCCGGAGGATGAGGCCCTTGGAGAGCCAGAAGAGGATGTGGATCGTGCCGGGAGCTACTTTGTTGGTTTCGCTGCCGGGAGGCAGGAGGGTATAGAACAGGTCCGACGCGAGCGGGAGGTCGGATTTGGGGAGGAACTTGTTGGCCAGGAGAGCCAGGTGTCGCAGGAAGGCGTACTGGGTCGCCAGCTCCGTCTCGCCAGTGGCCCGGGTGGCGATGTCGGTGAGGAGGGCGGACATGTTGGGGTTGGTGGTGTAGGGCAGGTTCTGCACGTCGGCTGGGAGCCCCGCGAGAATGAAAGTCGACAGGATCATCGTACGCTTCTGGTCGGCGCTGGGCGACGGCGCGAAGGGCACCGGTTGAAACTCCGCGGCCGATGTGAAGAGTGTATAGACATTCTGCGCGATCTCGTCCTGCTTGTTTCTGGGCAGAGCTCGGACAAGGAGGTTGCACACGCGTCCGAGGATGTCAAGGACGGTGGCGTCGCTGAGGATGTTGTTTGACGTCGTGGTTGAGGTAGCAGTCACTGCGGCGCTGCGGCACAGGCTGGCCACGATCTTGTCATAATAGAAATCCAGGTTCGGGTCTTCCTCCATCTTTCTCTGGTTCATAACGTAAAGTATAGTGAGGAGGATCGCACGGGGGTACTCCACGGAGCCCGATTGCTCCTGCTGCAGCAGAATGTTCAGCTTGCTGAGCAATCTTCGAACCAAGGTCTCAAAAATGTCCTTCTCAACACTGATCTTGGCAAGCACATCGAGGGTGTTCAGGTAGCCGCTGTCCGCTTCCTCGACCGAGTCAGGTAGCGTGGCCACGAATGCCGGGAACGTGATGTCCAGGATCAAGCGAGGCTTGTGCTTGGAGATCTCCGTCAGAGCAACGATCGCCTCCTTCTTAAGGTCGTCACGGCCAACAGACTCCTCCTTCAAAAGGATCTCGTCGAGATATTGCACAAACAGGCCAATTTCGTTGTCTTGGAAGAAGTCGCGCAGAACCGACAAACGCAGGAAGCCCTTCAACGCAGAGATGCGGAACGAGACCTCTTCCTTGATAGCACCCATCAACGCCTGGCCGAAGATCTCGGAGAACTGATCCTTGAACTCCAACAGAGGGTTCTCGAAAGCAACCTCTGCGTCGCGCGAGGTCCATTCACCGAACACCTTGATAGAGGAGTCAAAGAGAACGCTTAGTGTATCGAGGAGAGCTCGTTGCTTGGCGATGCCGTCAGCCTCTTGGTAAATAGTCAAGAGAGGCGCCACAACTTCCTGGATGATTAGCGTGAATGCAGGGGCGGAAGCAGAGGAGATAGCGCCGAGGATCTGATGAGCAGGCTTTGCCTGCTTCTGTTGGGGCTCCCGCAGTTGCTCGTTACATTCTTTGGTGATTGGGCGTAAATATTGTGCAAGAGGCAACTGATCAGAGATCTGCGAGACACCCTCCGACAAACGCTTAGCAATACCCGTCAACACCTGGAGGGACAGCTCGGAGAGGAATTCTTCCTGGGCGTTGAGGATCTCGAACTTCAGGGTCTCCCATATCGTGATGGAATAGCGGGACACCGTGTTAGGGTCGTACGACTCGATACAGGCGATCAAAGCATTGAGGGCGTCCCTCTGTGAGCAAGTCAGCCTGAAGCCAATTCTCACCCAAACCACAATTCTCACCCAAACCGTAGACAGCATACCTTGACATTTGGTGAAGTTGAATCCAGCTTATCCAGCAAAGAAGGGATAGAGTGCGGCGCAAAGAGGCTGTTTGAGGAAATGCAGTCCTGCAGGCGGTCCTTCAAGTCTTGAGCCGTGATGCCGTACGGGTCGTTCGGTGGGGGTCTGAAGGTGATAGGGAAGTAATTGTAGGCCGAGTCAAACAGCAGCTTCAGAGGTCAGCTTTGGCAGACGGCCCAGCAGATTCCATGCAGCACGTACCTCCGCATGGTTGGAGATGTCCCATTCCACCATGACCACTTTGAGTATGGAAAACACCATCATTAAGTTCCGGGGATCCTTCTCGCCAGTAACAAGATCCACAATTCCAACCAGGGATTCGTCTCCCATATCATGAAGTGCTGTACCAGTCAGTATGCTCTTGCCCGTAGCCCCGAGAGATAGGATGGTCTCCAAAACGCACCGCCACGGTAATTCAGCATCAATTCGTTCAGCAACTGATAGACTTGAAATCGTTGAGACTGGGAACGAGACTGCAATTCCTCAAATTGTTCAAAGATCCTGTGCGCAAGTCAGCCCCCCCTCTGCCCCATGCAATGCACATTGCTCGAACTCGGGAAGAGCAAGAACTCACGCCCGAGTAACCTCTTCAGCCAGAGGCTTATTGAACCGATCCAGCTTCTGCAACGTCTCCAACCCGGCAACCGCCCCTCCATCCTGAATCCGATCACAGAAAAAAGTCGTCAGAACCTGAATCTGCTGCCTCGAGAGGAACTTGGCGGGCAGCTCCTTGATAATCGCGGTGAGGTAGGAAACCGCTTTGCCGCGAAGAATTGGGTCGTCATCGTTGATATATTCCCCTAGCGACTGCACGACTTCAATGAGTGTCGTCTTCTTATTCTCCACATCTTTTTTTATTCGTGAGTGCAAGTTAGCAGAGTCTCACTACCCGACCTGTCTCCTGGAGAGAGTGTGTGAGAAATTTCACAGAAAAACTTACCTTGAGCAACTCGTTCAGCAATCTGCTTGGCCTCCTGCTTATCGTGGTCCACGACCAGCAGGAAAGTCTGCAATGCCGACATGCTGGATGCGTGGGGTTATCTTTTCGTGTTTTGTGTATTTGCGCAAGATTGACCAAGAGTTATACTGTCACTTGCATGGGGAGATTCAAATTCCCACTCCCCGCTCTTGCTAAACTCCGCGACCGGAAACATGACGCTGTCAGGCTAAGACCCTTATCGATAGATATCACGTGTGGGTTGTTCGCCAGCCGGCCCCGTTGCGTCATGGGCCCGCGCGCGCCGCTGACCACCCGTTGGCAACTATAGACAGTAAACTATATATTTCCAACCACCACCACCAGCAACTAACCATCCATGTCAAGATGCAAAGTTTGTACTTGAGAATAACCTTGATATTACTAGTTCTTCTACTCACAGTAACACTCATCCCCACCGCCTCCGCAGCTTCCTGGGACCTACAGTTTCGCAAGCGCCTTCCCCGCCCACTCGGCGAGAGACCTCATCGTCGCCTAGGCGATACCCTCGATTTGAAGCAGTGGCTCGCCAACCACCGACAACTACCCCTCCAAGCAGGTGCAGCAGCAGTCATGGGCAGCAACCCCTCCACCAACGTCGTGCTCCCGCCCGAGGACCACCCCCAAGACACAGGAAACACCGATGGGAAAGGAATCATCCTCTCGGACGTGCTCCCCAAGACCCGGGGCGTGAACGTCTTCGCCTCGCTGACGCGCCAGTTCGAGGCCGTCGAGGCGCGGCTCGACGACGCCGCCCACAACGTCACCGTGCTGGCGCCGCGCAACAGCGCCATCCAGGAGCTGCCGCGCAAGCCGTGGGAGAATCCGGATGATATCGCGCGGTTTGGGGAGGCGCGGGCGTACGAGGGGAAGGAGGGCCAGGATCGCGCCACCCGGAATCTAGAGCGGTTTGTCAAGGCCCATGTAGTGGGGACGAGTCCCTGGAAGGAAGGGGAGGAGGCGGAGACGTTGGCCGGGGATAAGTTGACGTGGTCCAGAGTTGGTGATAAGATTCGGGTAGGTGTTTCCCAACCTGGTATCGGGGGTAAGATGATTAGGCTAATTTCGGTGTGGGACAGATTCAACCGGGTGATGTCGAGGTTGATAGTATTGCCGAGAAGGTTTCGAATGGAGAGGTGTGGGTTCTTGATGGAGTGATCAATTATCATTAGGTATAGCGTCTGGCAGAAGGCTGGGATGTAGATACATATTGCGGAACGAGCGACTTTCCGCAGTGACGACCCTTCAAAGTAGTTATGATGAACAGCCACTATTTTCATGTATTGACATTTAGGTTTTGATAGTAGTATAACATCTCTGAAAGAACAAAGTAATTTCCTTGATCTGCGTCATCACATGAAATACGAGCTTGACATTGTGAGCTTTACCACAGCAAAAGCAAGTCTACACCCTCGGAGAACGACCACATTAATAGGCTTCGCTGGAGCCATAGTTCTGCAGGATGCGCTCCTCAATTCCATCCAAGATGCAGAAGTGCTCCATGACCGCAAGGTTCTCCGCCTCATTCTGATACATCTTATCGGGGTCCTGACCCGGCTGGAAAGGGTTCATGCCGGCCGCAGGGTTCATACCAGCCATCTGTTGAGCCATTTGGCTGGCAGCTGTTTTGCATACCTTCGATTAGCACAAATCATTCCCATTAACCCTTACACAAACACAAAACCGTGTCGCATGCCGAGAACTTGACTCACCATTATCGCTCCCCAAGATAAACCCAAACACAGACTGCAGCCCAAACAGATTCAAAAAGTACCAGGAAAGACTCGACACCCATCTCACATCCAGATCCCGAGTCATCACACCGGACTGTAGCATCGACTTAAACCGAATGGTAAGAGGGAAGGGCAATTTCACTTTGCATCGGCCCCCCAAGTCAGCTCTCGAGCCCGACAACCACACACAAAGGAGTAAACTAGAAAACAAGAACTTACAAATCACAAACCCCGAAAAGAACGCATTAATCCAGCTCATGATCAACGTCTGCGGGATCATCATCATCATGTTCCCCTTCATCATGCCCATAATCGCCTCCATGCCCGCGGGATCCGTCATCGGGTTCGCCGGCGGCTGGCCGCGGTTCTCCGGGTCCTTCAGGAAGGCCCCCTCCTGGTAGGCGGAGATGAGGTACTTGCGGCGCATCTCGCACGACTCCGGGCTGAGCACGTAGGCGTTGTTGCGGAAGTTGACGCCGCGGATGAGGCCCAGGCGTTCGCGGGATTCGGCCAGCGTCGCGGCGGGTTTCGGCGGGTTGTTCATCAGGACGGTGGCGTAGTGGCGGAGGATACCGGTGAGGATCTTAATCGAAGTCTTAGCGGTTTGTGAAAGAAGGTAGTGTAGTCAAATAGGGTTGACGAAAGCTTACCATGACAATCGTAATGGGGAATACGATCCAATAGCTAGGTCGAGTCAGCTTTCGACTTGCCCACGCCAGGTTCCTTAATTCGTCTGGAGTTGGGGATCAACGACGTACAAGAGAGCGGGATCCCGAAGGATCGTCTGCTCTACCCCCTGCAATGCCATTTGAACTGATAGGTGGTTGCAAGAGAAGGGGGAAATCTCGTCGCTCAATTCGAACTAAGAAGCTGAGAGAACTAAGTTGAGGGAAACGGGGAAGCTCCCCCACGGAAGTTGGATGGGGTGGACGGGCGGCGGCGGCCTTACTGCCTTGGCGCATGCCGCTTTAGCTTGCAAAAGGGACAGCTCGCCGCAACTCCGACAAAGACCGCCGCGTCACCTCTCAAATTATCTCAAGGAACGTCAACTACCAGAAGCTTAGCCCTCTGGATTAAAAGAATTGCTAGTATATATTGACCTACCAAAAAGGGGACTCACCAATGTCGTCCGCAGAGGCACCCAAGGTGCCTGTTTATTCGAGCAATGGTTAGTTGATGCATGCATGTTTACTTCATAAGCCTGCTGCTCGAATACTCCCACTGCAGCAGTAACAGCTTGCCCACTCCCTCTGTGATCAAGGCTACATCGTTGATTGAAGCCACTTCATACTAACAGCCCTACGATCAGATCTGAAATCCACCACCGACGATGCCCTGGCACCGCACCTCACCACCCTCCCGCAACCCTACCGATTTACCCAAGACAACACCATGCTGAACGTGCGCTTGGTGCTGGGCTACGCGGCCGTCGCCATCGCCGGGTTCACCTTTTACGCAGACCGCATGCTGAAGTGGGAGGCGACTCGCTCGCCGTGGATTCTGGCGGCCGTCGCATCGTACTTCATTCTCAATTCCCTGCTCACATACTGGATCTGGGCCGTCGAGGCGGGCGAGGTGTTTCGAGGCAAGCGCAAATCGGGTGAAACGGTATGTTCATTGGACCCCTGCCCCCATTGCATGGAATAGAAACCAAACCATTCGAGAGTGTCTGTATGTGGGGGCTAATGCTTGTTTTGTTGCTACGATAACTTTAGATCATAATCCGCTCCTTCGTCAAGAAGCATTCCCCGCTTTACAAGCTCAAGGTTCAGTACACGTCCCCGGCGGGCAAGGTCATCCAGGAGAAAGAGATCGAAACGTCGTTCACGAAGTGGTTTGCGGCCGACGGAACGTTCCACATCCAGCCGCTCCGCGACTGGTTGGCGAGCGAGATTGAGATTCTGCGGCTTGCGGCGAATGAGATTCAGAGGAAGACTGGCGGTGCTGCGAGTCATGTCGCTGTTCAGGAGGCGGAGCAGGTTGAAGGGGGCAAGAGTGCGACGAAGAGGAAGTGAAGAAACATGACGTATAAGCCCTCCTTTTTACCACAAACGGAAACATCTGGGGTGATTGGATCTGCATGTCAAAATGGCGCAACGTCTGGGATTGTATCTGGTGTGATGTCAGGCTCTCTTTTCCAAATCTCATCTTGCGGGGTTTTCTTGCGATAGTAGCTTGACTGGGGTTTGAGAACAAAACCACCTTCCATGGCATGCATTCAACGGTATAGTCTTTGTAGCGCTAGGGTTACCCCCCTCCCAGACTTTTCAATCCAGAGATGCTCATGATCAAAACAGCGCAACAGTGTCGCATTGACAAGGTGATTTACATGAAGGGTTCATCAAGCTCAAACAGCATAGAGGAATGTAAGAAAATCTATGGCTAACTCTGCTATATCGTCTTTCGGTGTTGTATTTTTGTGGAATGAAAAAGAGGTATCGCCACTGAGGGTTTTTTACGAGGCAGCTTCCAGAGTGCCCGGGCGCTCAGTGGCCTCGGCGGGTTTCACATCATCCATTCTCTTGTTCTGGATGAGTCTCTGTGTGTAACGGTGAGCTGCTGGACTCTTCATCAAGATGATGCGAGAACGTCCTACTTACCAACAGGTTTCTAAGCAAGACAACGATCGTCACCTTTCCAGTGGAAGGCACGAAGATGGACGCCTTCTCCTTCACCTCGGGTCCGAAGTTCTGTTTCACATCAATGTCAGATATATCTGCAGTATAAAGATAGACCTCTATGGATCGATTGGCAAACATACCTTCTCGCTGGAGAAGTTGACGCACACAGCACCCTCTCTGAGAAGGCTGGTGTCGAACTTGTACTTCTCACCGGGGACACCGGAGATGACAACATCACAGAGGGGCACAACGTCCTTCAGGGTCTTGCCTTCGAGCTCCACGACCTCGTGTCTGCCCTTCTTCAGGCCCTCACCACGCGTGAACTTCTGGATGCCGTTGACGTCGACACTGTACACGCAGGCACCATCGTTGGCCAACAACGCGGCGAGCGGGCGTCCCACCACCTCGGAGCGGTTCACCACGCAGATGGTGTGGCCGAAGAGACGGTTGCCGTAGGGCAATATCGTGTTGTAGATGTTCAGGTACTCGAGGATCTTGATGATGGCCAGGGGAGTGCAGGGGAGGATGCACTTCTGACGCTTGGTTTCCGGGTCCAGGAAGCGGATGTTCTGGTACATGTTGAAGATGTACCGGTGGGTGAGACCCTCTACATCTTTGGATACGTCGACGATCTGCTGCAGGTACTGGTCCTGGCGGTTGTTGAAGATGGGGTAGTATACGATGATGCCGTCAACATCGGGGTCGACGTTGGCATTGAGGATGGCTTGCTCGAGATCGTCCCGGGCAACTTCACGGAGGGAGTAGCGGAAACCACTATACGATAAAGAAACAAAGACTACATTAGCTACGACGTGACTCATATATGACCCCCGATGCCACCGCTTGCCGCACCGGCTCCGACATCGCAGATTGGGGGAGTCATAGGGGCGACGCTTCAGAAGAAAGAAACGGAGACGCCCAACGAAAAGAATATGGGAAAGAGTGCTCACTTTTCGATGCAAGTCTTCTCCGTCCATTGGGCATACATCAAAGCCGCAGGGTCATTGTTTGCAAGGAATCCGACCAGGTGAGGCGGCTTCTCAAGCATCTTCACACCCTCCTGGACCTCCTCGAGCAGGCGATTGGCAACATGCTTGGAAAGCATGACCTTGCAGGAGGCCGGAGCCGAGTCTGTAGCAGAAGCCATCTGGGCGATGATAGAGAAATTGTGCAAACAATTCAACAAAGTCGATTGGTAGCCTTTTGGGTGGATTGAGATGGACTATGGTTGGAGGGGTATGGAAGAAAAATTTGGGATGGAAAGACCGCCGCTCGCTTATCGATAAAAAAAAAGGCATGCCCGCATTCGGCCGCCCATCGGAGCCAGTCATTGAAGGACCAGCGCACTATTCTACGAATTGAATTAGCCTGAGCAAGAAGTATCTAGTAGTGCAGACATTCGAACTAAATTGGTGGAGAATCTGGTCCCAAGCTCTTACCACATGGAAACCAGAATCAGACAGTAATTAGAAACCGGGGCAATGCGCGGCAATGCCGTGCCCGGTCCATGTCTGCTCCTTCGATGCCGAAATCGATCTCGCCCTCTACATTTGCCCCCTTCTTTACCCCGGATTATTGACAAGATTGGAGATTGGGGCTTCGATTACAGTCCCCACCGGAGAGACTGGCAAGCCGGTCAAAGGAACAAAAGAAATCATATTCAGGCTGCATATATGTAGACAATGGCGGGATCATGGGCAAAGACCAGCTGGACCATTCCGGATCCAAAGTCATTGAATCTGTTCCCACTACCCCTTTCATTTGTCGCGCGAAAAGATCTAAACGTACAGGATATTAATCGTATCTTTTTGCCTTCCTCGTCCCACCGTTTTACCTTGCGTCATAGCTACAGAATATCAGATGGGTATACCATCAGGAAAGATGCGGTTACATCCAGCGCCGTGTTCGACCGATCCGAAGCTCCGGGTTTTAACAACAAAACAAAACAATGGTCTCAAATTGTACAAGCTATCTTGTCTATACAGATAGAGTCAGGATAAAAACAGTACACGGTGGACTAATCACCCAGAGGCCATTTGCTCACCTATGCGTTGAAGGACTTGTTGAAGTTGACAATGACCTCCTTGAGCTGAGCCTCGAGGTCCTTGCTGACCTGGCCCTCCTTCTCAATGGTCTCCTGGATCTCGGGGTGGTTGCTCTTGAGGTGAGCAAGGAAGTCGGACTCCCAGGTGAGGATCTTGGCGACGGGGATGGAGTCAAGGTAACCGTTGACACCAGCGAAGATCAGGGGAACCATGTCGGGGACGGACATGGGAGAGTACTGCTTCTGCTTGAGAAGCTCGGTGAGACGCTCACCACGGTTGAGGGTCTGCTTGGTGGAGGCATCGAGATCGGAACCGAACTGGGCGAAGGCAGCAACCTCACGGTACTGAGCCAAGAACAGCTTCAGGGAACCGGCGACCTGCTTCATGGCCTTGACCTGGGCAGCGGAACCGACACGGGAGACGGACAGACCGACGTTAATGGCAGGGCGGATACCCTTGTAGAACAGCTCAGCCTCCAAGAAGATCTGGCCGTCAGTGATGGAAATGACGTTGGTGGGGATGTAGGCAGACACATCACCACCCTGGGTCTCAATGACGGGGAGGGCAGTGAGGGAACCACCACCGTGCTTGTCGTTCATCTTGGCAGCACGCTCGAGGAGACGAGAGTGGAGGTAGAAAACGTCACCGGGGTAGGCCTCACGTCCAGGGGGACGACGGAGCAGAAGAGACATCTGACGGTAGGCGACGGCCTGCTTGGAGAGATCGTCGTAGATGATGACGGCGTGGCGGCCGTTGTCACGGAACCACTCACCCATGGCGCAACCAGTGAAGGGAGCAAGGTACTGCAGGGGAGCAGCCTCGGAGGCGGTAGCAGCAACGATGATGGAGTACTTCATGGAGTCGTTCTCCTCAAGGGTCTTGACGAGCTGAGCGACGGTGGAACGCTTCTGACCGACGGCAACGTAGATACAGTACAGCTTCTTGCTCTCGTCGCTGGAGGTGTTGTTCCAACGCTTCTGGTTGAGGATAGCGTCGAGGGCGACAGCGGTCTTACCGGTCTGACGGTCACCAATGATCAACTCACGCTGACCACGGCCGATGGGGACCATGGAGTCGACACACTTAAGACCAGTCTGGACGGGCTGGTTGACGGAGTGACGGGGCAAGATACCAGGGGCCTTGAGCTGAGCACGGCTCTTGGCCTTGGTGTTGATGGGACCCTTGCCATCGATGGGGTTACCGAGAGCGTCGACGACACGGCCGAGCATCTCAGGACCAACGGGAACATCAACCTAGTTGAAGGTATTAGCATAAATCCGGGTCAAATGGCTTGAAAATCGGGTTCTAATGGTAACATACAATCTCTCCGGTACGCTTGACAGTCTCACCCTCCCTGACGAGACGGTCGGAACCGAAAAGCACAACACCGACCTGGCCGGCTTCGAGGTTCATGCACATACCCTTAACACCGGAGGCGAACCTGGGGAATTGTTAGTGACCTGATATATAATTTTCTCATTAGTAAGGGGGTGCACGTACTCGACCAGCTCCTCAGCCTGGACGTTGGTCATGCCATGGACACGAGCGATACCGTCACTATTGTCATAATCGTGTTAGTTGGGTAGGATTCCCCCGATAGAAATGTTGACGGCCGAAGTTTGGATAGTTTCTCGATAATTTCTCGATGGTTTCTCGATGGATTCGATGATATTGAAGGCGCGTCCAAAATTTTCACCGGAAGGATTTCGTCACGTACCCGACGGAAAGGACACGTCCAGTCTCGGCAAGACCAGCCTCCTCCTGAACACCACGGATTCTCTGCTCGAGGATGGAAGAGACCTCAGTGGGAGAGGCCTTGGCCTCAGCAGCATAGGAGCGGATCTGCTTGGAGGCACCAGAGATGGGGCCGGGAACAGCGGCGCGAACCTGAAGACGTAGGCAAAATTTGTCAACACCACAACCACGCAGTCAAAACGCGTCAAAAGCTGATAGCATGCATTGCGATGGGTAGAGAGGCGATTGGAAGTATCATTGAGATGACTTCCCCGATGTAGAAGGTCGAATTGAATGGACGATGTCGACTTGGGACAGGGATGAGACTCACGGAAGCGATTCTGCCAGTGGCAGAGGCAGCCGCAACGGTGCGGCTAGACTGCCGCAAAGCGTTCCTGAACATTGTGAAAAGGGTTCAGAGGTGTGGGAGAGTGGTTTCTCTGAAGGAGAGATGTAATTGGGGGGGGAGGGGGGGAAAAGGAAGAAGAGGAGAAAGGATTGTGGATGGAGGAGAGGAGAGCTTTGTCGTCGGGGTTGGGAGGGATTCTCTCTCAGAACTGGCACTAATCCTAGTTTGCCGAGCCTCACCAACCTCCGAAGCCGCCCTAGTGCGCTCACGGGACAACCCACCCGTCCCCAAGAAAACGAAAACGCCGGGTGATGTATTTATTATTTTTCTATTTGTACAAAACGATCGTCTATCTGATTTTACCTTTACATTACATCTCTATTCTTCTGAATGATTCTAGTCCCCGTAAGATAACCCTATACCTTGGTCTTCAGAAAAAAAATGGGTTGAAACATACCTAGCACGCCGTGGCTGGTTGCTTGGTTACTAGGCTCTCCCGGGCCACCTGTCCGTTCCCAATTTTCATTTCCACTGTATTTCAGTTTCTCTCACTCTCGGATCTGCGGATACTGCTGGCTGGCTGGCTTACTCATCTGCATTTTCGTCGCAGCAACCGCCCGCAGCAGCCCGCGCACTGCAGCAAGCACAGAGGCCCTGCTAGTCTAGTAGCTGCCCACGAATGCCAGTGCCAGCCAGTGCCAGTGAGAGTGCCAGTGCCACCAAACCAAAAATTGCCTTGCTTTTTGCTTGACCGGTTGTTCCGGTGGGAATTCTTTCCCCGTCTCCATCTCCATCTACTAGTTACTGTGCTGTCCATGCATCTACAACGGAAAAACCCTTCCAGGCGGTCAATCGGTTGAGACGTCGTCTTTCACAGCCTCTTTCTATTCTAGATTGTCTCTTCTCTATCTATCTTCTCTCATGGGTTGCAGTTCCTTTCTTAGTACCTCTACGGAGTAGGTTACTGGCGTCGCTCAATGGCCCTTGGGTGCCAACCCGAACCTTGCCGCAGCAAACCCTGTCACCCCCTCCAATCCTTTTCCGATTTCAGTAACTTACATCATGCTCCACTTTAACCTGAGGTCTAAGATTCCTACTCCAGTACAGTAGCTTGAACCTACCAGTTCAGACAACATTTGCTTTATTTACTTGAGAATCTGCAACTCACTCATGGTACCAACCATCAGACAAAGTTTTGTCATGGACTTCACGATGCATTCTCAAAACACTGCTTACTGCACTCAGACGTTCCATCATCACCTTGTAGACATGCTGCCAAATTGGAAAGACCGCTATTGTCGCTTTGAAAATAGCCAAACAACCTTGATTACCACCGAAGACTAAGGACCACTTATGGCTCTCATACTGGATTTGCGGTCCGATCAATTGCTTGCCTTGTTCTGCTGGGCCTTGAATGCCGCGACCTCCTTGTTCACACTCTCATGGTACCTCTTCTTCAGCTCGGGGCGATACCCGAAGAAGAACAGAATCTCCATCCAGATGAAAAGGGGAGCGAGCAGCAGAGCCTGCACCAGATTATCCAGCAGTGCAGGGGCCCGTTTCTCGAAGGCACCATGGCCGACGAATTGCGCCAACCACGAAACCACGTGAATGCCACCAAACCAGTAGTTGGCGCTCGTGCCGTAGGTACTGAGAAGGTGATTCGCACCGGCTGCACTGCCGATGATGAGCGGCGTCGCTAGGGCCCCTGCTACGGGCTCCAAAAGGATGTAAAACGTCGAGTATACTATAGCAGCGATCGTCCCAAGGTTGAGAGGCAGGTTCTCAACCTGCAAAGCCTCAGGCGTGGGGATGAGGGTTGGTGTGTTAGATGCCTAGTAAGTAGCACGGTATCAGGGCGTCTGTTGCTGGGTTGTCCGGGGTTGAGTGTCATACCAGGGCAATGCCAGTGAAGAGAAGTATCGGCACACATGTCATGTGAATCGCAACATTCACCTGGAAGAAGAAAGTCAGGAACTGAGCCTTGCGAGGATATATAGAAGAGCTTTGCACGTACGGGATTATTGTGGTAGGCGCCATACTGGAAGATGTGTTAGTTAGCGACTGAGTCTGTTGACCGGAGGGGCGGCGGGTGCCGCAGAATGGGCCTCACAAAGAGTAGCTGCTTCTCAAGATTCAAAGCCATGGTGACACTGAAGATGCAGGGGTCTTGTCGGGCAAGGCGAAGAGCAGTGAGATGGAGAAGACCGATATCCAGACCGAGAAGACTACTTTTCCTCCCCACTACAAGGTGTTGCCTGATCAGGTGGAAGGATAAGACATTTTATGCCAAACCGTTCGTTGCTTGTGCAAACGTCATTCGTTGTACAGAGACTCAACAAGGGCCGAGGATATTGTGAATTCTTACACCCTTCGTCTTATGATTGTACCTCCGAGGTACTGAAATTCTCTCACGAGGAAGCAGATTACCCACCAATCCAGCACCCTGGGCGTCATGATGTGTATGTGTACGGTAACTCACGTTACCCTCCGCCCTCGTCATGTGACTCGGGCGAGCTCCCGCGGATCAGACACGGTGATTGTCGCTCGATTGACAGCGGAGTCAAATCACCTGGTCGCTCTTGAAGTTCCGTGGGCTGCCTTCAGTTCTCTTTCAGACTGGGGTCACTTTTTTGTTCAACTCCACCTCTGCATTGTTCTTTGTTTAACACGTCTTCTACCAAATTTTACGCGCGCTACGAGTTGTTGATACTAATCCTTGTGCTTCAATTGCCATTGCTCTTTGCGCATTTAGCACCACGATCACAATCGCTACACGATTCCTGCATATTGACTCCGTCTCACTCAAACCATTAAAGCGACTAAAGCGCTTTCGTTCGCTCGGACCTAGACATTGATAACCAACGCTACTGGGTACCATTCTTCGTGTCAACCGCATCTTCGACCTCCGATCATCGCGCGTGCAATCTTGGAAAGCAAAAGGAAGATCAGACATCATGTTCTTCCTCAAGGAAGAAGTCAAGGTTATTACCTTGCATCCGTCCTTCTTCGGACCCAACATGCGGGAATATCTCATCACCCGGTTAAACGAGGAAGAGGAAGGTCGGTGTACGGGCGATCACTTTGTGATCTGCGTCATGGACATGGTAGATATCGGCGAAGGACGTGTGCTGCCCGGCAGCGGACAAGCGGAGTACACGATCAAATACCGTGCGATCATCTGGAAACCGTTCCGAGGCGAGACTGTACGTTGCGAAGAGTCGCCCGCACGGCTAACCTCAACGCTGACCGTGGAAATTGCAGGTTGATGCGATTGTAACCTCTGTCAAACCTACTGGGATCTTCACTCTGGCGGGGCCGTTGTCTGTGTTCATTGCGCGAAAGGTATACCGAACATTAAGCGTGCGGAGGGTGGTCTGAACTTGAACGCTAACGGACTGATGAAAAGAACATTCCCTCTGACATCAAATGGGAACCCAACACGGTACCGCCCCAGTATACGGATCATGCAGACCAGGTGATCGAGAAGGGAACGAGCCTGCGGCTCAAGATCCTGGGTGTGAAGCCGGACGTTGCGGCAATTAATGCCATTGGTACAATCAAAGAGGATTTCTTGGGGTGAGTTATGGCCTATCACTACGGATGAACGGTCTACTGATGCGCATTACTTTCCACCAGACCCTTGTAGTTTGCTTGGGATGAGAATCTCCTCTTCCTTTCTCTTCTATCCGAGGATATTGAAGCCGCTGCGAAGGAAGTCTGAACTCTTTAGCCTGTTGTACCACCACTCGCATCGCTATATAGAGACCACCGTAGCATCATCGACTCAACTTGATGTCCGGACGGAGCGCTTGCTGAGGCCTTACAGAAACGCATCGAACAGTCTCTCCAAGCGGGATATCATTTGGGGGGATGGTATCTTGCTTATCCTGGCAAAGAAGCCCGCGCAGGCGGACAGGGCTGCCTCGTCGCAGGAGCATCGGTCTCGCACATGGCTATTGTGTGTATGGCAAGGCAACACAAGACAAAACAAGAACGACGAGAACGGATGGTGGCTGGCTCGGAGCCGTGATCGGCTACGTAATTTTTTATAAAGAAAAAGCGTTGTTTTTGTACAGTCAAAATCAAATATGGTAGGGGTAACTTGGATAGAATTAAATAGATCAGAAATAACTGTTTGTGTCGTGGATCTACTTCTTAGTTCAGGTGTAGGCACCCAGTATGCAGTGTATAAGCACTGTACTACACCTAGGACTACTAGAACTAAACGAGAGAAGATGCCCGCATTGCACTCAGCGTGTTAATCATGCAGCTGCTTGTGCTTGTGGGGGAGTGATCGAATGCATCACCAGTTGCCGGAGAAACGGAATGTGAAACGCTGGTGTGTCCCAGTCTCCATCATCGGAGCCGTGCGCAGGCAATTTCCCCAGTCCGTCCGTGGCAGGAAATGGGAGTATTGAATCCTGCTGATGTTATGGGGATTTCTCGATAGACCAGAAGGTTGACAGTGTTCTTAGGGAGCACTGATCCGTACTCTATGTAGGTAGTTATTGGGATTGGATGGAGATAAATGTGTTTTGACAGCATTCACTGCCTTAAACATGTAAACATGGAGGAAGGTATTCTAACCGAAGCCCTCAGAGCATGGGCCCAAATTACGCATGTGAATCAGGGCGGAGTGGACTGGGACTACCTAGTAATCGGCTGCACCTCCCCGTCCTACACTGACTTGACGACTTCCATTACACACTGCCTGCGCTGTTGTCCCTCTTCTCTTTTGGGGGTCCCTCAGCACTACTAACCAGGTACTGTACATACACAGAGACTACTACGCTACTCTCTTTCACATCTCAGACACCGACTCTCTCCTTCTCTCTCGCTACTCCAGTTTCTCACTCTTGACCTCTGTTTAACCCCCACATCTTGCTGTTTTCTACTCATACTTTCCCTCCGCCAACAGCATCCGGCTGTGTTCTGTCCTCTCCGTCCCGAATCTTCCCCGCATCCCTTTACATTCGTTTCTGAAACTCAACCAACCCAGTCGCAGAAATCATGTCTTTGAAAGATGTGTACAGCCGGTTCCTGACCAACCCCAAGTCGGCTCCGTTGGCTACCGATGCGTCCCTCGTTTACATCACGACCACTACTAAGGTAGACGGTGACGCTGCGATTGTCAGCCATTTCAGCAAACAGCAGCGCATCGTTAAGACCAAGTCGGAGACTATTCTGGACGCCTTCGAAAGCACCAACTCTCTCTGCTTGGATATTGAAACTACTCTGGAATTTGTGTCTGGCGGCGGGGCGTACCTTCCTCAGCTTGACGACAATTTCCTGGCCGATCATGTCGCTACCTTTCCGACGGTAAATATGCGCCCAATACCCGTACACTATCCATACGACCGTGCCAAACTAAACAGATACTTGAATGAATCTAGGTTCACATTGTTCGCTTCAATGCTCAGCAGCAGATCCAGAATGTCCGCATCTACTGGGACCAAGCTTCGTTACTGAAACAAGTCGAAGTGATCGGTTCGCGTGCTCGCGGTTGGCCCATTCGTGATGCCAAAGACCAGTTTCGCCTTCTCAAATCTGCCATCTCATCGATTCCCAGCGATCACGGACCGGGGTCAGCTTCTGCGCCTGCCCCACCTGCTTCCACGGAGGAGAAAGCGCGTGTTCCGGAGCGCCAGATCGCCTCTCCAGGGAAAAAGTACATCAAGGACCCTCATGCCGCTGACTCCCTATTTGAACTTCTCTCGCCAGGCAAGGACAGCAAGGACCGAGGAGAACCTGTGCGTGCCCCGCGTGCTCCTGCGTCTGCCCAGCCTCCAGCGCGTGACTACGGCGAGCTCTTCCTCAGTACCGAAGGTGACTTCGACAACGATACTCCCGACGCGTCGCCATCCAGAAAGCGAATTCCCCCTAAGGCCGGTACCAAGAACTTGCAACCCTCGCGCATCTTCGATCATGATGAGGCCGCCACCAAAGAAGGACTCCAGCAGATTGCGTACAAGGCTCACCCCAAACGTTACGATCACTTTGAGCTTGGCGGGGATAACAGCACTCGGGAGGTCCATGAGAAGCCTGGGCGCCCTGTGTCTCGTCAGGCCCCTCACTGGGACTTTGAAGACTTTGTGACCCCCGAAAAGCCCAAGCGTCAACTTCGAGGAGAGGAAATCTGCCACTTTGGTTGGGGCGATGATGAGCAGGAACCTACATCCGTCCCAGTTCGATCACGGGCGCAGCACCCCCGTCCTGATGCTGAAACTCATTTTTCGGTGACCGAGACTCCCGAAGAGAGACCAGGCGGCCGCATTATCAGTTCATTCCAGAACAAAGGTTTGGGCCTTTACAAGAACCACCTTTTCGACAACAAGGAAGACGATGAATTCTCCCAGAACGCAAACGCGCCCCTCTCCAGAGTCAACAACAATGGCGCCAACCGTAAGAAGGAGCTCGAGACCCACTGGGATATGGCCGACGAGTCGCCTCGCGATAGCAAGCGCAACGCGGAAAACAGAAAGCCTATTCCCGGAGACCGTCAAAAGGCCGTTAAGGCGCTAGAGCCATCCTGGGATACCTATGACCAGTCACCTGAACCCACGAAGATGGCGCCCCCTCAGCGGCAGAGCGTAAGAAACCACAACCAGCGGAGTTGGAACTTCGGTGCTGAAAATTGATCGCTGCATCGCTTAGCTGCGTTGCGCGGTGCTTCATTGCTCAGTCCATGCATATACAAATTCCAGAACAAGACCTTTCGCCAAGTCTTGAGTATACCTTGAGAGTAAGCCAAGCGAATCCGGAGTAAACCAGGGGCCAACATCCACATACGGAAGCAGAAAAGAACCGAGAGTCCGTAGCTATCGATAGGAGGAACTCTTATTTTTGCAAGCAATGTATCTTTGCATGCCGAATCTTTGTCTAGTATTTGTGACAGCGTTTCCCTGCATTTTGATATGGGGTCAACTACTATCCTGATTCGTTGTGAGGCAGAATGCAAATACAATCAATGTATAGTAGAGAAAACATGTGTGCAAGACCATTCCAAGTTACTATACCTTAGCTGCCTGTCCTCAATCCATGTCATTGCTTATCTATTGGTTTTGGAGTCCGAGCGAGTGAGTCAACGGACTCAACCCATGCAGTAGTAAGCATGGCCGGCGCGCCAACCACGTTTAGTGACCTGTCGGGGGTGAGACGGGCGGTTGCATGGTCTAGTTCTGAGTAAGTTAACTTATTGTCCCCTCTCACTACGCAGTAACTAACGAACCGCACCGCATTTCCACTTTGCCTTTCGGTCTTGTCTTCTCTGCCAGCCAAGCTGCAACCTGCCCGATTATCAGATGCCATCTACGTATACTTTGAAGTTTGTCATCCGTCACTTCACTTGCGTGTGATTGACTCAGTCACTGTCTTTACGTCAGCTGTGTGTGTGCCTACATACTGACCGCCTTCGAGGTGATAACGGAGATAATAACCTATCCTACCTATCTTACCTATCCTACTCTTACCACTCCGTAACTACCCTTTATTTCGCAAAGGCGTTTCTTCACTTCAATTCTACTAACTCCAACTACGTGCCTCTTCAGGTATCGACCAACCTGGGCTTGCCTCTTCTCTCTTCTGTCTATCACTGATATAATCTTAAACTCGATAAGCCCGGCTTGACCGGCTGTTTGCCTTTCATTCTCCCAAGTTCGACCCGCAAAGGCAGTTCGCCGATCGTGCCCCTCATTGGATCTCTTCTCTGCCTCCTCGTCTTGTTGTTCGGCACTTTCTTTTCTTTTCGTTTCGATCCGTGTGCAACGCGATTCTTTGTGCCGCTGTTTTCGAGGTCGAGTCAACACCAGCCCGTGTCTTCCAAATCTGTTCAACCCCGACGGACAGCGGTGTTCTTCGGTCGCCCATCGCCGCGCGCCCCTCGATCGTACCATAAGCCTGCTCAATCGCGTTCAGCGCAACGATCGCGGTCAAACCACTGGGATCGAGTATTGTTGTGCAATAAGGGCTCTTGATAAACAGGGCGGATTCTGGTAACGCTCGCAGACTTTCAGAGGGCTGCGCGCCGATTACTTGAGTCTTGTCATATTGTCCATTACATTCATTGACAACTTGCGCCGTCGACCGGACAGACTTCCAACCTCTACAGCGTCCGGACCAGATCCCTTTAGACATATTGGCGCCGAAATCCTACGCGATACTCAGCACGTTCAATAGTCGTCTCTGGGCAGGCCATTCTTTCTCCCCCCGCATTTTTCGTCCGGGCTACTCTCGCAAGCACTGTTTCTCAGGTGATTGTTATAATATAGCTCAATATGTCTCCGACACCCCCATCCACAACCTCGTCGAGCGCTGGCGCATTCTCACCTGAAGGACAATTCAGAGTCATCAGAAAGAGAAATCGAGTTCCCCTCTCATGTGCGCCATGTCGGCATCGAAAGTAAGCACTTGCCTCGCTGGCCACCTTTCCATTTGTGCTAACAGTGGAGTCATCAGGCTGAAATGCAACCGTGCCCATCCCTGCGAAAACTGCATCAAGCGTGGTGATGCGACTTCGTGCTCATACGCCCAAGCAAATGTGCGAAAAAAGAATGTGTCGCAGCCGTCAGCTGCGAGCTCTCCAGATGATATGCAGAATAGGATCGATCGACTTGAGAGCCTCGTCCTATCGCTCATGACTAATGGTTCCCAGTCTGCAGGCCCCGCAGCGGCCATGGCTGCGATTTCCGGCAATAGCAGCAGCACGGGGTCTGTACCGAACACGGTCGATATAGATGTGGAAGATGAAACACCTGGCGGCCCTGAGGACAGTGATACCGAGCAGGTCACCAAGTCGTTTGGAATCATGAAGTTTGACAACAACAAGTCCTATTATATCAGTGAGGTACATTGGGCATCGGTCCTCAGCGATGTAAGTTGCCTGCGCGCACCAGAGCTATCGCCAGCGATTAACGCCTGCTTCAGATTGCGGAAGTGCGAAATTATTTCTCCACTCACAAGAAGCAATACGAGGAGCAGACGGAGAAGCTGAAGACAACCCAACTCCCGACTGACGTCCAAGGTTCCGCTCTACTCTTTGGGGCAATGAAACCCGCGACTCGGGCGGAAATTATGTCTTCTTTCCCGTCTAAATATACGACCGATATGCTGATCGCGCGCTATTTCAGCTGCTATGACCCATCAACACGTAAGTCAGACGGCTTTTTGCATATACCTTATGTCAGTACTCACTCCGAAGTAGACATTCTTCATGGGCCCACTTTTCAGACACAGGTAAGACTCATCTGTCCATCACCCTACATGATTACCGTATCGCTAATCCCAGCCAGTACAACAAACATTGGGAAGATCCTTCCCAGACTTGCACGATATGGATTGGCATGCTGTTTGCCATGATGCGACTAGCCATGCTCTCGTACCATCGCAATGGAGACGAACCCCCGGAATTTCGGGGCAAGTCCCTGGACATGGCTGGAACTTTCAGAAACCTCGTAGCCCAGTGTCTTACGCTGGCCGACTATACCAAACCATATCCGTACGTCATTGAGAGTTTGATCTTTCACCTTCATGGTGACTTCTGTCAAACCAGGGAAGCAGATGTGTCGGTGTGGGTTCTCGTGGGAGTGATCGCGCGCTTGGCTATGAGGATGGGCTACCATCGTGACTCCAAGATGTTCCCAAACATTACACCGTTTCAAGGAGAAATACGGCGTCGCGTGTGGACCTTCGTGCGGCAGGCGGACCTATTGTTCTCCTCTCAAGTGGGGTTGCCCAGCATGATCCGTTCCACTGACAGTGATACTGAGCTCCCTCGAAATCTGTATGATGATGACTTTGATGAGAATTGTCAAGAGCTTCCGCCTTCCCGTCCAGCAAATGAACCGACGCCGATATCGTTCTTGATTGCTAAAGCGCGGTTGACGTACACTTTCGGCCATGTCAGCGAGCATACTTCACGTTGTCAGACTGCAACGTCTTATGACAAGGTGATGGAGCTTGATGCGGAGCTTCGTCAAGCTCGTGATCTGATCCCGGAGCACCTACTCGTGCGTCCTATTGAAGATTGCCCATTGGACTCTCCAAACTTGATCATGTCACGATTTGCGGTAAGTTCTGTCCTTGTTGAGATGTTCTATGCAGTGTTGACCATCTCTAGGTTGCGAGCGTGTATCACAAAGCACAATGCGTGCTTCATCGACAATACCTTGTACGAGCACGTGAGAACCCTCGATTTAGTTACTCGAGACGGACCTGCCTGGACTCTGCAATGGAGCTGTTGCGATTTCAGTCCATGCTTCATGACGAGACTCGGCCCACAGGTCGTCTACGCAGCAGATACAACAAGCTAACCTCACTTGGATCTTCCGACTATTTGCTTGCTGCAACCATTCTTTGCCTTGATCTTTATCATGGACAGCAACTCCAGGCATCGGGTCGAACCTCTAGTGATCCTTACTCCTGGACTAAGGAACGTCGGGATGAGATGGTGGCTGCGCTCCAACGAACCCGAGAGATCTGGGACGAGCTTCGTGATGAGACTATCGATGCATGGAAAGCTGCCGGAGCTCTGGGAGTAATGCTTGCCAAGCTGAATTTGGGATTTTCAGAAAGTAATACCGCGTCTGCACCAGCCTTTGAGCCACAGGATGAGAAACAAAGCGCCGCAATGACATTGGGGCTCCTGAGCAGTGGAATGAGTCCCATGGTTTCGAGCCAATCGACGCTCAACGACCCTGCATACAAGATGGCAGACACGCAAATGCCCATGCAAGGTGGCTTTGCAAACGCGGCAGAGATTCCGGGGGCACCTTCACCGTTCAGCGCGATGTTTGGGCAGGTGCCCGACATGCAGTTGAACCTGGACTGGGTAGGCTAACCCTTCAATCCCCTGAAAAAAGATTTCATGGCTGATCACAATCATAGGACGCTTGGGATACCTATATTCAGAGTTCAGCAATGGATATACCTTCACAATGGTGGCCATCGGGAGACATGCAACAGCAACAACCGGGTCAAAGTCCTCTGTCTTCAGCACAATTGCCAGCCACCCAAAACAGCGGTCCTGACCGCATGCGTTCTATGCCTCGTGGCCCGAACATATTCTCCCCTGATGCTAACAGCTACGAGGGCAGCAATGTTTCCATGTCGACGGCAGGCTATCCTGTCAATCCATCCTCTCTCAACAACCCAAGTAGCGGTCCGGGAACCTAAGCAACGATGTTGTTCAAGTTCTTTCGTGTCTGCCTTTCCAGGGTCTGAGTACATTTAATGAATCAAAAGTTGGTCGGGAATCTGGATTTCATTTTATATGGATTGTATTTGTGTCGTGCTATAAAGCTCTGCAGGACTAATCTTTAGCTTCACAGGATGGCGAATAGGACGCGGTTGGATTCAAGGCTGGGCTGGGCTCTTTCTAGTTGGTTTCCACAGCTATAATCATATTCGTGTTCTACGCTCGAATCAGCGTGGATATTCGATTGAGGATTGGATGTATATTACGCAAAGACACGTCACGATAGGTCATGCAAATACTAGTCATCTACACTCTATATTGGAGTCTCTTATTGTTGTTGGTAGTTCATGCTCGTCTGCAGATTTTAGCGTACCGTACTCCATTGAAGTCGCGAAAACAGAGACAACCACAGAACGTAGAGGTCTTTCCTCCGACTATGTTCAGGTCTAGTCTGGCTATTTCCTTCATTATAGTTATTGGATTATGTAGCATGCATTTCAGGAGATACTTGAGTCACGGGCAATATGCATTCCGGCGCAGCAATTTCCCAAACTCCAATGATCGATTACACATTAGGCATGGTGTGCTGATATAAAATCACGTGACTAGCTGATAAGGGAAGTTTTCGTTGGTGAATTCCCCGAAGCATCGCCTTGCCACAAATTCTTTGAGTTGAGAAAACCTCATCCTTTTCCATCCTTTCCTCTAAAATTTAATCGTTTTTCAAACACAAAAATGTGAGTCTGGTTATCACTGCCTTTCGCCATTGGTAGTATCTGTCTAACAGTATTGGATTTATCCAGGTATTGCTTCCGTCAGGCAGCCTCTCGGCTGTTGATTGCTCCTAGCAGAGTCGCGATTCGCTCTGTACCGCGCTCCAACGCGTCCAGCCCTTTGCGCCTTGCTTTCGCCAGCAGACCCGTTCAGTCTCAGCTTCAAAGCCGGTGGAACAGCGATGATGCTCAGAACAAGCCCGTAGCTCCCAGCACCAACGAGCAGTCTCCCGAGACCAGCAACGAGAGCATCGTCGAGGCTGTTTCGCAGTACGCCGATCAGAAGGAGAATTTTTCTGAACATGCCGATGAGCCTTTTGCCCCGGAAGCCCCGAGACGACGTTCCTTCCAGCGGGATAACTCTGGCAATGGCGAATCTGGGACCCGCAGATTCAGATCAAACTTCGCCAGGGAGGAGCCGGAGCCGAAGACCACCATTTTCGTTGGAAACCTTTTCTACGACGTCACAAGCGACGATCTCAGACGTTTCTTCATGAAGTTCGGAGAGGTGCAGAGAGTGCACCTCATCCATGACCAGCGGGGAATCAGCAAGGGGTAAGCGCACAAGTTTCGGTCCTGAATTCCAAACATTGCCGCGTGTGCAAATTCTGACTTTGGGGGTTGTCTGTCACTTAGATTCGGTTATGTGGATTTCGATTCGATCGAGTCGGCTCAGCGTGCCATCGAAGAGATGCACCTGCAGGTTTACGAGGGACGTCGTATCAGCGTCATGTTCGCGCAGAACGGCATGAAGAAGCACAGGGTGTCGCCCCCTTCGAAGTCGCTCTACATCGGCAACCTGCCCTTCGAGATGACCGACCGTGATCTCAACGATCTATTCAGCGATGTGGTCAACGTCATCGATGTGCGCGTGGCGATTGACCGCCGCACCGGACAGCCCCGTGGTTTCGCCCACGCCGACTTCGTTGACCTCGAGAGTGCGCGCAATGCCATGGAGGCCCTCAGCCAGAAGATGCCCTATGGAAAGAAGTTGCGCCTGGACTACAGCTCCAAGCACAAGGGCATCAACAACCCTGACTCCCGCCAGCAGGAGCAGCCGGAGCAGCCGGAGCAGCAGGAGTAGGGGTTGAGTCGTTGTCCCAGATTCTAATTCCACTTGGCCTACATTGAGGTGTAATAGTCTTGAGTGTATATCAAGTTCATCCTTTTCATGTATATTACAGAATTATGTCGTACAGTCCATTCCATTCATCATTTCCTGCTCCGTACATACCACGTAGGCTTAGACAGATGGAAACCAAAGGAAACCAAATAGATAGTAGGGCGCACGTGACTTCCGGGGGGCCTCGGTATCTTTCCGCCGGTCGGCAGCGAAGCCGCGCCGGAACCCCACGTCTCTGTGCTTAGAGAGCCATTTCGGGGCGAGTCTCCTCACTTATTCCTCTCTCCACACTCTCTCTCTCTCTCTCTCTCTCGCGCGCGCCCTCTTATCTCTCCCCCCTCCCTCTCTCTTCTACCACTGGTCCTCCCTTGTCCTATTTTCAAAACATATGAACTGTTCTACGTGAGAACTGAATAGCGCAGTCGCTGCACATATTCCCACAACATGTCGTTCCTTGGTGGCGCCGAGTGCTCTACAGCCGGAAACCCGCTGACGCAGTTTACAAAGCATGTCCAAGATGACAAGTCCCTGCAACGTGATCGCCTCGTCGGACGCGGTCCGGGAGGCATGCAGGAAGGCATGCGGTCTAGAGGAATGATGGGTGGTCAAGATCAGGTAGGTATCTCCATGTTTCAAACACACCCCACCCTCTCCTCAGCCTCCCCGCGGGGAAGAGGGCGTGGCCCACTGCCGTGGTTCCCATTCAACTAATGATTGCTATTAATGTTTAGATGATGGACGAATTCTCTCAACAACCCGGCCAACTACCGGGCGCTAGCCCTCAGCCCTTCGCCATGGAACAACTCAGACGTGAACTGGACCAGTTCCAGAACGCACCCCCGCGGACAGGATCTCCGGGCTGGGCGGCGGAGTTCGATGCCGGTGAGCATGCACGGATGGAGGCCGCCTTCAATGGGTCCCAAGGTTCGATGATGAACGCCCCCGCGGGATTCAACCCGGCCGAATTCGCCCGGTTCCAACAACAGAGTCGAACTGGCATGCCCCAAGCGGCTCACCCGTCCGTCGCCTCCGCCCCGTCCCCGATGCTGGCTGGTTACCAGCGACCTATGGGCTACATGGGCATGGGGGGTATGGGGATGATGCATCAGAACTTCGGCCCGATGGCCATGCACCAGCAGCAGCAACCGGCCGAGGCCGTCACGCAGGACAAAGGCAAGGGGCGGATGGTGGAGCTCGATGACGAGAACTGGGAGGCGCAGTTCGCGGAGATGGAAACGGCGGATACCCAGACGCTGGACGATGCGGCCAACGCAGCCATGGAGGCAGAGCTGAATGAGCTGGACAGGTCAGTCCCCACCACCACCTCCACCACCACCACCACCACCACTACCGCCATCGAGGAGAGTTTCGATGCGTTTGAAAACGTGTGGCAAAGAGTTCAAGCTGAGGCGGCAGTAAACAGGAAACTGGCGGAGGGTGAGACCGATTTCAACATCGACGAGAACCTTCACATGGGCGATATGGGTGACTGGGATGGATTCGAGACCCTCAACACGCGGTTCCGCAACCCGCAACTAGGCGAGTACCTGTTCGAGGAAGACAATGTTTTCCAGAATGTCAACAACCCATTCGAAGAAGGTGTCAAGATTATGCGGGAGGGTGGCAACTTGTCTCTGGCTGCGCTGGCCTTCGAGGCGGCGGTCCAGAAGGACCCGCAGCACGTACAGGCTTGGACGATGCTGGGGACCGCGCAGGCCCAGAACGAGAAAGAATTGCCCGCGATCCGAGCTCTGGAGCAAGCCCTGAAGATCGATGCTGGCAACTTGGATGCGCTCATGGGTCTGGCCGTCTCTTACACCAATGAGGGCTACGATTCTACCGCCTACCGTACTCTGGAGCGCTGGCTCTCCGTCAAGTACCCGCAGATCATCAATCCCAAGGATGTATCCGAAGACGCTGACCTTGGGTTCACGGATCGTCAGCTGCTCCATGACCGGGTCACCGATCTCTTCATCCAGGCTGCTCAACTGTCTCCGTCGGGTGAGCAGATGGATCCGGACGTGCAGGTGGGTCTGGGTGTTCTGTTCTACTGCGCAGAAGAGTACGACAAGGCGGTCGACTGCTTCTCGGCTGCGCTGGCCTCGACGGAGTCTGGAACCACAAATCAGCAGGAGCAGCTGCACCTACTCTGGAACCGCCTCGGTGCCACGCTGGCCAACTCCGGTCGGTCCGAGGAGGCCATCGAGGCGTACGAGCAGGCGCTGAACATCAACCCCAACTTCGTCCGGGCTCGCTACAATCTGGGCGTTTCCTGCATCAACATTGGCTGCTACCCGGAGGCCGCGCAGCACCTTTTGGGCGCTTTGTCGATGCACCGGGTCGTCGAGCAAGAGGGTCGGGAACGGGCGCGCGAGATCATCGGCGGCGAGGGAGGCATTGCCGACGAACAGCTGGAACGCATGCTCCATGTCAGCCAGAACCAAAGCACCAACCTGTACGACACGCTGCGGCGGGTGTTCAGCCAGATGGGACGGCGGGACCTGGCCGATCAAGTCGTGGCCGGGATGGACGTCAACGTGTTCCGGAAGGAATTCGAGTTCTAGAGCGATTCTGCTGGCAGGAAGCATAGCGAGTTTGAATTTGATAAGGTTTATTCATGTATGTATGTTCTTTTGAAACGAGGTGATGGGTAGGTAGATGAGATACCATTGGTAGCAGCATAGCAGCAGCAACAATTGAGACTATACAATACAGGGTTGTGCGGCTGCAGAAGATAATCAGGAATGCATGAGATTTGATCTTCTCTAAATTGAAGAGAGTACACCGACCTGATCGAACTAAGCATGCAAGCAAGTGTTGAAGTATGGCTGTTTCGGGCATGAAAGCGGCTGTTGCTGTTGCGTCATGCCGGTGAATGGGTTGTGCCTCGGCCATTTATTTCCATTGTTAAGTTCACTCGTACCGTGTCCGTCCAACTTGTCCAACTTCACTTCGCAGCTGCCTATCTCTCTTTCCCCACACCCCCAACCCCAACCTTTTCCCTGGACTGCTGAGCAGCCAGTCACTTTTCCTTTTTTCTTTTTATTTACTCACTGCTAACTATTCAGCCCTACATTAATTAAAATCCATCCATACATCCTGCCAAGCTGCCAAGCTCTTAATCACACTTCCCCCCCCCCCCCACAGAAAATAATGGCTGCCGTCACCGGTGCCCAGATCATCGCCCGGACGCTGCGCGATCTCGGCATCACCGTGATCTTTGGCATCGTCGGCATCCCCGTCGTGGAGATCGCCGAGGAGGCCATCAATTTGGGCATTCGATTCGTGGCCTTCCGCAACGAGCAGGCTTGCAGCTATGCCGCCAGTGTTTATGGATACATGACCGGACAACCCGGTGTCTGTCTCGTCGTGGGAGGACCGGGCGTTCTCCATACTTTGGCCGGGGTGAGTTGTTTTCCATGCCCTGAGGGTGCTGCTATCTACGTGATTTGTACTTCTTAGCTTTGCTGAATTCATATTTATCTATCCTCTCGTGCTAACAAAGCCATCCCTTCTGTCTCTCCTCTCGTGCTAACTAAAGCCAATTCCGCCAAAATAGATAGGCAATGCAACCGCCAACAACTTCCCCTTACTGGTGCTGGCCGGTTCGGCCGAGACCACCGCAATCACCAAAGGCGCTTTCCAGGAACTCGACGCCATCTCCTTCCTGACGCCACACACCAAGCTGGCGGTGCGCGCCTCCTCGCTCGACTTCATCCCGGGGGCGGTGAAGAACGCCTACCGGACCTGCTGGTACGGTCGTCCGGGCCCGACCTTCGTCGACCTGCCCGCCGACATCATCCAGGGTCGCGCAACCGCTGCGGCGGACTACCATCGGCTGCTGCTGCCTCCGCCGGAGACCATGCGGGTGCCCGCGCCGCCCAAGGCCAGCGGCGACCCGGCGCTGATCCTCAAGGCGGCGCAGTTGCTGAAGACGGCCCAGGCGCCGCTGCTGGTGGTGGGGAAGGGGGCCGCGTACGCGCGGGCCGAGGCCCAGCTGCGCCAGCTCGTCGACCGCACGGGGCTCCCTTTCCTCCCGACCCCGATGGGCAAGGGGGTGTTGTCGGACTCGCACGCGCGCAACGTGTCGAGCGCGCGCAGCGCGGCGCTGAAACACGCGGACGTGGTGCTCGTTCTCGGCGCGCGCCTCAACTGGATCCTCCACTTCGGCGAGGCGCCCAAGTGGTCCCCCACGGCCAAGATTATCCAGGTCGATCTGTGTGCCGAGGAGATCGGGCGCAATGCCGGCGCCGCGGAGCTGGGCATCGTCGGCGACATCTCCTTGGTCGTGGGCCAGCTGGTCGCCGCCCTGGCGAATTGGCGCTATGCTCCGGTTGCTAGTGCTGGTGGGGCCTCTGACAAGACCTTCCTGGACGTGCTGGATGCATCGATCAAGAAGAATACACAGACCGCGGCCCAGGCGGCCAACCGCCCGACCCCGAAGGATGCCCCGATGACGTACCAGCGGGCCTTCCACCTGATCAAGTCGACGCTGGACGAGCTGACTCACAAGGCAGGCAGCGACGTGGTGTATGTGTCCGAGGGCGCGAACACAATGGACATCTCGCGGTCCATCTTCAGCGTCGACCACCCGCGCCAGCGACTGGACGCAGGGACCTACGCGACGATGGGCGTGGGGATGGGGTATATCGCCGCGGCGCATGAAGCGTACAACGCGATGCCCGGTGCAGCATCAGGAGCTTGCTCCCCGTCGAAGCCAAAGAAAATCGTCGCCTTTGAAGGCGACAGCGCCTTCGGGTTCAGCGCCATGGAGATCGAGACCCTGGCGCGGTACCGCATCCCCGCGCTGATCTTCGTGGTCAACAACTCGGGCATCTACCACGGGGACACGACCTCGGCGGCCGAGTGGACGACGCTGCAGGTTCAGACGGCGCGGAATGATACCAAGGCGAGCGGGGAGGGGACGCGGGGCCTGCGGTCGACCAGTCTGCTGTATGAGACCCGGTATGAGATGTTGGCGACCATGTGCGGCGGCCGGGGGTTCTTTGTGCGGACGGAGGAGGAGCTGGTCGAGGCCACGCGACAGGGGTTCGCGAGCGAGCAGGTCACGGTGGTGAATGTCATTGTCGAGCCGGGGATCGGCAAGAAGATTGGGTTTGCGTGGCAGAATAATGGTGAGCGTGAGCGTGAGCCCCAGGCGAAACTTTAGGTTGCGCTTTTTGGAGTGGAGTACATATCGGTATAGTTTGTATAATATCTCGCATTAGCAGTATCTCATGATGTTACTACTTCATCATCACCCTAAGTCGAAATCTGAATCCCGCATACTAGCGGTCTTCTTCATATATGTAGTATGTAGGTTGATATACAGCTCAATTATACCCAAGTTCCCAGGCAGAGAATCTACCTCAAAAGCTCATCCAAAACCTTAGCTACAGCAACCGCCTTCTCCTCCCCGAACTTCCCCCCAACCACCTGCACCGTAACCGGCATATCCTTGACCAGATCGATATCGTCTGCCAGAAATGATGTTAGCCCATCTCAAACCCTAACCCGCCCTCCCCCAGAACCCCCAACCCTAGCCCCCCAAGGGAACCACAAGAAAAGAAAGCGGAAAAACCAACACTGTAGATAATTAAACCGATCCGACTCATTGCGGGGCACATGCTCGCGCCATGCCCGGTTGATCTCGCTGTCGCTGTTACTCTCTGGATGATCGACCCCCGCATCCGCACAGGTCACCGGCACCGTGACAGCGGCGTAATCCAGCAAATTCCACAGCGCCGTGTACCCGAGCCACTGGGCGCTGACGACCCAGGATTTGGGCCGGTAGCCGACCCAGGGCGTCACGGGCATCAGGAGGGCGTCGATGCCGCTGGTCGTCCAGTGCGATAGGTAGGTTTCTTGGTAGGTGTATTTTGTTTCTTCGAGCTTTTCGTCTCGTTACTACTTGTGTATGATGGGGGGGGGGGGGGGATTCGGGCAAGGGGGAAGGGTTGATAGGTGAGGTGATGGAACAGGAACAGAAACAGAAACAGCCCAGCCTACCTTCTCCCTCTCCTCGACCGACAACTCATCCTCCGCCGTCCCCACGACCATCCCCTCGATCAACGGCTCCCCAACAATGTCGCACAGGTACCGACAGTGCTGGCCGCCATCGGCCAGGATGGCTTTCGTCCAGAGGGCGGTGCCTTCTTTGTGGAGGGCGGTGGCGGGCCAGGGGATTACTTTTTCTCCCAGTAAGTATGATGACCGGGGTGGTGTGTACGGTACGGGCTTGATAGCTAGTTTTGAACTGAAAGGGAAAAGGAAAAAGGGCAAGACACACCCTCATGCCCGGCATCCACCAACTTCCGCTCGACCTCGCGCATCGCCCGCGCAATCGGCGGCTGCGGCTTGACGACCCCGTCGTCGTGGATGATGGCCACCCGCAGTTTCCGGTGGGCGGGGGGCTGGGCCAGCTCCGCGCGCCAGGGGATCGGGATGCAGCCCGGGTCGAGGGTCCAGGGCTCCGAGGCCAGCAGGGCGACCATGAAGTGCTCGATCGAGGCGAGGCTGCGCGCCATCGGGCCGGCGACGGGGGGCACCATGTAGTGTTGGTGCATGCTTTTTGCAGCATACTGTTAGTCTTTGTATGCCATGCCCCGACACTCATGCCCAGAAACAAGACTCCAAGCAGAGCAAAGAAGGGAGTTGAAACATACAACGAACAATCCCACGGAACCCTCCCCCTCGACGGACACACCGAATACAACCCCTGCAAGTTGGCCGGGATGCGAATCGAGCCCCCGATATCCGTCCCGATCCCCAGCACACTGCCCCGGGTGCCAATCAACGCCCCCTCGCCGCCGGAACTCCCGCCGGAGATGAGTCGGCTGTTGAAGGCGTTGATCGATTGTCCGAAGACGTGGTTGTAGGAGTCGGACATCTTCCAGGTTCCAGCAGAACCAGCCCTAAATCAGCCAACCATCTCCCAACATTCTCACAAACCGGGAGCGTGCCAGGAAAGGGACAGGACAGAACAGAACATACCATAAGCGACTGCGGCACATTCGTCTTGACATACAACACCGCCCCCATCGACTCCAGCAGCCGCGCAATCGAGCTAGATTTCTGGGCGGGTTTGTTTATCAGTCCTACCCAGCCTTCACCCAGACAAAGCCCCAGATATGGACAATCAGCCCACATTCATTCACCCCCACCCCATCGGGTGAGGAGAAAAGAAGAAAAAAACGAACCAACAGTCGTATCCACCCCCTCCAGATCAAACCGATCCTTGATCGAAACCGGCAACCCATGCAGCGGGCCCCGCGGCCTCCCGCCCGTGCGGGCGAATTCCGCGTCCAGCCACCGCGCGCGCGCCAGCGCCCGGTCGAAGAAGATCTCCGTCAGACATTTGGTCAGCTGCTGCGCCAGGGCGGCGCGCTTGCAGAAGGCCGTCGTCAGCTGCACGGAGGTGATTTCCCCGGACGCGAGGGCGCCGAGCAGCACGGTTGTGTCGGCGGTTTCGGTCCACGCGAGCTCTTGCGCGGTGAGGATGCCGCTCGTGCGGATGGTGGTTAGGGTATCTTGGTCTTGTTCTTGGTCTTGGTCTTGTTTGGGGGGTGTCGGGGTGGCCGGGGGGTGGGGAAGACGCCAGGCCTCGGGGATGGCGGCGAGTTGGGCCTGGCGTTTGGCGTAGACGGTGGGTTTCCAGGTGGGGATAGTGGGGATTGTTGGGGGTGAAAGGAGGGTGGTTTGGGTCATTGTCGCTTTTGCTGTTGCTTGGTGGGGTTTGTTGGTGGTTGGGTGGTCTGGGTTGTGAAATGAAGTGAAGTTGTATAGTTGGGGGTGGTGGAGGAGTTTATGGTTATTGTTGCGGATCGAGGGGAAATCAATGGAACGGGAGCGGGGTTCATGCGGAGAAGTTTATAAGGTAGTTAGTTACCTGCCAGTGGAATGCTATACACAACTATGTGAATACTCCGCACTCGTGAAAGATAGGAGATAATGATGAATCAATCAGATTGGGTACAGCCACCCTCCCCACTCCTGGCAGCATCATCACTATCTACTCCGGAGTATGTCAGAATGTATCCTCAACCACTGTAGCACGCCAATCATTCAATAGATTCAGCTATCTATCATCTGCAGATTGCCGAGTTCCGGATACCATAACCGCCGAGATAAGATAGTAGGCCATGCTTGGTATCTTCTATCGTACATCTCCTAGTTGGCCCCAACCCTCACTCAAACAGTCATCAGCATGCTGGCGTTCTTGTACCATGTCAGCATCGGATTCTCCCCGTTCCGCGTCTCCGTGTCTGCAATGTACGCCCAGCGCTGCATGAAGTCTTCGTGGCTCACCACCTGCGTCAACTTGCCGGTGATCGCCCGGTACATGTCCTCAATCACATTGAAGTCGGTCGGGAAGAAGATATCGAAGTATCCTTGTTGGACCTGCGTGCCAGTCAGAAAACGTTCCTCAAAACTTCAGACTAAATCTCAAGACCAGACTTACATAAGGGGTCGTCACAGGAATGGTGCGCCGCTCGAACCGAGTCTGCACCACAGGTCCATTCAGCCCGCGCACGGCGTCCGGCAGCGAGCTGAAGTCACTCGCCACCAGCCGGTGGCCCGGGAAATAGTTGTTGAGGATGTCGAAGAACTGCATGAGCCGTGTGGGGATGTACTCCGGCTGCGAGAACTGGCCCGCGGCCGGCAGGTACGGCCGCAGCGCCCGCATGTACTTTGGCCCCAGGGGCGACGGGAACGGGCGCCGGGCAGCCGCCTGCCGCACGCGCAGGAACCGCGCGGCCACCGGGTCCAGGTAGTCGCGGTACCATTCGTGGAACTCGCCGTCCGCGTCGATCAGGACCCCGCCCTGCTGCGGCTGTTCCGTCTTGAGGTCGTAGCGGATGATGTCGTGGGAGAAGTTGTCGAACACCTCCAGTGCCAAGAAGAAGCACGGCGAGTGCACGTAAGTGTTCCAGTCGAAGATCGACCGGTTGATGATCTCGAGGCGGTCCCGGTGGCCGGCCGACTCGGCCGACGCGATCAGGTTCTTCAGCTGCAGACTCGCCAGCGCCGGCGAGATCTCGATGATCTTGTACTTCGTCCGCTGGTAGACCTCGTAGTCCACCTCGCGGATGTAGTCCAGCACGTTCCGCATCATCGTGCCGTTTCCGGCGCCCATCTCGTAGATGATCAGATCGTGGTACGGGTACAGCGTCAGTTTATAGTTCGACACCAGGTACCGAGCAATCGTCTCGCCGTAGTAGGGTTGGAAGAGCTCCGTCGGGGTGTGCCACAGTTGGCGGGCGACGTCGGGCTCGGCTGCGTCTAACCGGTCCTCGAACTCCGTATAACGATTCCGTAGCATGGTGTGAAACGCGGGCCCATCGGCGATGTCGTTGAAGATGAAGGGCTCCCCGGGGCTAAAGATGGTGGCATGTTGGGCGAAGTAGCCGTATTGAAAATTGTACAAACTGTCTGTGAGAGAGAGAGCACCCGAGTATGTTAGCGGTTGTCCAGTTGCAGCAGCCAGCCATCACAACGACGATTTTCCTTACCATCGATGAACTCCCGTCCCCACATCTTCACCTGCCGCGGCCGCTCGCGGTGATGACGGAGTTCTTTGGCCGTGACCATCGGGTATTTCTGCAACTCCTCCGAGATGTCTCTGGTGATAAAGCGACGCTCGTTCCAGATCGTGCCATCGTTGGAGGCTTTCTTGTTGGCGGGGAGTTTCCGGAGGAAGGGTCGACATTGTTGACGGTGGTGCGGACGGGATGGGGACAGGCGTACGCAACCCGGTCGGCGCGCGGAGAGGGAAGGAGTAGATTTGAAAGATTGACAGGCGGGATGTCGAAATAACTGCCGAAGCAGTTGATTGAGGACTGGAGAGTCCATGGGAAGGAGGTAGATGATCGCTCGTGGGGCGGGGGGCGGTAGCACAGTGCACTCCGTCGAAAAAGAGGAGCAAGAGAGAAAGCTCGGGGAGAGCACGAGACGAGATGGAGGAGAGACGGAGACGGAGAGACGGAGAGACGGAGAGGCGGAGAGGCGGCGGTCGCGCAACGGTGGGTCCAAGCTTTTCTTCCGCCCGCCATCAAATGCAATAAAGTTAACTCGCCCTCGTCCATCACCATCACCATTTCTTGGCTGGACTGGATCCCTCTCTTCTTCGCAATCATGGATGATCATTCTCATCTATACATTGGAACTGCCTTCGTCGCAGGTGTTCTTCTTACCATTGGATTCAAGGATCTGGTGTACCCCGACTTAGAACAGCGCATCCATGAATATCTAGCCCGTCGTCAATCCCAGCCCGCGACAGACTCCGAGGACCTCCTCTTAACCGAGGACCTCTCCACCGAGACTCTCGCCGCAAGACCAGGTCCACCGGCCATCGTCGAGGGCATTGAAGGTTGCATCGGGAATACTCCCCTCTTTCGTATCAAATCCTTATCCGATGCGACGGGCTGCGAGATATTAGGCAAGGCCGAAGTACGTCATTTGCCTATCTACCTCAGATCTACGTCTTGGGGACAGAAAAAATGACTCAAGAAGTTGCTGACTTGTTATCTAGTTTCTGAATGGAGCTGGGCAGAGCTCTAAAGACCGGGTCGCGCTGAGCATGATCCAAATTGTATGGCAGGTCCTTTCCATGACATACCGGGATAAATGTCTCACACTCCATACAGGCTGAAGAGCACGGATTCCTAAGACCTCATTCCGGGGACACCATCTACGAAGGCACTTCTGGTTCCACGGGAATCTCCCTAGCCTCTTTGGCACGAGCCAAGGGTTACCTGGCCCATATGTTCGTATCAAGTCGATAGCCACCGCATAGTCATATACTGACACAGCCATAGCTGCATGCCATCCGACCAGGCTATTGAGAAGTCGAATCTGTTGTTGAAGCTGGGGGCGATAGTGGACCGCGTACCACCGGCCCCCATTGTCGAAAAAGATAATTTCGTCAATCGCGCACGCTCGCTTGCCCAAGAACAAACTGCATCCTCCACCGCTAGCGGAAGAGGATTCTTTGCCGACCAATTCGAGAATGAAGCCAATTGGCGAGCCCACTTCAACGGCACAGGGCCCGAGATTTATGCTCAGTGTAACGGAAAATTGGACGCCTTTATTGCTGGAGCGGGCACAGGTGGCACCATCTCCGGTGTGGCACTTTTCCTGAAGCCGCGCATCCCCAATCTCAGTGTGGTCCTAGCCGATCCACAAGGCAGTGGGCTGTACAACAGAGTCCGTTACGGGGTCATGTTCGACCTCAAAGAAAGAGAAGGCACCAGGCGACGTAGACAGGTGGACACCATTGTCGAGGGCATCGGGATCAACCGAGTGACAGCTAACTTCGAAGCGGGCAAGGAGCTGGTCAACGACGCTGTTCGGGTGACCGATGCACAGGCCTTGGCAATGGCTAGATGGCTTGTAGAGAAGGACGGTTTGTTCGTGGGTAGTAGCAGTGCCGTAAACTGTAAGTCTTTCCCAATGATCTTATGTTCACCGGATTGTGGCTAAACCACCCTACTACAGGCTTCGCTGCCGTCAAGACAGCAATGAAGCTTGGCCCCGGCCACAGAATTGTGACGGTTCTGTCCGACTCAGGGTCACGCCATCTCTCACGGTTCTGGGCGAAGGCAGGAGACGTCGGGGGCGCGGTTGATACCAAGCTTGAAGATGTGTTAAATGCCACGGATGCCACGGATGAGGAGTAAGCGCGTGATACGTCAAGCCCACAATTGATCCACGAAAATTAGCCGGGGTCCACAATGAAGGACAAAGACACGGCAAGAGCATTGAGAAGGTTGATCCCTGGAGAGGCGGCGAAGGCCAAATAGCTACTTCCACTTATGGTTACTGCAGCTAGTTTCTGACAGGGGGTAGAATTTGTTCAGCTGCCGCCCAATCCGACAGTCTGAGATCTACTCGGTTTCATCCGGTTGTGCTATGATAGCAGAACGCCATCGCTCGCTTCATCCGACCTAGTGGGTCACGACACGAATCTCGGGATCTGGAAACTTGACGTGCCGGGTCCGATCGGCCCCGCTGACGGACTGCATGTCAGAATCGGGGTCCTGACTCAGTTGTGGTTCATCTGCTTTTCGATTCGTCGGGACCGATCAAGCCTGCCGTCCAGTCATTATGGTTGCTGAAGAGCATCACAGTGTATCGGTGCCAGCCCAGAGCTGCAACAACTCGAATTCGATCTCGGCATGGGGTCGGCCAGGTAGCCCTTCGCGGATCGTGGTCCAGCTGAGGCCCTGTTGCTCTTTGAATATGCCCAGAACGGCCCGCTCGGCCTCCGACCAAGGCTTGGACAATGACGGTGGATTGGCCCGGCGATCACTCCAGTGATTGCGATTCCATTGGATAAGCGAGGTCAGTTTGGTGTGCGGAAGGCAGTCGAGGATCTCGTTCCATTTCTTCCCCTGTACTTGTCTCATTGTGATGATCAGTCTCGCTTCATCGGGCTGGATGACATTTCGAGCACGTTTCTTAGTAGGAGTAGAGTTAGCATCCACTAGTTCGTGTGCGCGCGAACCTGTTAGAATGTTTGGTGTGATAGATGTGGTAGTCTTGGACTTCGACTTCGGAGTGAGCTCTTTGACCAGGGTATCGAGTCGGCGGGTCACCTCTGCCCGATCGTGTTGGCCGTCGAAGGGTCTGGAGGCAATCTCCCTGAAATGGGTAATGTAGCCGTGGCGCACGAAAACCTGCTTGCAATCCGAGCATTGATAGTTCAATTGACGCGGCGTATGATGTTCTTTCACGGGTGTCTTTCCGCGGACATGGATGCTCCGCTTAGGAGTCGGCGACGGTTCGTAGTCTTCCTGCAACGGGTCGTCGGACTCGTCTCCTTCGGGGGTTTCTGCGAAGGACCAGTCGCAGACCACGGGGCTCGACTGGGTGACTTTCCGCTGCGGTTTGATTTTCGTCGGTGCCCCTGCCTGGCTCTTCCGTGGAGCCCGTCGCGACTTCTCAGGCAATGACCATAGGGAGCCAGCTCCCGGTGGAGACTGCGAGCGAACGCGATACACAGTGGACGCCGCCGGACGTGACCTGTTCCATGTCGGCGTGGAGAAGCTCGCGTTGATTTCAGGCACCCGCCATAGCTCCTCCACCGCCTCACTGCGCCTGTTGCCGTGTGATTGGGCGGTTGCTTCAGCCGCAGGTTTTGCTTTTTCGCTCACGAGTTTGGTGGTGGTGGTGGTGGATTGATCCAGGATGCTCTCGATGCGTAGCGTGTTATCCAGCAAGGAGTCCACACTAGCCCCATCGTCGTCGTCGTCATCATGACTAGGTAGATTCGAGTCACGTTTGCCGGCATCTTCATTCCCATCCGCCGGGTGGTGCTGAATCCGCAACCCAGCCTGCGGTTCCTGGATCAACGGCAGCACGGGAGATACAGGCCGTGAGCGATCATCATTCGGAGCCTCATAATTACCCAATCCCGCGGCCTCCTCCTCACCCGACAAATGACCACGAGTTTTAGGTAGGATTCCTTCCTCCGACGCGACAGACCGCTCCTGCTCGAGTCGCCGCCAATCTGGTTTTGTCGTTGTGGAACGGGGGTCATCATTTTCGGCTTCTTCCTCCTCCTCCGCCTCTAGTTCTTGGATATGCCCATTATTCACAATGATTTTGCCCGTCTGTAGATCAATCTCATCGCCCACGTCCGTAAAGTCCCGGCCGTATTTCTCGAAAATGCCCTCGAAGATGGACTTCAGGCGTTGGTCGTTCTGCGCCCGTGCTTCGTGGAGGTCGATTTCTCCCCCGCTGTCTTCCTCGGGTTCAACTGGTAATGCGACTCGGGCGCGCTTGGTGGGTCTCTCCATTTTTTGGTAGAGAGGTTGCAAGCTGGTATCAGCTATCAGAGGTTTGGAGAGTATGAGAAGAAGTGTTGAGTGTTGAATCTGCGGAGCAGGGACGCTGAATGTAGGATTTTTGGTTTGTGCAGTCGCGACTTCGAAGTAACACCGCTCAATCTTATGAACTGTTAGCTTGTGTTTCTCTGGTTGTAGTAAGAAAGGGAAGGTGCACAGTTTAAGATAAGGAAAGAGTCGACGAAAGGAGGAGGGGGAGTATGGCCTACATAGACGGTCAATTCTTCAAGTGAGAGTATGCGCTTTCATTCAACGACAGGGAGGTTGCAAATCGGTGGCACAAGGCAGAGGACTAATTGTTGGTCAAAGATGGTAGATAATCGAAATCATCGGTCGCCAGCCTGGGTTCTGGTGTGGTTTACCTTGAGGTGAAGCACGACCAATGCCAGCTCTTTTCTGAAGGGCCCCCGCGGACGACGCCAAAAACACGCGGCTCGCGCACCCGCAATTCACCACCACCTCCACCACCGCCGGGTGCCGCATGACGTCTCGTCTGCCCCTGCCGAACCGACGGTTACACACGACTTAACAGTCAGTCAGTTCACTTACTCTTATAACAACACCCTTGATGTCCCTCTTCCCTTCACCTCCTCTTCTCCACGCTGAGCTAATACCCTCAACTTATCCAGACGAGGATGAATGAGAAGTTGTGGTCAACATCTTCGCAACCATGTATTGCCAGAACTGCCGCACGCCTCTCAAACTGGACGGCTCTCTCGAGTCGCTCAATCCCGCTGCCTTTGACCTGCTAGTCGGTAAGTGCAGTGATCACATTCCTCCACCATGTGTATCTCTCCAGCACTTAACTGAACATGCACGCCTTCTGTAGGCTCTACGGGTAAATCCGTCCCAGAACATGGCGCCCACTCTTCATCCAAGCCGAGCTACCCGCAAGAACGACGGGAGCTCTACGACCGGGTGTCCAAGCAATCCACGGCCCCCGTGTACAACCGAAGATCCATCCCCCCTCCGCGGCAGGCGGCTCGCAATCAACCCCATCCTGCGAGACTCGGTCGCGGCGATAGCGGGAACATGTCGTTCGTGATGCTCACCGAGTCGCAAGTCGGACCGCCTCACGGGATGATCCCCGGGACGAATGGGAACGGCGACGGCTCGTCACACGGCATCAGGCCCGGCGGCAACCCTGCAAACCATGACCATAGTCGAGGAGACATCGACGACGGGTCGTTTGCAGACCAGGTCGAACGAACCGCCCGGCTGTTTGACATCATCTCCGCCCGTTCGGACATTGATCACCCTATCTGTCTGGAATGTACCGATCTCCTAGTGGAGGGGATGGAGAAACGGCTGGCAGACGCGAAGAAAGAGCGAGATGCATATAGCTCTTTTCTGCGCGATCTCAAGTCCTCGGTCCCGACGACGGAGGAGCTGGACGCCGCGCAGCAGTCTCTACAGGAGACGCTGGCTGCGGAGGAGGCTGCCTTTGCGGAGCTTGTGGCCCTCGAGAAGGAAAAGGCCGCCTTAGATGAGGAGATCGCCGGGCTGGAGGATGAATCCCGTCAGCTGGATCTTGAGGAAGAGAAGTTCTGGCGGGATCGCAATGCCTTCGCCCTCACGCTTTCCGAGTTCCAGAACGAACGCGATGCGCTGAACATGAAGTATGACCATGATTCCCGGCAGCTGGAGAGGCTACAGAGGACGAATGTCTACAATGATGCTTTCTGCATCGGGCACGATGGCTACTTCGGCACAATCAACGGGTTGCGACTCGGTCGCTTGGCTAACCCGTCGGTCGACTGGCCAGAGATCAACGCTGCTTGGGGACAGACGGCTCTGCTGCTGGCGACCATTGCTAGCAAGCTGGGGTTTCAATTCCAGGGGTATCAAATCAAGCCGATGGGCTCGATGTCTCGGATTGACCGACTCGAACCGTCCCGAACATCTCCGGCTCAATCCGTGATCGGTGGAGGCAACCCAGGGGCATCGATGGCGCATAAGGTCACCACGCTGGACCTGTTCTCGTCGGGCGAGCTGCCGCTGAACCTGCCGTGGCTTCACCGCCGGTTTGACGCCGGAATGGTGGCTTTTCTGGAATGTCTACGTCAACTGGGCGAGTTTGTGGAGAAGACTCCGGTGCCGGCGGCCTCGAATCGGCGAGGTCACACGGCCACCGCGGTGACCGGTCTGAAGCTGCCATATGAGATCAAAAAGGACCGGATTGGCGATGCGAGCATCAAGCTTGGGTTCAACCAGAACGATGAGACTTGGACGCGTGCTTGCAAGTATACCCTCACCTGTTGCAAGTTCTTACTGGCCCATGCCAGTAATATCGCCAGTGCAGGCTCCAGTAACTCGGCTGCCGTGGCCGCTGCGGCCGTTGCAGCTGGAGAGCAGGCCGCCAGTTCTCCTACCAAATGAGACCATGTGGCTAAGTGGACCAACGCCGCGGCCGGAAGCGAGGGCAGCCCTCGAAGCACTTTGTGACTAGCAGTAGTCTAAATCCATCCATCCGAGCCAACGCTGTCTCTGGTGCTAGCTACAGACGTTCAGCGAAGTGGTATTTGTCAATTCCTGGCCAGCTCGCATTAACTGCCACGAAGTCGCCCTGCCTGGCGAGTCATTGTCTAGCCATTGTCCCCTGCTGACTGGCAATGGCAACAGGGTCTTCGGTGCTGCGTTTAGGCTCAATCTTATTCTGCCTTGCGTTGTACTCCAGTAGCACCACCGTGAGCGAGCGTTGCACCCATTACGAATTGGCAAGTGATCAGCACCACCGCGCAGTAGTCAGGCTCCATCGACCGTTTACTATTCTAAAGTCTATGTCTCTGGCCAACGGCCAGATCGCGCGGGATGTCCTCCTCGATAGGTAAAAGAAAAGCGCTCGACGCAAGCTCCGGTGAGAGAAGGAGAAAAGGAATTTCCCAGCAGAAAGGAGGATCAACAAAAAAGCCGGTTTGGATCGAAGAGAGGGTTTGTCCGTAACAGGGATACGCAGTGGGCCGCTGCATGGCTGATAACTTTTTCTCTGAATGTTATTCTTGGGACTGGCTGCTGGCTGCTGGCTGCCTTGGTCGAGCAATGTGAGGAAGGACGGGAGATCGTCCTCTAGTCTGCTTGCCTGCCTGACACATTTGATCTGTAGCGACTCGCGAGACAAGAGTTTCTTTGTCTGGATAGTAATAGTCTCTCTGCCTCAGTTCCTCACTCTTCTCCTCTCCCTGGGTTTCACAGGAAGGACAGCACTCGATCCAGCCCTGGGCACTGTACCCGGTGATTATTTCTTTTGCAGACTTGGACCTGTAACCCTCCAATCAGAGCTCGCTTTGAAGACAGATGGAGTATACTCAGGTAGCCCTGTCCCATTTTCTTTTCTTTTTTTTTTAGTGCATAGCAGGACGAGAACAAAGAAACCCGAAAACAAAGACAAGCACTGGACTATAAGATAACAAAGCCACAATTAGACTCTCGGATGAGATGGGATATTACACTCCGCGATCGACTAGTGGATCAGTACGTAGAGCGATCATCCAACTCCTAATCAAGAATTCCAACAGTCGGGCATTCGGACATCTCTGTAAAAGTAGTGATTGAGAAAGGGAATGAACGTTTCGGGCCGCGTCAGAGAAGGGGGGAGCACGAGGGCGAGTCTGTTGCGGTTCCTTCCACTGAGGGTTGGTAAGTGTGTTTCTGATAACTACTGTACTTAGTTAGCCCTGAGTACTTACTAAGTTATCCCCAGTAAGTTACTGGTCTGATCGGCCCTGGAATCCGATCTGGAGATCTGCTAGTGACCGCCCGAATCAGGTCACCTTCCCCCTTGGGGGTGTTTGTTTGATTCCCGAGTCCGAGGTCAGTCGCCTTTTGATCTCTTTGTTCCATTGTTAGAAATAGACTCGGTTCTTGTTTCTCGTTCTCGGAATCCAGTACCTAATTCCACTAGAGAGGGCAGATAAGGTAGAGTATAGTATGTCCGGAAAAGTTACTGGTCATCCGGCCTGCCCGCTACAATAACATACCGCCCTGCACCGGTGCACCCACTCAATACACAATCAGTCTAGACTGCACTGCACTGCACTGCGCGAAGGGATCTAGACTACTAAACTTACTAGTTACCGTAGACTACCAGTTTCAAGTTTGAACTAAATCTCATCCACCCAAATACAACAAGGTATATAGTACAGTTACAGCACCGTGGATACGTAGGGAGTAAAAGCCCACCCGTCAAACCCCCTATACACACGCCGTGCACAAAACAACACCTGGGATCTCATCCCATTCCAGTCTTTACCCCGGTAGAGTATATCCCCAGACCTGCTCATAGATGGGTGGAGGAACCATCGGAGGGCCCGATATGCAACTCCACCTACTGACTTTACTGACTTACATACATACTCAATGTACTGAATCAAGGTAAAACATACTGACATACTATGTAGCCCGGCAGCATCGGCACACTCCGTACACTGCTCTGTACCTAGATCTTGATGTCGACACACTCTGGCCTCTGTGACTCCGCCGGTTGCCTTTTCCTGGCTGCAGTATTTTATGTTGGCTTCCGGCGGGGAGAGGGTGCGTGAGAAGCCCTTGCTTGGGATTGTGCTTTTGTGTGGTGTGGTGTGGTGTGGTGGGTTGGGTTTTGAATGTTTGTGTACTGTACTGTACTGGTGCTCCTAAACGCTACTTGGCATTTGGTTGGTCGTTTGGGTACGATGGTTGTGAGGTATCGGTGGTGGTGCTATGGGTGAGTGGAGTATGATGTATGTGTTGATGGTATAATGGGACATGGGGGGGGGGGGGCCCTTTTTGCTTGCACTTTGGGGTTGTGCTTATGCGGTTGGTTAGTGTTGCTTCTTAGGACTGTACTTGGGTATTCAGGAGTTAAGGTCTTTAGTTAGTTGGAGATGACAGACGTGACGGCTGTTAGTATATGGTTAGTTTCAGTAACAGGTAGATTGGCCCGTGATGAGATCTGAAATTGTGCTTGGATCAGTGCGGAGAACCGATTTAGTACTTGGTGACAGGCGCACGGCGTCGGCGCGTGGAGTACTCCACGAAGCGAACGAGGTACGGTACCCCGGGCCTACTGTGGTGGTGGTTAATATGAGCAGGGCAATTAAAGTCGAGATCTGGAGTTGGACATCTCACGCGAGGAACAAATCTACTTGTAACAGTCGTGGATGGGAAATGGGCGGGAGGGAGGGATTTAATCTACTGCACTCCGTACAATGTGAGGAGGGAAGCCGGACGAGCCAATCAATTGCATGGCCCTGGATGTCTACATGCAGCCCTCGGGAGTACACTCAGCCTGCCCTTAGTGTCAGTCTTGAGCGCTGTCAAGATTTACTCGACGCGGTAGTTCTTTAGTCTCTCCCTCTTCTCTTTTTCTCTTGCTATATCGCCGTCAGCAGCAGCAGCAGCAGCTAACAATCAATGCAAGGCAGAGACACGCTGTGGCTGACGCATAGTTCTTCGTCATCAGGAACCTGCGCGTTTTCTCACCTTGTCGGTGGTGACCACCTTACCTCATACAGATACAGGGGATGCATTCTCTGACTTTACCGAACGTCCGGCGTTGACTCTGGACATGGACACCTGTGTAGCCGATACAGGAGACAACCGACCGAAGCATGTGAGCTGAGTTGCCTGCGGCCGAGCGACAGACTAGACACCCAGTGGATAGCCTCTTGGTCGCTTCTACGGCATTCTTCCGCGTAGGACCTCACGCTACCCTCCTCCGCCCACCCCCGGTTCCATTCTATCTCATCTACCGTCAACCGTGGCCAGCTACTGGCCAGCCACTGATACTTCGGCCGGTAGGTCAATTCGTGAATGCGCGCGAATTTAACTCCCCTTCCTGGGAGTTGACGAAGCCCCGTCGGCCGCAACTGCCTTCTAAGAATTGAGTTCTGAAGGCGAGCACAGGTAGTATAACTGTACGAGAGCCCTGAGTGTGTGGCACATGGCCGCCCATCGGCCGAATTCCTGGAATACTTCTGACTGGTCAGTGAGAAGAGACAGAGAGAGAGAAAAAGAGGCAGCTCGCATCCGCCATCAAGAAAGGCCCCCTGAGGGTTGGAAGGAGAATGTAAAACGGAAGCAAAGGCCAGGGGAAACAATAGCTAACTTCTCGCAGACCGAGACCCATGCTTTCGGGGGTGGAATGGCCTGACCCTATGACCTTTCCTGCAATGCGGTATCGGAAGATTGATGACAGGATAGCCGTTAATATTCTTCCTGATTTGTACCGGTACTAGACATTAGGGTAGGCGCAGAGTGAGTGAGAATTGGCGATGGGCTGTCATTGTTCTCCGGAGAAGGCATCCCCACACCCATCCTCTTTTGTTAGCCTGTGCTTTGGTCGGAGACCCTCCATGCGCCTGGCTGATGTCATCAGTTACCAAGTACCAAAAGTCCCAACTCTCAATTTGTTGTTTGTAAATCTTGCAGCCAAGCAGGCTTTCATCCATAGTCTAGTGGCGAGGTTAATCACCAAAGTTGGCTAGAGTTGAGAGGGAGGGGGCGAAGAAAGACGAAGGACAATGATGGGTGAAGAAGAACTTACTTTCTGCTGAGTACGTAGTAAGGTACGGTTAGTGAAGATCAAGAACGAGGATTGCCCACTGCACCCCCCCTCCCCCTCCACCACCCCCCCTGGAGGAGGGAAAGAGTAACTTAGAGGATAATGGATCATGGGTGGATGGATGAATGGGTGAATGCCAAATGGATGATGGATTGGTGCTCAGGCCCATTCGTTAAGCTGAACAGGAATGGCCCACTCGTCCATTCATCCACTAACTTACTGAGTACATACGTACTGTCTTGTATTTTTGCATCCCCGTCAAGTCTTTTGGTTCAATCAACGGGCGGACCTCCGATCCGAGCCGCCAACATGACGGGCCGAACGTTCCCTGGTCTGTTCCAGTTCTCGAATAATTTATTTAGTAGCGGTTACAGTACATCAAGTTACTAATTATGGTTGGGATGACTGGGGGGGGAGGGGGGGGGGAGTGGATGATGACGACAAAGAAAATGACTTACCAGCAGTTTTTATTGAATAATACTCACTTATCAGTCTCTGCCGGATCTGGATATAGCGTCCAAGCCACAGCGACGATGAACCTGAAGGTTTTGCTCTTCAAAGCTCAGGCCTCATTCTAGCTCCCCATCGGGGCATGATCCCACTTTGCCACACCGGTCAGCGGCTTCACTCGAATCATGCCTGACAGCCTCCCATGATTTGTGTAGCTCGCGTTTGGCAGTGATGGTTCATCTATCGAGAATGATAGAACCATGAAGATCCGAACATGCTTGTGGTTGAAAGTAGGGATGAGTATTCATAGAAACCGACAGTGGGTGCAGTGCTGGGTCGTCGCAGCGTGTGTCCAGGCCCTTTTTGCCCGATTGGGCCCTAGAGCGTTTCGAGAGCGCAGGTTGGATTCTGGCGCCAACCCGACCAGGATGAGGCTAAGGAGTAGTTAAGTACTGGCCGATCCAGTCGTGAGCGTAGTCAGATCCCTGCCATGCATAAAAAGCACTGTGCTTTGGTTCTTTTGGATTTGGGATTTGGGATTTTCATCCAAGGGAAAGGAATCTGCGGAAGAAGCACGCGCGACGAGCAACAGCAACAGTCAGGTAACTATAGCAGCGGAATTATGATCCCCAGTAGATGCACCTGCAGAATTGGCGCAGGACTGTCTGTCTGGAAGGGATCACCATCATCTGGGTCTATTCTTATCTGTCACTTTGGAGAGGGTTCATGTTCCGCATTGCCTCAGAAAAAGAGGGGCGTGAGAATAGTTGTTTGAATTGTTTGATACCCAGCTTGAAGGTTCTCATGGTGGTCTGAACCTTTTTTTTTCCCTTTTCTCTTGTTCTTCCTTCCTTCTCTTCCCACCACTAAGGGTACCTATTTGCCCATTGCTCAGACATCGGCAGAGTGGACGAAAATGGTAAGAGGTCTGCCGTCTGTCAGTTGCTCGACACACTGAAACGGTAGGCGGGATATAAGTCACGGTTAGTACTAGGTACCTACCCAGTAGGTTAGGAGGTAAGTACTGGCTGTACCGTGGACATACATACGTACGTATGTTTTCAAAGGATAAAGGGGGGGCGGCGCCGCAGACAGACGGGAACGTGACAAAAGTACACGGACCATGTCCAAAGGGTCCGTGATTGGGGCGCGGCAGCAGGGATCACAACATCCGCGGGCTTTTCCAGCAGCAGCACCAGCAGCACGTCGCCGCATCAGGCAAGCGGATGTCTTTACTGCCTCGCCAGTCAGCAGTCGTACTTTTTATCTAGCGCGGGTAATAGTGGCCCGGGGTGGATCTTACCCCGGCGGCGAACCACTCCCCGGTTGCCCTGTGCCTCTTTGCTTTCCATCCATCAGTCAGTTAGTTATTGGATGCACTTTTCACATCTCCCCTCTCCCCTCTCCCCTCCACTTGATACGACCTAGTACTGAGCTGAGTTCTCGAGATACTCCAGTATTCAATGAGATATCGACTGACATACCTTGTCCAATGACAATCATCTACAAGAACATTGTACAGTCCAGTACCTACTAGGTACCTAGTAGCCTTCTCAAATCACCTGGGACCTAATAGGGTCTAACTCACAGGCTTCAGCCGTTGTATTCCCACCGTGAAATGGATGAAGGAGGGAAGGATAGTTGCCGGTCTTTGTTTGTTGGCAGCGTTTGAGTGGAAGATAGACAATCATAGTTCTAGCTCAATGTCTGTAGCTCAAGTGAGAAGTCTGGATGCTCATTATTACGAACTTCCTTCCAGACAGTTCGTAGTTGGTGGAAGCAGGGCGGTACCTACAGTATTGTAGGTACAGTACCTAGTAGTCATGCACTCAGTCCATACAGTCCAGTCCAGTCCAGTCCAGTCCATAGTAGGTAGTTCAGTTACAGTTCATACCTACCTAGAACTTTCCTTCCTTCCTTCCTTCCAGACTTGACCCGACCTGACCTGACAATTGCAGTGACTGGGGTCATAATTTCTTTTTGGTTTTCTATTTTTCCCATCGCTTTTCTGGGTTTTTCTTTTTTTTTTTTCTCTTTTTCTTTTCTTTCTTTTTGTTTCCTCTTTTCGCTTTTCTCTTTTCCTGTTTCTTTTTTCGGTGTTGGTTCCGTTTTCTCGAATTGCAGCATGTTCAGAAAGCAGTAGCAGCCGGAATAATCAATAATCTCGTGGATTATATGCTGAGGTAGTGACAGCTACTATCACCACGACTATTTCCGATTTCTATCCACTCTGGGGGTTTCCTCCAAGCCAATCTCGCTGGTGACTGGGGCAAAGCTTCATCGCCTTGACTGTTCGACACCGTGACACCTTCAACTCTTCTTTCTTCTTCCCCTCCTTCCCCCTCTTGCTTCCCTCTTGATCGCCTCCAAAACTACTATATCATTGTATCTTCCGTCCATTTTCCCGGCCGCAACTGACTCGATAACGCTTTCTGTCATTGCATCGGACCACATCTACAGAATCGCTCTTAGTATCTACTTCCTTCTGCTGCCACGACTGAAAAGATCCTCTTTCGGCTCGCATTTCCGCGCTACCGCTCCTGAACGCCTCTACTTCTTCTCCCTTACCACCATCACCACCATTATCCACTCCTCCGTCCCCCCCCCCCAGTATTTGGTCCCAGAGTCCACAGTCCGCAACAGCCCCGTTCTTTCAGGACAACTAACTGTGGTGGAGGCGCAACTTTCAGTCCATCAATTCGAAAAGGGTCCAGACTGGATCCAGAGCATGTAAGGCGGAGAAATTACCCAGTCACCAATTCAGGATGAATGGCTCCCTGCCTCCCGTTTCTTCCATTCCCTCGACTACCTCCACCATCAACAACAACTCCACCACCACCACCACCACCACAACAACAGCAACAGCAACAACCTCTTCTACTTCCACGACCGCCAACAACACCACCACCACGACAACACCCACCCCTACCATCTCTTCTTCGTCTTCCTATAAAAACAAGTTTAAACCTCGAAAATCCGAGGATTGGACTTCTTATCGGGAGATCATTCAAAGTCTTTACCGCGATGATCATTTGAAGCTTCGTGATGTGAGGCAATATATGCTCGAAAATTATAGCTTTGAAGCATCGTATAGCCTTCCGTTTCCTTTTCTCAGTCTTCTCCCCTGACACTTCTCTGCCTGTCATGCTTCCACTTGCTGTCTTGACTCTCCCCGACCCTGCCAGTGCAAGAGCCCCCCCTTTCTGCATCTGTAACAAAGATCGAGAGAAAGGATGGTACAGTGCGCGCTGATCGTCTTCGCTTTTTGCTTTTTCTCCCCAAGCCTCCACCCATGAGTACCACTCATTTGACAACCATCCCCTGACTTGGAAGCTTATAGAGAAAAACAATACAAAGACCGCCTGGCTGCGTGGAATGTTCGCAAAAACATCAAGGCCAAAGAAGTCCATATCATGCTCCGCAAGCAACAAAGGCGAGCTGCAGAGGGCAAGCGGACGGCGTTTCGAGTGGCTGGCAAGACGGTCGACACGAAGCGCATCTCCCGCTTTGTCCGTAGATATGGCACCCACTGGGAATTGGATGATGCTCGTGAGAGCGTCCATCCACATACCATCCACCCGAGCGTGGAGAATCAACCAGCGATTCCGCAAACGCAGCAAGAGTTACACCAAAATCTTCCCACCAGCCCTGAGCCAGGTAAGCTTTTCGGTCCCGAGTGACTTGTTGTGTATGCATCGCTCATGCTGCGTCACAGAGACCCCTACAGACATCGAATACTACACACCGGAGCCCGATGAGAGAGCTATGACCCTGTCGCCCTCGACCGAAACGCCATCTCGTTTTCGTGAGGAAGCCCCGCCCCGCCCTTGTATCATTTGTCCTACAGTGCTCCTGCCATGCCGTTTGCATGTCTCAACGAGCATCGCGCTTCTAGGTAGGAGAGCTAGACTAATCAAGTAAATGCAGACGATGAAAAGCTCAAGCTCGAGCCACTCCCCGAGCCGGAAGTGGACCATGCCCAACCTCTACCGGTTTCACCTACTCCCTCCGCGCCACCCAAGCCGCTATCCAACGCCCTCCCTGACGAAGACTACTGGAAAGCGCTCGATGTGTTTCAAGGCCAACTCTTGACTCTGTCCAGGACGCTTGACCAGACCATGTCTCAATTCACTTCTCCGCATGACGATCTATCACAGTAATATCCCTTCTTCGAATCGCCGATACCCCTCTGGCCGATGACCTGCCGCTTCCACCAGTCACACCTTCGATGGTATGATATGTATGTTTGGAAACTGTCCGGCCCTTGATGCACGTTTCTCATCTTTCTGCTCTAAGCCCAGGCAATTAGCTTGTCTTGTGCTTCAGATGATGTTGTGATCACTACCAATTCATCGCCACTTCGCGTCCTGCATCACTCCCCACTGTCAGACTTACAACTTCACATGTCCTTTTTCTTACTTTGCAAATTGCCTACTATATAGAGCATCTATGGTCTAGTTTTATTGGGAGAAAAGGTCTAGTGTAGGACTTGGTACACCTAAGAAGATAAACGGGAGACATCTGGTCCGAGTTGGTATGTTTATCTAATGGTTGCTGCTTTAGTCACTGGCTGCTATACGGTTGCCTCGGCCTTCTACCTCACGCCTCTGGACCGAAGCGCTATTAATGACCACGTTGAACGATTCACCAACGACTCAGCTGACGGCCACCATTGATGGATAGCCTAGAGCAAGGACACCATCAGACCCAACTTGATCGCGTGAGGTTTTTGGCTTGTGAAGTATCTAGCACGCGCGAAGGCTACAGTTGCAGTCCACTCCGTCACTCATTTCGATCAGTCAGCGCCATGCAGCGACCGACCTGGCTCTTCAAATCGACAGCCAGCCTTTGCTGCGTACCGATTGAGATGCCAAAGTTCGGGTCCGGCGTGAGAGTCTTCTCACCATACCTTATGCTCCACACCAACTTACGCCAAGTCTCTGGACATGCTGCATTTGCCAAGAGAGTTGCTCGAGCCGTCTCGACGCACGTTAGACTATACCCAGGGAATGGGAAAGGATGCTACGATTGAAGGGTGGTTAGGGAGGATAGGCAGACAACAGCCGACCCGGACTGAAAGAAGATCGATTACAACAGCAGCAAAGAAGGATTAACGCAGACATGCAGACTACAATCGACACTTTCCGAACAACTTCTTACGTTCGCCTCAATATACCTCGCGTCTCGACCTACACAAATATTTTGCGATAGTATTGACATGGTCACCGCCGAGTCATTCACCTTTTTTCGAGAACCCACCGGAATCAGCATGCCCGAAGTCTTTTCGTCAGTTCGACGGACGCATCGACGCATGATAGTTCCAGACTGAACCATGTCAAGGGTGCATGTACATTCGGACCTGAAATCCAGTTTCTCGCATAAACCAAGTCCGCCAATCAGCTTGCAGCAAAAAGGCAAAAGCGGGTCTACACATGTGGGAGTGGACGGTGGAGGAGGGGTGGGATAGTGCGCAAGTCTAGAAGTACAGGGCGATACAATGGTACTTTTTTTGCGCTGCTCCGGCGGCAGGTGCTCAAGCCTGCCTCCCACACAAGTGCAATAATCGGTCTGTACATACATATACTGTACTAGAGGATTAACCCTGAGTACCTCCAATGAATCGCTAAAGATAAATCAATGATGGTTGATGCCAGAGAAAAGGCATCTGCTGAATTGAATACTGTCCCGTGCAGTCAGTCCATATATGTATTCAGGTAAAGGCGATCTGATCGCGCCCCGAGCTGCCGATCAGTGGTCAATCATATCTGCTCGGTGGGAACAGGGAAGGGTACTTTATGTCGGGAGAGTCTGGAGTAGAAAGGGGGTCCATGTACCTTGATCCCACCAAAGTGATCAAAGTGAGGGTGGGTGACTGTAGTTATCGTACTTTACTTGACTAGACTTGCCTTGCGTAGTTTGAATGATTTGCCTAACTACCCTACTTGTTGCTAGCGGATAAGTCCTTGGACAAGGAAGGATGAATTTGAAAAAGGGTGCATAGAAAAGATATCTAGAATTTTCGTTCACAAAGAAAAAGAAAGTTACTTTCAAAAAAAGATTACATTTAATACAAAAACGTTCGTGAGGATTATAAATCCGAGAAGGAATGAGTAGAAGAATTCGTAACTAGCTAAATAAACAAATTATCATTCGTGATGATCCTGCGAACTCCGAACAAACACAACTCACACTAAGTACTGTAGGTACTGTTAATAAAGGACTGCATTCTTTACCCACCCCAACTACCTACCTACCTACCTATTTAGTATTGTGCTGTTACTCCCACCACTGTAGTAAGTACTGTACATAGTAAACAAGCCATACACAAGAGATCGCCCTCTGAGCCAGCCCACTTCAGATCCTGGGTGGAAGAGAATCTCAGCCCACCACACGACCACCACTACGATACCACTATATAAACCAGGCACTAGGAATACCTGGCCTGGCCTGGCGTAAGTAACCACTCTCAAGACAGGAGGCAAAAAGGAAAACCACCAATCCCCAGGGTATGGGTTGCATTATCCTTCAATCAGATGTCACAGGACTTGCGGCCACTGGGGCATAGTCGCTTACTATACTTACTTGTTCGGGGAAATGATAAAGGCATAACTAGGGCTTGGATTTCTCGCACTTTATACTATACTGTGTTTGTGACTGACGGACTTGTGTCTAGGTAGCCTAACCCTACCCTACCATAAACCCTCGATTCTACAGGTTCCATCCCGTGCAAGGCGGACTATTTCCCACTCAATAGAAGTAAATGTCCATCGGGGACTCGGATTACATCCCCTTCGAAAGTCGTCGCACGGTGACTGACTTGGCTAGTGCGCTTACTGCTAACTAATGCGTGCGTTGTACTCAGTAGACCAGAGCTGGAGATGTAGTTCGACGCAGACTATCAGTTAGAGATGGATATGGATATGGACATGGACATGGCCAGAGCTATAGTATGAGTAGTGCGGGAGATATCCCGGTACTAATTCCTAGGTAGCTTGGAAGTCACTTTCCAGGATCGTATGGGCTGTACTCCGTACTGCACTGTACTATACTGTTGTACACAATATCCCATTACCCCCCCCCCCCCCCCTCCTCCCCTCCGCGCGCACCGCCCCAGGGCTTAGGTTCTAATCCGCCACCGCCACCACCCATGCACCAGTATCGGAGGATATCACACTTGTGGCTGTCAAGTGGGGTGCAGTGGGATGATCCCATTCCGCTTGACTTCCCAAGTATACCCCTCCTTCCTTCGGTACTGGTACTCATACACAGTTCCAGTGTGGAGAATACTCCGATATGGGATGGATTTTGACTGGGGATATCTGTACTGGTCATTCCCGCCCATCCTCAGGGTTTTTCTTCTTCACGCCAGAGTCCCAGGTCTTGAGACTAGTACGTAGTTAGGGGGGATTCCATGAGCTGCTCACTCATTATACTGTACCGGTCCCACGAGCACCGCTACAGCTACAGCTACAGTCATCGCACCGATACGCTCTCAGCCCGTAAGACAGGTCTAATCATCGCTTTCATCCAACACGATAGAAATGTTTGAATCTTCTCGCAAGATAGACACAATTTTACTCCCCTGTACACCGATCTGAACACCCAAGGAAATCAATGGTGAGAACGAAAAGAGCACAAACCAAGTGCGGTGCGTCTCTTCCGTTTCGCTAAAACAACTAGCAAGAAGTACATCTGAACCATGAACCATGCTGAACGCTAGAAAAAAAAAGAAATTCCGTACAATGACACCGAGGAAACGTCGTCAATCAGTCAAGTCAATCGACCTGGGTTGCGCCCCCGGGCCGGCATCACGCAGTCCGTGCTGTCTGTGAATGAAGAAAAAGATTACAATGCCGAGCAGAAGGTAACGTCGAGATTAGGAGTAGAATGCGCTCTTCTGGAAGCTCTCCGGCGAGATATCGCCCATCTTGCCCTTCAACTCGGGCTTGACGGTCGCGTCCGCCACTTCATCGGTCACGTGAGCTCGTAACGAGTTGCTGCGGCTGGTGGTTTCACTGCCCGAAGTAATGGCCTGCTGCTGGGGACGGCGCTGAATGGTTTCCAGGTACGGTCCAGGGAGGTATCCGACACGACCGTCCCGGGCACGGCACCGCCACCATTCCGATGCGTTACCCATGGGGTCCGACTTGCTGAGGACAGCGACAATGTCGCCCTTCTTGACGGCCAGGTCGATCCCAGAACTTTCCTGGGCCTCGGGAGTGTAGTCATACAACACGCGGCAGAAGTCGAGCTTGGAGGGATCAAGCGGTGCCTGCTGCGCGGGCTCGCCATTCGGACCGAGCATCATCTGACGCCGCTGTTCCTCCTGTGAGCGTGCGAGCGCCTTGATGAGCTTGCCCATCAGGTACGGAAGACCGAAGACGGCGATCAGGAACATGAAGAAAGGCTTCTTCGAGGGCTTCGGCGGGGCGGGAGAGCCATCGGGCAAGGTCGCGGCAACGGAACGGCCATTCATAAAAGCCGCGAATGCAGCCGGCGTGAGAGCCGTAGCATCCGCCGGCGGCGGACGACCGGTGATCTTTGCGATCAAGGTTCTGAACCAGCGGATCAAGGTGAAGATGCCGAGAGCAGAACCCAGGGTGTTGCGGAGGTTGCCAAGCTGCTCCGCGACGGAGACCATGGCTTCACATAACATCAGCATATGTAAATCCAACAAAGACAACGATGCAACATACCGAAAAACGAGCTGTGGGTCGCCATGTAGGTGCTCTCCAGCATCTGGGCGAAACCACCAAACGCACCGACAATGCTCTCGATCATTTGGAAAGTCGCCTGTGTGCTTTGACTGAAGGAGTTGGTCAGGCTGTTCGGGTCGTTCGGATCTCCAGGCATGCCACCGCCATACATCCCTCCCATGCCGCCATACATCCCGCCGTAGCCTCCATAGCCGCCATACATTGACCCCATCGTCCCGAAGCGAGAGTATGGTGAAGAGTAGGCCCCGTAGCCACCATAGCCTCCGTAGGGACTGGTGCCTAGCCGAGAAGCTCCATATGGCGAGTAATTGGATGCTGTGCGATTCACGACGGCATTCAGAGTGTCGGGGCGAGATGGGAGATCAGGGGTGGCAGATGTGGAGGTTGAAGCGGCGCCGGTGGTTGCGGCCGAGGCTGGCGAAGAGGCCGTCATCGTTGCTGGACCAGCCGTGGCGGGTGTAGTGGTTGCGACAGATCCTGATGGTGAGGTCAGTAAGAATGCACCGAGCTGGAAAGAATCAGTTTGTGGTGCTCCTACCAGCCGTAGCGCCGGCTCTTTCCCACGGTTTGGGTGGCGAAACCGAGGCCATTGATAAGCGGGAATGTGCTGGTACTTCAAAAGTCTCGCATGGGCAGTAACCCGCGAGAGACCGGTCGGGGGGGCGAGACTGGGAGTGGGATGCGAAGTCGAGAGGATGGAAAAGACAGTAGTTGTTTTTGAGTGTGTTTTTTTTTTTTTTTTTTTTTTTTTTTTTTTTTTTTTTGATGTGGGGGGGGGGGGGGGGGGGGGGGGGGGGGGGGGAGAAGGAGAGAGAAAGAGAGAGAGAGAGAGAGAGAGATAGCCAAACGTAAAGATGGATGGAGTTGGGAGGGCGGTGGAGGGAAGAAGGTGGAGGGAAGAGAAGGTGGAGTCACAAAGAGGAGAAAAGAACTGCCGCTGCATGTGGTCTCTCGGTCGGTGGCCCACCCGCTGGGCCGAGGTTGATTTGATCTCAGTCTGGGGCTTTCTCCGAGTCTCGGTTCATCCACAAACGGTTTACTTACTCATTCTATACTCAATTCTCTAAATTTTATTTATTAATTTCGTCTGCATTGCATTGGCACAGGTCAATCAGGGATATCTTATTCTAACCAGCAAACAACAATTGCTCCATCCCAGTAAGTTATGTAAGTTATAATACAGTAAGTGGCATATCGCCAGCCAATCCAAAACTCCAAACGATGCAAAATCAACCATCCACCACACAATATAGGCAGAAAGGAATATGTTTACAACATTGACCACAAGCAAGACAGCCTACAACTCATCGCGCGGGGGCATGGCCGCTCGAGGAGTACGGACCTTCCATGCGCGTGGCGGCACCGGAAGTCCCAGCCAATAATTCCACACACGGGCGATCTCGATCACGATAATCTCAACCCTAAAAGTTGCGAAGTTAGCATGAGGACAAGCCTGTTAGGGTGAAGGGCCTGCTACTTACAGTGTCTTCGGAACGTTGGCCCAGCTCTTCAGCACATAGACATATGTATCCCAGACAAGGGAGAATTCGGCCTTGATATCATCCCAGAGGGTGTCGGTATCGCGGCGTTCGCGAACCCGTTCCCAAGGAAGCTTCTCGGAGATATACACAAAGTCCTCATCGTCGTTCTCGTAGTAGAACGTCGAGCCACCGTCCTTGAGCAGGCGCCGGGTTTTCTTGTCGCCACGGTCCTTCGACGCAATGCTGGCGGGGATCGAGAACACCTCGCCGTCTCCGACCTCCATGGCACGGTGAAAGCTCCGGACTGCGGCGACACTGTGGGAGATGCGACCAAGGGTGTTGATCAGCGCCACCAGTTCGGTCCGGCGCAGCAAGGGGTTCTCGCCGTTCTTGGTCTCGTCATATTCAAAGAGCACCTTCAAGGCGGTTCCGTATCCGTTGACCTGAAGCTTGCCCCAGAGACGGCACTTGTCGCACCCGACACAGTCCATCAGCCGGCTAACATTGCGGAAGCGATTGCGGAAATCTTCCTTCAGACCAAGGGCGCTTGGGTCTTGGAACATGATGTTCTCATTGAAGATCTGAGGCCGCTCGGCAAGAGTGGCAGTCAGCCTCGACACCTTCTGCCGGGTTTGAGTATCTTGTTCGGGGTCGCTGGTACAGTAGTTGTAGCTCTTCAGGTGCTTCTGCAGTTTTGCCACAGCCCGGGACACCAGAGCGTAGTTGAAGTACAGGTTGGAGATGCGCTCGGGATGGTCGTGCAAGCGCTCCTTGAAACATTGCAGGTTGGGGTGCCACTGCCCGGTCGTCTGGTTGAGGTAGTCCCAGCAGAGATGCGTCGAGATGGAGGCATGCATTCCACTGATGAGGCGATGGAAGACCCGCTTCTCAAGGCACTCATTGTCTAGGGGAAGACGATCCGGACGCTTCAATTCCTGTTGTAGCACACTGCGGAAGTCGTTCATGGCTTCAAGATTGCCTAGTTGGGGGTTGGGCGACAGCTCCAGCTGGGAGGTTGGCTTGAGGAAACAATTTTCGCGATAGATCGCATCCCAGACCTGGTGGGCGCCCATACCAGCATAGCCAGTAAATCGCTCGGGGTTGTCCACCAGACTGACGTAGTCTCCTTTGCTGCTGGCGCCCTCATCTTCAGGGACGCAGTAGTCTCGCTCGTCGCATTCATCATCGTACTCGACGACACAACTTTCTCCCACGTTTTCACCCAGCATCCCTTGGAGCGGACGATCACTGGGTCGCTCTTTTTGCTGCCTTCGACCTGGATGGCCGGCCTTGGGTCCCTCAAGTTTACTCAGCTCCTCTGCCCGCCATGTTAAGGGGATGTCTTCCTCCGATTCGATCGTATTCACTGAGCATGCGATGTTTCCACACATGCTGTTGGCGTCCGACCAGAAGGGACAGACCTTGTTGAAGAGGTTGAGACGGTAATATGAGAAGAAGTCGGTTTCTTGGGTGATAGACTGGAGGAGAGGATAGACTTGATCGTTTAGGGCATCGAGAGTCGTATAGGAAACACAGGCGTCGGACACCATAGCGGTAGGGTCAAGCTAGACAAAACACGATCAGTCTCAACGCCTCCCAATTGACTCGCGAGAAAAGCCGGCTGATGAGCCAGAATCCAGAAGCGTATTGCGACTTACCGCGCATTTGTCATGGCCATACTGTAGGCCGGATTTGCCCTCATGGCTCTCAGCGTTGATGTGCGCAGAGAGGGCAAATACAGCCAGATAGAAAAGTTTGGCCGCAGAACGCATCTTGCTGCGGGCAAAAGCAACCGAAATCAGGAAACGGGCGTGTGGCGGAGGCAGAGCACGAGCTCTTCCGAAGCGACAGGCAGAAGCGAGATCCCAGCAAAATGTGCTGAGGTCGCTTTCAGGTATGTGTTTGTTTGGATAGACTATAGCTGGCGGAGATTCGAAGTCGGGATTGACCTTCACATGAAGATCATCAACGGCAAGGGCAAGTCGAGCCGAAGTACTCCGGGGGAGCAAGTAAACAGTTTCAGGGCAAATGACACTTTTCGCGGGGCCGAGCCACAAATAATTGCAATCAGTGTCACCACCAAAACGAGGGTTAGATCAAGGACTGGTGCGCGATCACTAAAACAAGGGAGAACGAGGGATGTGAGGTCAGTCAGTCAAGAAGAAAAAGAATGAGAGAGAGAGGTTGCAGTCGCTGTTGCGAAGTGGACAAGCTGTCCTCGGTGGCGGCGCGGAGTTGCATGACCCGCAAGTAGTCATCAATAATCATAATAATCATAATAAAGAGTGAGTCCCCTTCCGACGGTTCGATATCGGTTTATCGCCTTGCGCCTTGCGCCTCGAACCTCCTGACTCCGGTGCCTGTTGGTCTCTGCCAGATTTTCACATTATTAATTATCCTGACTCCTGATACCAGAGAGTTAGAGTATGCAGTTCCTTCCGGCCAAGTGAGCAAACCCCACCCGGATCGTACCTCAGCCCATACCAAGCATGCCACCCTCACATACATCGATCGCATGGATCAATTTGATTGAGATCCTGTGACAAAGAAAGGAGGTATTTTCGAGCATCGACCCGGGCATGAAAACAAGGAGGTCGTTTCTATTCATTGTATTCCCATTGTTAAGGGATGCGTTCAGGGCCAAGACTAACGCCCGCCCCCACCACTGACTGGTAGTTATTGTTTCGTCTGGTTATTGTCAGGATCGAGGAGAAGGTCTTCCTTGATTCCGTGATTCAGCTTCAGGAATTCTGAAAGAGAGGACAAAACTGCAGAGATAGTAATGGTGACTGACGCATGACCCGGCACGGAAGATCATTGACCGGCGCAGTTGTCATGTCTGGCTCAGTGTATGTATGTACCGGTGCGACCCGTCTTAATAGAGTAGCATGCGGCACAGTACACCTGGCATGAGCTACATGACCTTCAATAGCAGCAGCCGCTTCGACTTGGAACGAAAGCTACTGAGCGACCCCGAGTTCAAGCTTTATGAGGTGTCAGGCAGGCGTATGGTTACTACTAGTGTCTCCAGGCTTGGACTGGTCCCGCCTATTGATTAACTACATTTCCATCAACTACTTCTCCATCCGGAATGAGCGGTGTCAAATCAAGTGATACGTCGTCCAATTTTGAACTGTCAAGTAACCAGACCGACACAGGAGTCAGGACATAAAACTAAAACGAAACAAAAACAAACGAAAATACATCCCGATGCTGACCAAAAAAAAGTCCTAAATCATAAGACCACCGACTGAAGATGCCCTTCCAGACGCTAACTTCGTGCTTCAACTCCGATTAAAAAGCATAGATTGTCGTCGTTCTTGTTCACCGGAGCCATGGCCGGTAGAAAGAAGACAACATGGTATATATAAATACAGGGGAAGCAAATGTATCCAAGTTCCCTCTGGGGATAATGTCACCAGACATTTGCGCGCTCGCGATTCAGCCTGGAATCGACTCAGGAGCACGGTTGTCACAGCCGGTATAGTCCGGCGGGAATACTTGTAAGTTGACTCTAGTTCGTTCCGCGACGGTTACGACGACGAAGACTGAATCTCTTGCGCAGACTCGCAAATGGGTTCGGATGAGGAGTGTTGTAAAAGGGGTCATTCTTAAAATCCTCATCCTTGAATTTCTGCCCAATGATTAGCGACTGGTCATTCACCAACACTGCGGTACGCAAGACAAGTGACTTACCATGCCGGGACAGCGCATAAAGTTCCCGTAGTCGTTCATCATGTTGTTTCCCTCCTCGTATTCGTATGTATGGCCCTGAGGGTCCGTGTGACCTGGGGGGTAATGAGCCACACCATCGAGGGGGCGATGACTATCGAGGCAGTCCACAATTTTGTCGTGTGGGGTAGCCTTGAGGGCCTCTGCGTTAGACTCGCGCAGGGCGGCCACCGGGCTGAGCTTGTCGATCACATTTCGCTCGGGGTAGACAGCATCGTAGGGCCCTTCATGGTGGTACTGATATACTCCGGCGTCGTCCAGGCGATCAATAATATCGGGGTTCACCAACTGCGAGTTTCGAGAGAACCTCGGCTGGTGCGACTGGGTACGAGCGTGGCGTTGCGAGCGATGGCGACGACTGGGACTCGCTTTCCTACGTCGTTGCTCGACAGGCTGATGTTCTGGAGAACCCGAATAATGGACTGAGGGGAATGAAGTAGAACGTTGACGATTCAGAGTCCGGGCGGGGGCTGGGGAGGAAGACAGGAATTGTTGGTAGGGATTAAGGTTTCCCATCTCAACTTCCGTATCGAGCAGGTTCATTGAGTGCCTGGGATGAAGGAAGGAAGACTCATGTGGATTAGGAAAAGATGGGGCGATGACCGCTGCCATACTGGAGAAAAGTAGGAGTAAAGAGAGAAAGAGATGAAGAGGAAGAGAGATTTTTGAGCCTTCACTCAAGGATACTGAACCGGCGTGCTCGAGAGTAATATATATCGGTCAATATTTCGAAGCGTGCCTATAAATGTATGTAGGCACCTAATAGTATTGATCACTAGTGAATAGCCTGCGTGATGCAGCCCGCAACTCAAAACGGGTGTGGGGCAAGCGGTGAAGTCGTGGCAGTTCGTATAGTTCAATAGACTGTGAACCTTGAGTCGATTGTCTATCCCGCAGTCACAGGAGTCACAGGAGTAACGGGGATTGGTGGGAGGAAGAAAGGAGGTTGTGTTAGGAGAGTAATATTGGTTGTAGTTGGTCGTAATGGGAGTTGTAGGCGTGGAGGTAGGGGCCGTAGTATTAGTAGTAGGAGTATGTGTGGTCGTTGGAGTGGTCGGAATCTTAGGGAGAAGGAAAAAGATGTTGCAGAGCAAAAAGATAAGAAGCGATCTATCTATAAGATGAAGTACTCATAAGTATTCATAGAAAAGGATCATCCATCAGAGTCATCAGCACCGCCTGTCAGTATCAGTCAGTCTCCTCATCATTTTTCTTTTGCCGTTCATGACGTGACAAGTTGCGTATGCTCCGTATGATACTGCGCAGTGCTCCCGTGGATCCACGCGATCTGGGAGGGGCCCTGGAGACGCTTATCGATAAGCCTTCCCCTTCCAGTTTAGCTGCAGGATAGGGCCGGAAGACTAGACCCGTTCTGTTGCATCGGACCCTTCTCGATGATGAAAAGAACCCACGAAGGAACAGAGGCGAATTTCCGATGCCTCGCCGCACCTCTCCGGTCTAGCCTTCATGAACCACTCATCGTGGTCGGTGCTGCGTTAGTGACTCTACGGGACTTCCGGAGGGACTCTCTGGATAGCCCCTCCCCCTCCTCCTCCTCCGGGTGGCCCATGTGGTACCTTGGTGGCAATAATGCTGCTCACTGTGCGATCTTCCGTCTGTCGTCACGTTCGTATGCTCTGACTGGCATTGCTGGCTGACTAACGTTGACCCTCTTCTGACGTTCCAATCCTGTTGACATCATCACCAGCCATGTTGGGCACGACGCACATGAGAAAAATTTTCGATTTCTAGCCGAGCCATGATGTTACCTTCCAGTTGGGATAGCTTGACATCAGCGAGAGAAGAGGTCTTCGAGGTTGAATAGTGAACCTCTCGCTTGATCCAAGCCCAAGCCCATCAGGGCTTTTAACCTTAAGCTTATCGCTAGTATGCCGGTAGTGTCAGCGGCTCAGGTCCAACCATACTCAAGTAGGACAAGTAAAGCCCGGCTGACACAAGTTTTGGAACTCCTGGGAATGATTTAGCTCGGCCACAGCAGCAATGCACGCGCCATCTAGTATAATATTCCCACTAAGTCAATGCCTGACCTGCCAGTGCAAACTCGATAACCATTGGGGTGGAGATTCAAGGGTCTGGAGTCTGGAGTCTAGCCATGCTTCGTATTCTACCCTGCACTGAATGATGCATGGAAACAGTTGTTACACCGGGCTCAGGGCCGGTCCAATGAATCATACATGATTCCAGGTACCAGGAACAGGGCAAGGCAGGGTTTTCATGATGCACTCAAGTCGAGAACACCTTGCATATTCTCTACGCATCATCCGCTTATGACAGCTACATTGCTTGCTTGATGAAGAACCAGCGGGTAGACCTCCTTTCCATGGCTCCCATCCCGGCGATTGAAGTCTGGGCCCAAGACGAAAGCTTCTCGCTCGCAATAAGAAGTACATTAAACTGTATATGCACCCACTCGTGTTGCCTATCAGTTTAGCTGCATCTGAGCCTCGATGTGTGATATGTACGCTGTGGAGTCGTCACAGATTGATTTACCTCAATAAGCTGCCTCGGTAGTTGAAGAAGGTGGCCTAATATGAGATCGCAGACGCCTCATAATCCAGAAAAAGCAAGCAGGATAAAAAAATAGCACGCTTATTCACCATCAATAAGTTAGCTTGGGAAAAGAGCACGTTGGTTTTTGACATGGCACTACTTCCGCTGCGGAATCAACCACCGTACTACATAGACGTATCATAACCGATCCCGCTTATTTCTCCCGCGTTGAACGAAACTGGTGAACTAAACTTAAACCTTGAGAGACAACCTATCCATTTCGCAGGCTAGATCCGATCAACTCTTGTCGCGCCACGCCGGAGGACGGTGGATTGTGCTGGATATGGCCCTAGTGCAATACTCGGAGTCAGAATCAGAGTCAGGATCCGATTCAGAGCCAGTCCACGCGTCTCAACCACCCAACAAAAAGCTCTGTACGACCAAGCCACCGCCCACCCAATCCCTTCCTCTCCCTCCGCTACCAGCAGCTTTCCATGACCTTTATGCCTCAAGCACACGGGTCAGTGTCAGGGATGACCCAAGTCTTCATGGAGGTCGTAAACGGGTTATCCCTCATGTCGAGGGCAACTGGCCAACGCATCTATATCTGGAATGTAAGTCGTGCGTCCGTCCAACCAACAACAACCACCACCACCACCACTACTTCCTCCTATTGTAGGCTGCGAATACGAAAGAGAGACATAAAAGCTAATATAAGAACCCCCCGCGCGCGCCACGACGATCAGGGTACGCGTCCAAAGCCGAGCTTACTCTTCTGAGCGATGTGATACTGCAGATCCAGCAGCAGCTGCTCCGCGGGAGCAAAACAAAGCTTCACAGCCTGCTCCATAGTGATCTTGGCGCCCAACTGCCTCTCCACATCAGTCTATCAAGACCGGTGGTGCTCCGGACCGAGCAGCGTCAATCCTTCGTGGAGGTCTTTCAATCCGCCTTGAAGCAGTCCAATGTCGCACCGTGCGTATTTGCTCTCCTTCTGTTCTAAAATCGGAATACCGTGTTTTTTTTTTTTTTTTTGTGACACAGTCTGACACCCTCACTTAATTGCTCAGGTTCGACACCACAGCAATTAGTCTGGACTGTGTCTCCAACTACGAGAAGACGCGGTGGTTCTATGTCTTGCGGGTGCGCACCCCCGAGGATGACGAGTTGAACCGTCTGCTGAGACTGTCGAATCGTGCGTTGGCTCGATTCGACCAGCCGCCTCTGTACGAGAAGGCTGTGCCGTTGTCGTCAGCGGAGGCCAAAACTGCAACACCAGCAAAGTCTTCGCGAGCGAAGACGAAGTCTGAGACTGAGACCGAGACCGAGACCGACTGCTCGGGTTGCTTCCACATCTCCCTTGCCTGGAGCCTGACCGAGCCTTCGACGGCAGAGAAAGAGCAGCTTGCCAACATCGATCTGCGCGAGCTTCACACCCTCAAGGTCGGCTTTGACTGTGTAAAGGTGAAAATAGGCAACCAGATCTCGAGCATCCCTCTGAACTGATTCTCTGGGATAATCAATTCTTGGAGTGTAAATATTCATGATGAGTGAATGAATGCATGATGTACGCATATACTGTACTTCGAGCACTACAGGTAGAAGCGGTACCAGACGGTCATATACCATACAGCCTGTAAATTACCACCCAAAGCGGTAATGACCTCCTTAGCCGGGCCGCCGCGCTAGTAAGCTTTTGCTTCCTTCACCCAAACCATAGTAAGATCAATCACTCACTCGTCCCTCACCCCCTAGCCCACCACCAAACACAAACACAAACACAAAACCCGCAACAGAATGTCCATATCCCATATCCCCCCACCGCCCATAACTCTGGTAATCTCCCCCCGGTCCTCCAAACTGAAAGAGAACGAAAACAACCTAACCCGCACAGGAAGACCTCCAAGCCTTCCAGGCCAAACACTTCCCAGGCCGTGGCCTTGCAGCACAAACACCCCTAGCGACCCATGCCCCTCAGACCCAAACGAACACTGCCACCGCCTCCGCGCCCGAAGATCAGTCTTCTTATTACTATTACTATTATGATGAAGAAGAAGAAGAAGAAGAAGAAGAAGAACAAGATGATGACGGACTAGGCTACTATCCCGACGGGGTCAAACGGACCCTCACGGACGAGCAGATCCAGATTTTCCGGCATAGTGAGATCCATGCGCTATTGCGGCAGAGGGAGCTACGCGAGGAGGCGGAGAGGGAGCGGCAAGAGGATGAAGAAGCAGAAGAAAAGGCGCGGCGCGCGGAGAGGGCACTTGATCGGCGTGATGATGATGACGGAAAGGAGCGCGGTGCTGATAAGGCGCAGAGCGCGTCTGTTTCTGCTGAGGCTGGTGCTGGTGCTGGTGCTGGTGCTGGTGCTAGCGAAAAGGCTGAACCACCTAGGCATGGGAAATTGTCCGTCGGGAAGAAAAGGCAGCGAGATGATGGTGATTCGCCTATGGATTATGGCGATGCTGGGGGTGGGCAGAGGCAGCAGCAGCAGCAGCAGCAGCAGCAGCAGCATGGTTCCTCTGGAGCCGCGGGACGGAGTGGTTCGTCCTCCGATCCTTATGCGGATCCGTCCAGGCGGGCGGCTCTGTTCACCGGAAGGAAGATTATTTCCTATGATGATTGAGCTGCCTTGGAGATTGTGACAACACAGCCTGCTCGTCCGCTTTAGGGGCAACCAGCTCGTTGCTTGTTAAAGCCGGTAAGCCCTTGCTTTTCTCGGTTCCACTACCTTTGCATCCACCTTCTATGATGAAAACATCGTATCAGTCATCCTTAGTCGGAACGCCATACCATCTGCGGATGTGTGAGGCTATGACGACTAAAATCTTCTCTCTGAGATATCCCTCATTCGCAATTCTCGTTACGCGTCAATTTATGCTCTTATACTAAGCACTCTCTAGTCCTATGACGAACGACTCGAATCATGTTGGCTACACACTCAGTCAGCACAGCCTGTACAAAGAATATGGCATGCTGCTAGCAAGCCCTCGGCTTGTTCGATGACCTTAACAGCCTCCGCTCAACCAGACCCGTTCCATTTCAGGTTGCACGTTAGCATACAACTGAACTATGCTCAAGCGTTACACAACAACAAACCTTTTCACCGCCTTGAAAAATGACTCTGCTAACATATCAATGAGGCAACTGGGCGATGTCTCAGGTCTCCTGTATTTGCTAAACCGATCAAGCACTCCTCGAACTCTGCCTGGGAACCAAGGACCAGAAGGCGATAACTCCAACAAGCAACCCCACCATGATCGGCTGCAAGACTTGAACTCCAACTCGCGAGGCTATGGCGCCCGTCATGAATGGGAAAGCGGCAGATCCCGCCTGTCCAAAACTCGCAGTAAAACCTGTTTGCTTATCAGCCTAGTGTCTATGGTTTACTTGCACAAATGATACTTACCCATGGCTCCCACGTGCAGGTCTTGTGGTATCACCTTGGTAAGAATGTAAAGTCCGACCGGATAGCATGGCCCGATGAAAAACCCTGTGTCGTGGATCGTCTGCGTCAGCATTGTCTATGCCTGGCAGACAATTGGCATGAATCAATGCTTACCTAGGAAGCACACCGTTATGGCATTGACTGTTATACTTGGCACTAGCCAAAATAACAACTGTAGAGCGATAGCCAATGTCATATAGACGAAGACCATCCGTCGTTCGCCAAACTTGTGCGTGATGTCTGCCAAAGCCACTCGTCCAACGGTAAAACCGGCCCAGAACGCGGAGGCTATATAGCCCACTTTCTCGGGATCACCGTGTCTCACTGAAACGAGAAACTGGACAAGCCATCCTAGAAGATTGAGATTAGTCACAATGTATAATTATCGCAACTACGATACCTCTTCCTCAGCAAAGGGTATGTAATACTTACCACCCGCCGTGACCTCCGCGCCCACATACAAAAAGAAAAACCCGTTGAGAATCCACACTGTCCGGTTCGTCAACGTCGCTCTCAGGTCGCGAGCGGCGCTGCCTTTGGCACTGCTGCTGTTGGGCTTGAAAAGCCCCCGTCGGAATGTCCAGGCCAGGAACGAGAGATTCACGGCGCCGACCACCATTGTAGCGAGGTAGTAGTGCTGCCAGTACGGAGTGCGCGCGGCGATGGTATTGGCGATCAACGGAGCCAGGATCGTGCCAACGCCGTACACCGCGTGCAATATCCCGAGCCACCGGTGGGCGTCTTGCACGGTGATCGTGTAGGTATTCATTTGCGCGTCCTGTAGGGCCACGCCGCAGCCTGTGAAGAAGAAGGCGGCCGCAAAGAGGGGAAACGGGGGCCCCCAGAACATCAGCGCATAGCCAATACATTGGATGGTGGCCCCAAGGACCAGGGTGCCGCCGGTGCCGATCTGTGAGCAGATGTGGATGTTGGTGAAGGAGGCCAGCTGCCACCCTATGAAGTTGACGAGGTAGATCATGGAGACCTGAAGCAGGCCAACGTGGTAGGTCAGTTGGATATAAGGAATCAAAACTCCTAGAGCGGCGTCTTAGCCGTCCCCACGAAAGAAAGTGTTAGCATTCATGGTATACTTCAATCATGAGTATGAGGGAGCATGCGTATGTGTGTACTGTACCATTGAATCCAGCTGTCAGCGCACTGAAATTAGTGCTCATGATCCTGCCCATATTATCCTGTGCTCTTTTAGAGCCGAGGAGGGGCGTTCGGGATGTTGCATTCTCCTCTCCATTGGGGAGGAGTTTGCCGTGCTCTTCATCTCTGCAATTGTTCATTTTGGGATCTTGTCGCAATGGCTAAGCTCGCAGAGACTTACAGTCAAGAATGCCACAAGGATCTGAGTACGATCATATATAAGCTCCACAGTCTACAAGGCTACAGCAGTAGCAGCAGCAGGGCCATAGTGAGCTTCATAAGTGGGTTAACGCGGCTAGGACAATCAGAGCCAAGCGAACTGAGGGGTAAAATCCCTCTTTGTTGAGTCCAAGCGAGGGGTAGTTTAGGGAGTGGATCATCGGGGATGTCGGTGAAGCGTGATAAGCGTGATCAAGGGATAGGGTGCGGAGCATTAGGCTGACTTTGATAGAGGCAACTGCGGCGCTCGAGCGGGAGAGCGCTCGCCAGGGTCATCAAAGAGATCTCGCCTTAAAGGCTTTTTTCTTATCAATTGCATTGAAGGATCCAAGCCAGTCTTATCCTCCGATCTTCTCTAAAAGACACCATGCATTGGAGCGTAACCCTAGCTACTGCAATGGGTTGCATAACGCAGCAAGCGTAGGCGTGTTGTCCGTCGAAATGCAGGGAGGTCGGGGGTTTCAATGGACCGGGTGACTTCTGGATGCAGTGCAGCTTGCATCGAGAACTCTGATTTGCATGGCCCCGTGTGGAAAGGTCATCCGACGGTGTTACAAATGATGACCAAATTGCAGCAGAGGGCCGGGAAAACGGTCCGACAAGGATTCATTCTAGATTCAAGATCGGCCTTGAGCTGCAGCGGGACCGATGCTGTGGAACCATACGCCAAGTTGTTTGCTTTGAGTGCGGGCAGGATTGTTCTTGCTCGAGGCGATCGCTCGTTGAATAGGAAATCGCATTGAGTCATGATTTTTGATTGAATCAAACATTGATTGCCTGTAAGTGTTGCTGCATTGTGGTGGCTTACAATGCTTGCAGCCACGCGTGGGCGTAAAGCTTATGTGTAGTGGTATATCTATCACAGGCAAGCTGAATCTTCTGATATTGACCACTGGGCAAGGGTGAGTGTGAGTAAGGAGATGAGAAAGGCATTGAGGAAGAAGAAGAAGAAGAATGAGAAGATGATGATGATGAAGATGATGAAGATGATGAAGATGATGAAGATGATGAAGATGATGAAGATGATGAAGATGATGAAGATGATGATGATGATGATGATGATGAATGAATGAATGAATGGGCAGAGGAAATGAATTGAAAGAGAAGAAAGACTGGATTGGAAACCGACCTCTTCTTCCCCGGTGGGTTCCTGGCCAATCTTGCGTACCTTCCCTTGTCCCCTCTCTTCTCTCACTCTTCCTCTCTTTCTCAACTTCATTACCGAACACTTCTTTGACTTCTCTACTTCTTACTCGACAAGCCGTTCATACTCTTTAGCTTCTTCGATTAGCTTCTTCGACGAGATTGCCTCGGTTCTTCTTTCTTGAACTCACTTCCCAAATCCACTTCCCCTTCCCAATCAGTTATATTGTTCGCCATGAGCAATTCCCAAGACACCTCAACTCCTCAGCACCAGGAGAAGATGGATGTGGCCGGTGATACACCGCTGGAAGTGGACGAGAGGTCCAAGGTCTCTACTTCCTCCAGGGCACACGATGCCTTTGGCGATGAGGAATTCGCAGAGGTCAAGTACAAAGTCCTAAAATGGTGGTATGTGATATGATGCCATCTCAGTCTGCACCGTTACACACCTTCTGTCCGACTAATCATTGCTGCTGCTGCATACTAAGCAATGCGGTGTTCTCATGGTGGCCGGAACAGTCTCCCTGGGTGTCTTGTCTCTGCCTGCTGCTGTTGCTAGCCTGGGTCTAGCTCCGTATGTTTCTTCTCCGAAGATGGGGTTGGAGATCAGACCGACTAACAGTCCACACAGTTCCATCGTTGCGCTACTCCTCTTGGGAATACTGGCAACCTATACTGGCTATGTGATCGGACAATTCAAGTGGAGATACCCCCAGGTCTGCAACATGGCCGATGCAGGGGAGGTGATCGCCGGCAGGATTGGCCGAGAGGTCCTTGGTGTTGGCCAGGTTCTGTTCCTGTTTTTCGTGATGGCTAGCCATCTGCTTACCTTCATCATCGCTATGAACGCCATCACTGGCCACGGGACATGTTCTATTGTCTTTGGTCTGGTCGGCTTGGTCATCTCATTCATTTGCTCGCTGCCTCGTACGCTAGTCAAGATGTCCTGGCTCTCGTTCGTTTGTATGCGTCCCGTGCCCACTCGGTGGACTTTCTGGTCACTGGCCAGACAGCTAATCTGGAAATAGCTTTCGCCAGCATTCTGTCAGCGGTGATTATCACGATGTTTGGCGTGGGCATTCTGCATCCCGGACAAGGTGTGGAAGCCACTGTACCTACTGACCTCACTCATGGCTTCGGCGCCATTACCAACTTTGTCTTTGCTTTCTGTAAGTTCGAGACCATCTCGCACCTCTCAGCTGCGCTGACCATGTTTCCCAGCTGGACATGCCGCCTACTTCGGGCTAGCAGCGGAGTTGAAGGATACCCGGGACTTCCCCAAGGCGCTATGCCTCCTGCAGACTTTCGATATCTCGCTCTACATCATTGCAGCTGTCGTGATATATCGGTACGGTGGTGCAGAGGTGGCCTCACCTGCTTTGAGCTCCGCTAGCCCCATGGTGTCGAAGGTTGCATATGGCGTTGCTCTGCCCACTGTGAGTGACTATCGCTCCAGCCTCGGATCATTGGCAGTATTGAGTCGCTGACATAGATTGAACCAGATCATCATTGCTGGCGTGATCAACGGCCACGTCGCCTTCAAGTACATCTATTTGCGCGTTTTTTGCGGCACTGATCGGATCCACAAGCGCGATTGGATTGCCATCAGCTCCTGGGTCGGTATTGCTTTGGGCTTGTGGCTGATTGCGTGGATCATCGCAGAA